AAAAACAAACTTTTCTGTCACTCACTGAGATTGTCGGGCTGCTCTGTGTAATTTCACCTGAATGAGTTTGATGGAAACGAACACAAACACAACAACCCAAAATAACAACTCAATCCCCGAACATCCTCGCTGTGAGGAATTGGAATTGAAACACTTTTCCTGTCGTGATGTGAATTAGTCATGAGGAGAAATAGCTCCTTAAAAAAATCATGGTCCATGTTTAGAAAGCAGCGTTTAAACCGTCCGCCACCACAACAGATGGTGCATCCCACAGCTACCATCCTACTACTTCCTCTCACACCATCCCAAGACACATCTTAGCTTCTGCTGAAAATTGCTCTTTCTGGGAATCCTGCAGCTTCAGTGTGCTTAACATCAGACCGGCTGATTGGCTCAAGGCGGCCTGCAGGATCTCTGGCATTGATACCCCTCGCAAAGGCCTTAAGGTGTCATTTCTGGTCAGGGGAGGGATCCTTAGCCCACCAGCAGGTTCTCACATATCTATAATGAACATGCATGTCGAAAAACCACTTTAATCTGCGGGGGATGTTTGACTCTTAGATAGTCACTCATTAATCTCCCACTGGCATTTCAACCTGTTTTTTTTTTCAGGTGTTTAAAGCAGAAAACGTTAAATCTTTCACCATACTCCCGGTGTTTCTCCTCCCATGAGCTCAGACGTGTTCTTTGTCAGGTGTTTAGAGGTCTGTTTTTTATGTATTCTGCACCCGTCCCAGCTTCAGGGGTCCTGCTCAGCGCTCTTTGAAGTGTGAGTGAGGACAGGAGAAATGCAAAATGGACAGCCACAACAACAGCTGCTCCTTTCCCCTCTGACCCACACCTCCCGCTCTGTAGCAAGCTAAAGCTCCTCACACACTCTCACACACACTCACACACTCAAATATAATCATATGCATGTGTGTATGTGGGGTTAGCCAAGCTAGCAGCGGTACAAAAGTAGTGTGAGTGTGTCTCATAGAGCGCGTGGTTCAGAATTCATATCACCGTAGAGAACTAATCTCTCCTGTCTGAGGAAAGCTCTCTCTCTCTCTTTCTCTTTTCTTCTCTCTCTTTTTTCATCTGGCGCTCTCTATCTGTGTTACATAAATCAAACTCATACACAGACTTGATTGATTTTCTGTTGCCCTTTTCTGGTTGCAGCATCTTGTCTTAGGTTTTGGCATCTGTCTAAACAAGAGAGAATTTAGTTTCACAAAGCGGCGGGCTCCAGACTTTCATTTAAAAGTTATTCTTCAAAGCTCGATCCTGTTTGAGTTTTATGATCAGAATCTTAGGGGATTATTAAAAACAGTGGTGTGTGCTTGGAGCTCTGAAACCAACTGGATAAATAAACCGAACAGTTACAGAAAATAATGGTGGAAATATGAAAGTCTCTCCACCTGTTTGTTGGAAACATTCATCACAGTTAACAGCTCAGCTTTCTAATTCAAATTAGATTTGTCTGACTTGCCATAGATAGTTTCTGTTTTCTAATACTACTGATGTTTAACTCGACTTCTCCAGAGCTGATTTTATGTTTACTAGAGCGCCTAAAGGACATCGGGGCATGGATGGCTTTTAACTTTTTCAATTTAAACGAAGAAAAAACAAGGTCATGTTTGGAGCCAGTTGAGCCCGTGGTGTCTCCTCTATAGACCTGGGCTCCCTGCGTCCATGTGTAGAACCCATGGTCACTAAATGGACAGTGATTTTAAACTTGATAAACTTAGCAGCTAAAATCAGTTTTTATCATCTTAGGCTTTTATCTAAAATTAAATCTATTGCATGTTTTAATGATTTTGAGTGTTTGATTCATGCTTTTGTCTCGACCTGTTTGGACTACAGTAATGCACTTTACATTGTCATTAACCAGGCCTCCCTCGCCCGCTTATAGGAACTCGTAGGCATGATCACATCACCCCTATCCTCGCCTCCCTCCACTGGCTCCCTGTCCATTTAAGAATTAATTTTAAGATTTTATTGTTTGTTTTTAAGTCTCTAAATGCTCCAGCACCTCAGTGTATTGCTTACCCTATACATGTCTCCACCCCCTTGAGAGCATTGAGATCCGCGAATCAGCTGCGTCTTGTCATGCCAAAAAGTAGAGAAAAGACTGAGGGGGACCGTACTTTTTCAGTGAGAGCTCTTAAGCTATGAAATGAGCTACTCACTCATGTCAAAATGTCCCCCACCCCGAATACTTTGTTTAAAAACTCTTTTTTACTCCTTGGGTTTTAATTCTGCACAAGAGTTTTGTGGTCTCTGTCTTTTATTGTGTTTTCATATTTCCTAGTGTTTTATCTGATTTAATATCTTTATTTTTTCTTTTTGCTCTTATATGCTCTTAATTTACTATATTTTAACTTTATTTTATCTGTTGTGCAGCACTTTGGTAACCTTGTTGTTTTTAAAATGTTCTAAACACATGGTTTGGATTAGATTTAACTAACGGAAAAAAAGATTTTTTATCACCTATTGAATCATGTTGCTTTCAGAGTTTACTTTGATGAGTATTGTGTAACTGGAGCAGATATTTTAATGGTCATAACTATCAAAATAAGGCTGCATTACTTCTAAACAGACTGAAGAGTCCCTGTGTGCGTTAACAGTCTCTTTCTCCTCTGTGGATTATATCTTTACAGCTAAATTGCTTCTTTATCTTTTCACCACTGTCTCTGTGGGGACGACATTCATTTTGTATCTATCTCCTCATCTGTTTGTCTTTTTCCCTGGCGCTTTTGTTCTCTGGCTGCCAGTTATTAGTTTTCCTGCTCGTCTGCGTGTGTATATAGTATACGTGTCTTTTAATCCGTCACTTTTGTCTGAATGTCTGTTTCTCCTCCAACTGCATGCTGTCTTCAAGTAAACCATCCTTCAGCAAGTCCTCTGCTTTGCAGGCTGCTCCACCACTCTGAATATTTTAGTTACGGACTGATTGATTGGTTCTGCCTGGCCCATCTGGAGACTGGAGCAGCAAGAATGCCATGGAAGCTCCATTTTAGCATATTCACTGAAAAGTCGTTCCAAAATGAACACTTTCTATATCTAATAACAGTCAATACTACTTAGCTGAACATATCTAATCAATCTGGCAGTGGTATCTTTAGAAAGAGCACTTCCAGCTCTAAAGAGGGCAGACGCCTATGGGTGCAGGTGCTCTCCTCGTGGCTGCCGAGTCACGCCGTTTAATTAATACCACTCCAGTGTGTCAGGAGGAGGGAAGGGAAACTGCTGCTGCTGGCAGAAATGGCGATTGAGACGTGACTTTTTAAACTTTCAAACTTCATTTTACCTCAAAACAGAGTGAAGCTTTGGGGGGGAGGGGTTGCATTATTTTGGCTGGAGTCCATCCTCAGCCTTTGGGTAAGAAAATACAATAAACATCCGCACAAACAGAAGCACCTGCAGAGACATGCAGATTCTGTTTTTGTTCCTGTGTTTGACAAGGACTTTAATTAAGCATCAGCGTGTGATGGTCATGATGATTGTGGGTGTGTAACTCAAACAAATACACCAAATGTGATTCCAAAGCTTGTTGCATCAATAATTCTGAAGCTTACACAGTGTTTCTGTTTTCAATCTAAGTTTGTGTCGTGAATCTAGAAAACACAAGAAGATAAACTCAGCCGTGTTAAAGGAACATACCGGCGTAAAATTAAGTTAGGGTCAAACACACTGTAACACTGCTTACTTCTGTAGTTATACCAACTTTAGTAACGACTGCATTCGATCACTGAGTGCAGTGGAGTTTCGCAGCTCAAGGAAAAACATTTATGATTATTACTTCATGGAAATGTAATCAGACCGAGACGCTAAGGCAAAAGAACTACTGTGTCTGCAGTGCAAAATGATTATGATGATTATTACTTCAAGGAAATGATCTGCTGCACTCGGTGATCAACTCGTCAGGGCTCCCCTGCAAACAAGCAGCTGCTGGAAGAGAGTGGGTGAGTTGTGTTTAGTCTCTTTGCTAAAGAAACCGGGCAAAGCTAAAAAGATGTTTGATGGCTAGTACTATGGCTAGGACCCTATATGTACTGTTGTTGAAGTTAGGTGCTGTTCTGATGATTATTTGTGGTTGGAGTGGCGTTTTGGTTGAGGTTCGCGCGTGGAGATGTAGACCGTTGTGTTTTGCTATCAGGTGGTCATTACTAGAGTTGGTATAACAAGAGGAGCAAGCGGTCGGCAACATTTATCTCTCTAGGGGCTGTTTAACTCGATGTTACAGTGTGTCTGACCCTAACTTAATTTTACGCTGGAATATCCCTTTAACGTCACATGGGTGTTGACAGAGGAGATATTCAGTACATTTACATGTTGTTCAAATGACCAGATCTATTGCCAAAGTCTGACTGACACCATGTAAACGTGTCAGTCCAACTGAAATCACAGTAAACAATATAAAAACTCATGAAAGTGCAGAAACACTTGTAGTGCTTTTGTACTTAGAACCATGAAAAACACTGAACTGCTCTGATTTTTGTGCAGAAAATAATAAAAAAGCTGTTATTGGACACAGGCCTTAAGTGTGGGTATTGTGACTTGTAAACTGCAGGAGTTGGAAATGACCTGCCTGCTTGAGAGATGAGCAACTCTACTACTGAACCACAGCTGTCCCAAGGTGTTTGTTCATGCAACAAGTGAGAACGAGCTGTTATCTCTGATTTGTGTGTCAGATGAACACTTTTGTATGACGTGTTATTTCTTTTTGATTCTTGTCACCGAGATGTTAAATCCTCCGCCAGCAAATCTGTCAATACAGCCTCTCATGGTGAGTGTGTGGTTTGATCGACGTGTTGTGGCCTGCATGTTGACCACGACAAGAGGAAACATGCTTGTGAAGAACATCAGAGAGAAGGAGAGCAGCTCCCAGTTGGTGTCTGCAAGCTGTCACAGTCCCTTCATCTGTCTTCAAGGCCAGGCTCCTTTTCAGTATCACTAAATAATTACACACTCCACCACCAAACTCCTCTCCAAACTTCACCCACAGATCGCCAAAAGAGTCATTCAGATTCGTTTTTATTATCATTTTTTTACAAAAATATTTTACATTAGAAAACACAGCTTAAAATATACACAGTCCACTTGGTTCTGCAATCACTGCGGAACTTTTCAACTCAAATATATCAGTTTATAGGTAAATATATCTTTACAGCAAGAATAAATCAAGAGCCAGATTGTGACCCTTGGCTTTCAAAGTAGCTAAGAATGATCAAAGAAACAACCAGCAGTCACAAAAAGACTCTTTAAAACTCTATGACCTGCGATGTAAAATTAACAGGATTATAGCCTCTTCTGATTTTAATACAACCTAACCAAGAGCGGGGAATGCTTCCAAAACCAGAGGTGAAAACGACAAGATAAGAGCAGAGATAAGATTAGAACCAAAATTGAGGGATTTGTGCAGAAAAAACAGATGCTGATTGAAATTATCTACAGGCTTATTTTTCCATCTTTACAACTCTCACAGTTAAAAGTTTGGACCTTTTCTGCAAGAACACCAAGCTAGTCACAAAATAGAGTCGATGGATAGATGTGTGTGTCCGTGTTTGTTTATATGTCTGTGTCCATGGCCTCTAAGGTTTGTCAAAGGTCAGCTTCTAAATCGCACATCTACCTTTCGTTCTATCCTGTCATGCAGGCAGATTTATATTCATGCCCTCAGTTTCTGCAACATCTCAAGACAACATGGTGGAGCACAACATAAGAAAATACTTCGAATCCAGTCGAACTGTCTCTTCAGAAACAGTTTGGATGTTATCTTGGTAATCTGTGGACTTTGTTGGAGACAGTTTTCACGAGCACTACTTTGAAATAAGACAAAAAACTCAACCGTTCCTTCAGTGGGTGATCCAGAGTCACTCTGACATTATCTTTGCAAACATACTGTTGGGTTGTGAAATAGGATTTCAAATTGAGTGTTTGTTAAAAAACGAGAAATACAAATATTTTCATTTCCACTGTATTTGGGTTGAAGTAGAGACTGTTTTAAACCATGGCTTGTAGGGCTGGGCGATAAAATGACAATGATATAAATATCAGAAACTAATTTCCTCCTGATATCGATATAAAACATGGTTGATAACCTTTTTGATAGCCGGCATTCTGCCTTGTTTGGGTAAACCATACGAGTAGCCAATGAAAAGGGGAGTTGCTCGCGCTGAACCAATCATGTGCTGAATTAGAACCAAGTGGCAAACAGCTGCGTAGTAGCAGGCTGCAGCTACACGTAACCATAGCACTTTAACAGGTGAAGACGACAGAAAAAAAGAAATGAGTGCTACCACGGCAGAAATGCAGATGACGCAATGATGCAAAAGACACGCTACCAGTAAGCACTGAAAATTTCATTTTTTATGTCTTGATATATATCAATATCGACTGATATGAAAAAAATATATACTGTGGTAAACTTTTTCCCATATCGCCCAGCCCTAATGGCTTGATATCACTAAAGTCGGGCGTTAAAACATGATTTTTTGGTAAATTTTTGGTGAAATTTGTGAAATGTACCCTGTGAAAAAGCACCTGTAATGTGACGTTAAATTGGTAACAGTGTATTTGTTGGCATGCTGTCCCTGTTTCACCAGCTGAGCCCCCTATAAATAGTCTGTAATTGAGTCACTGTCGCAGCAAACTTGCTGCATATTTGGACAAATAACATTTCTCTTCAACAGGCTGTTTCCTTGCAGAGATGAAGCACTGTGACCATTCATTAAAAACTCTGTAAAGCCTAGTGGGTGTTTCGATGCCTACAAGGATGACTACGTCAGTTGGCAGTGCCCACCAAACCACATGTCAAATAAATAACAGCAAAATAAGCGCCAAAGTATACCAAATGATATAAGAAGAACAAAATGTTCTCGTTTTTGCTTCCACTGAGAGTCCCGTGGCCCTCCACCAGTCAGCTCAGGAACTTGGTCCCGTGCTTTGGCATCATAGCAGTTCAGAGCGGAGGGCCAATGAGAGCGTCCAGAGAGGTGGCAGCAGCCACAGGGGAGAGGGGGAGATACGGACGCCTAAAGGTGATGCAGTGTCAGAGGTGCAGGAACACACCTCGTACCCGTTCTCTGCGTGGTCGGGATGGTGGTGCACGTTGCCTTTTGTCCCCGTGCTTTTGAGTTCTGTGTCCGGAGAGTCTGACTGCATCTCTGTGCACAGCAGCCAGTCTTTAGCGATGAGGCGGGGGAATCCTGCCTCCACCTCCATGTCACTGCCCGGCACCCGCCAGTACTCCTTCCCCTTGAAGAAATAGGACGAGCCTACAGGGAGAGAGAAGAGGGTTGGTATTAGTGTGCATGTGTGTGAATGTAAAAGTGTGTCTATGTGTTTAAAACGGAGAACAACATTGCAGATTTGAATCTAGTACCCCCTGAGAGGTGCAAAATGTTGACAGTGGGAGAGAAAAAGCATATCAAAGAAGAACGATACAGCTCCGTGCCATCAGTGTCTAATTTACTAAAATACAGCCTTGTAACTCAAAGCACACCATGTGGTAAGCTTTTGAAAATCAGCTATTCCACTGTTTAGCGTTGACAGGGGGAGGTTGAAGAGCATTCCTCCTGCAGGGTCTCCAGATTTGTAGATTCCTGGCTGAATTGGGCTGCTTTCATGCTGCCATGGTTAGATTTTCTCTCTGCAGATTGAGCAGATCTATTTTCTTTTCTTTTTGAATGTCAAGTACAGCTGCATGAATGAATGACATTCATAATCATATCATAAATAAACGTCTTCACTGTGGCCGCACAAAAACAACCACATCTACATGCTGAGCAGCACACACACGTGGAATAAGCATGCAATTTGAAGTTTATGAGCCAAATACACAAGGGCGCAGTAACACAGTCTTCCAAGCAGAAACACCGTCTGCCTGTTCGCACAATAGTTATTGCTGCCGCCTACCCCACACTGCATCCGACAAACATGGTGAGTTATAACAGGATGAAAAAGGCAAAACAGTTCTGACAGCCTGTTTAAACCTGAATTTGTTTAGTAAATGTTGAAAAAGGAGTATTTGAGTGGAAATAACTGAATTAGATAAACATTAACAGTTTTTTTAGGTTGAGAGGAAAAAGAAAAGACAGAAGTATCAGAGAGATTCTTTGTATGTTGCACAAGATCAAGTCCATCCAATGCTGCTTTTAGTGCTGGTATATATAACCACTCTGTATTTTTGAAATATGTTTGACAATGATAGCAACATATTGCAATAATGTGTGGCAGAGGTTTTTACTGGCTAATTTTAAACTCGCATGGGGCTGATTTATTAGCAGTTGAGCTGGTGGGCAGGATGAGAGCCTGCAGGGAAGATTTGTGCAGCAAGAGCCGGAGATGCTGACTGCTCATCATCCCCACAATGGATGAGCAATCTGCTGTTCTGCAGCCAAACTTTGTGGAAACTTGAATATCATTGCTCCTTAAAGTAACCGCAACCTATTTTTAATGGATTTATCTCCTTTTATTGTTTTTTGGTTCACTAATGTCGCAGGATTTTCTTTGCTCTTATCTGGGATACACAACTGGCCCACAAGTAGTAGAACACTGAAGACCTTAATTTCATGAATGAGTGATCCAGGGTACAGACTGTTTATGCTTTTTAGTTACACACTGCTGTTACCAACCCACAGTGCAGCTGTTCAAGACAGGGAGGGACAACAAGGTACATATGAGGGGGCACGTGAAGCCTTATGTCTGCTATACAAAGAGATGTAGCTTTAATTAAAATCTGCAGACTTTTTTTTTTTTTTTTACCTACTGTTACCCTAAATTTCCACTACATACGGGGCGTCACCGCTGCGGAACGGCAGCAATTTTCACAGTCCGCCAATTCCTACCGGATGCGTCTGTGAGGCGTATTTTGTGGTGATTTTCGGACAGCGGAATCGCCAGGACTCACAAGAACCCGCGAATTCACATGCAATCGCACGCTAATGAGTTGTCTCTATAAAAGGCAGCCACATAACCATGTAAGCAGGAGATTGTCTTCTTCCAGAGGAGGAAATTCACTCTGTCCAGACCAGTAGATCAGACACTTTTGTGGAGATAAGAATAAGAACAAGAATAAGATAAACTTTATTTAATCCCCGAAGGGAAATAAAAAAAAAAAAAAAGAAATAGAAAAATTAATAAATAAAATTAAATTAAAAAAAAATTGGGAATTAACCATGGTTTAGTGCAATAGTTATCGGTAACCCTTTCATTTACGGTACACTTATTACCAGGTAATTAACAGGTAATTACCTAGTAACAACATGAAGTTATCTGGTAATAACATGATAACTACTAAGTCAATACTGTCTAGCTACCAGGTAGGTAACCTTCCATCAATCATAGAAAATAAGAACCCCTAATAGCTTTTGAAAATGGAGCTGCACAAAAAAAAGAAAAACTAGACAGTATTGACTTAGTAGTTATCATGTAATTACCAGATCATTTCATGTTGTTACTAGGTAATTACTTGTTAATTACCGGGTAATAAGTGTACCGTAAAAGAAAGGGTTACCCATTTATCTTATCTATAAAACAAAACATGTTTGCATGGTGTGAAATACGATCCGGCAGAAACATGTACTGTTTTATTTTGAAAAGAAGCTGGATGTTTTATTTTGTGTCTGTGCCCAACTTCTTTTCCAGCACGAGCTAATCTTAACTAAATTTATGCACATGCTGAGGTGTCCAGAAAAAATAGAATGCTGGCGATCGGCTATGAAGCCCGCTAAACCGTAGGGGGGCCAGAAAGAAGCTGGCGGAATTTGACTGATTGACTTGAATCGAAACAATCAGCGGCGATCAGCGGCAACAGCTTTTCGCCGCCCATCCCCATGCGGTGGAAATTTTGGGGTTAGGTAGCTTGAATTACCTCCCAAATCATTTTGCTGGATCTGCATTGAAACATAAGCCGGTGATGTAGCAGACGTACAGTAAGATAACATACAGTAAGTTTCGTTTTGACTCCATTATAAGTTCTCAACCTGTTTGATTTGACCTCCGCCCAAAATTAGAGTGGCAGCAAAATATATAAAATATCCATCCAAATTTGCAAAGATGTAAAAATAAATCATGTATTTTACTTCCACATGAAAATATTAGTCTAAGACCAACAACGTGATCATAGTTGGGAGAACTGGCTGCTCAGATAGAAAATCAACACCCTCTTTCTTTATGAAATAAATGTGTGCTACTCTGGCACACATCAGTGTTTACCAGCAGTTATGTGTTTGTCACTAGATTTGATATTTCAGTGGCTGTTAGTTACCGTGACATGGCAGTGATTCAATGACAAACTCTGATGGATGGTCTGGACCAAAATGAAGGTGGCGGATGCATCCTGTATACACTTGGACGGTGCGCAGAATAGCTGAGTTGAAGCCAATAACTTTGCTCGTGATAGCTGCAAGATTGAGCACCTGCATAAGCGAGCAGCGGCAGGAGAGAATACACAAATCATCCTTAAACTGGATACAAAGAAGAGAGGGAGCGTTTCTGTCAGGATCTTTCCAGAGTATTAGAGGGATCTGCAGATTCTACAACGCTATGACTGTTGCTTTGGTAGCAGAAAAATAATATTTTAAAGACGAACTCTTAAATCTGACTGAGGTGATCAATAAAAAGGGGGTTCAACTATTTTGAGGCGAGTGTGTGCGTATGTGCGTAACGCCTCCTGGACTTCCCTGACACTGTAATTGCACCGTGTCAGTTGATTGCTACTGACATCGCCATTACTGCGCCTGTCCTTTTACTTCAGGGTATCTTAGTTAATTAGAGTCATTGAAATACCACATGGGCACTGGAGAGAAAAAGCACAAAACCAAATGCTGTGTACTCAAGATGAAAATGGCAATTTGCAGGAACAAAGCCTCCAATATTAAACGTGTTCACTTGAAAAGAAAAAGAAAAAGAAAAAAAAAAAGGTTCAGTTCTAATCAGAAGTGATAAACACGGAATTGAAAATGATAATCGCACATTATTGAACCACACGCACTCTGGCTTCTGTGCGTAAAACATGATGACTGTTTTGAGGAGAAAAATGATGTGTGCATAATTTGATATTAGAAATAAAGGATTCATAATGAAAGCACTGTAATTTACTGAAATTGAGTCTTGAATGTAGCTCAGCGTCTCCTGATCAGCTGGTGAAACCCTGAACTCTAAGATCAAGTAAGTGTGCGATAGTGCTGTGGCTCATTCATTGTTGCGAATGGAAACTGTGATAGTAATTGATTTAATTGATTCCATGAAAAATAGGTGACGGGCCTCCAGGGAGGTATAGAATAATCTATTGTTGTAAATGGCCTTGACGCTCACCATGAACTCCACAGGCAATATTTTTCTTTAAGGGAGTAATTGAACACTTTTCTGTAATTTAAAAGTTCTAGCCTACAATTATTTTACAGTACGTACTGAAAGAGGAGAAAGTACGACAAAACAGAGGAAAAGGAAATAAAGAAGAAAGGATTTCAGCATTGGATTTCAGATTTTCTAGCTACCAAGGACGTCAATTTGACCAAGATATCCGTTTCTGCTCTATGGTACATGTTCTTCTTCAATTGTATCCACTCCTCATCATTGATAATAGTGCAAAACACACAACCTAGACTCACGTGGAGTGGAGGATGACTGTCATGGACTACAGTAACAATGTGGTACAAAATGTTTGCAGTATTGTGGTTTCACAAAAGCTGATCTTACTCTATAGTTGTGTGGTTTACAGCGATGTGCATGCAACCTTCAGCAGACTTATGTCACTGGCCTCTTACACTTTCACCAGATCAAGGTTTCCCCACAAGTACACCTTATATCGTACACTGCAAAACATAATACTGGGGTCCAAATGTAGGATTTCACATTCCACTGTGCAATTGCATAGCAGGAAAAAAACAAAGAAGCTTGTTTTCATGTTAACCTGTTTGCCTGTGCCTGCTCCAGCCACAATATATCCCACTCACTGGCAATAAAGTGATCATGTAAGACTGTGGAACTTGAAGTCTACCTCTTTCTGCAGACTTGAGAGCACCCTTCATATTTTTGTCGTCTTCGTTTTCCTTTTGACAATGGTGAGCAATCCATAACTGGCTGCTGGCGTATTGATAACTGTGTCACCAAAGTTAGGACAACGATACACGGCAGTGTAGAAATGTTGTCCCGTTACTACAAAGGACTATACTTCATAATTCAGCTCGGGCATCTACTTCCTGTGTTTTCTAATCCCTGAACAGTACCGTCAGTCTAATTTGTGAATGTAAAGTGTTACTGTCTCCACACACCAAGTGAGTAAAATCATTCTCACCACTGAATAACATGTCAAGTCATTGTCAGGGCTCTCAAGTTTTGAACTAAGCTTAGAGTGAGATTTCCTGGGGGGGGTTGAAGATAACTATTAGTATAATTATCTCTTAAATACAACGGATGTACAAATGTATAAGTATTAAGTCGTAAAGTTGTTAAAATCTGCACTGTGGAGCATTTAGATGAATTGTACTTTAGTATAGGTTTCACAAACATGGAGATACTTAATCCTTTGGTACATGAGCATTACACTGTCATGAGTATCAGAACTTATATTTGAGATATATGAGAAATGCAGCTTTTGTGGAGGGGAAAATGGCTGGAAATGGCTGTACGGAGGCTAAATCCGTCAATACAGCTGTTAATAGCAATAGCATAGGGCTTTAGTTTATCATATGAGTTTATCTGCCATGAGGTGTTGAGGTCTCTGCATGTGTAAGTTACTGACTTACTGTAATCATCGGGTCTATCTCGTCCTTATAAAAACCTGCTCTATTACGGCGAGTGTCTGTCCTCTCCTGTAGTCAAACCGCAAGATATCAAAATCTACCCGGATACAGCAATGCTGCTTTTTGATTGGCTGTTCAGTAGATATACTTTATTTGATTGGCTTGCGCGTGGCACGCAGCTTCTGAACTCTCGGAGGAACTCAGTTGATTCGTACCTGTTCCATACTTAAAGAGGTGCAACTTGGTGGACATCACCATGTTCATTTAAATGCGTGAGAAATACGATGTGTGGCGTGTGAACAGGTGGGAATGCGTGTGTCTCACGCTGAGTGCGTGAGACTTGAGAGCCCTGCATTGTAAAGACGCGATTAGGCACTCAAACTGCTCTGGCAGCGAAAATGACGCAAATCGGGCAGGAGCTTAAAATGTCTCAACATGAGTGGATATTCACGTTGCGACAACCAATCAGCACAAAGGTTGCTGGGTGATGTACAGGTCGTTCAGTGTTGTCTAAAATGGAGGATAAACTGATCGGGTCCCTGTGTCTAAAAGACCTTTGTCTATCACTTGATCCCGATAGTTGAATTGGCAGAGATTACCGTTGAAATTATCATTGGTGCGCGAATGAAGCGAGTAAATATTATTCATTCACTCGTCTAGATTTGCGCGAATTAAGCGAGTAGATGATTTTACCCGTGCTTGGTGTGAGTGCCCCGTTAGACATTACGGAGAGGTATTGAAATAAAAAAAGGACAGGGTTGTCACTCATGGCAACTATCACCATAGAGATAGAGTTCAGTTGGCAGTGACCTCCCAAAGAGTCTGGGGTGATCTTAGATGTACTTCAGGTGGTCTACTTGTGATCGGATACCTCAGGCACATATTAATATCTCAGGTATGGCCTTGCTTTTACTCTGTAGCCAAACCAAGAAGCAGAGCCATGATAGGAACTCTGAGGAAAAGTCCGTTTTTTGCTCTTCTCTGAGCTCCTGATGTCTTAATATGACAATAAAACGCTTGAAGGATGGTTGGTGTTGATGTTTTCTTGTTGACGGTTAAACGCTCATGACTCCTAAAAGAGTCCGTTTCCTGTGCCCAGTTATGAGGATGTATTTAAGCAGGCCTACACCTTGTTAGAATTATAATAAGGTATTGTCTGGAGTTCACAGACCCATATTGTACAGCCAAATGCCTGAGGACCGACAGCAACATAGTTCATTTCTCCCACTTCCTTAAACTATAAAACACCGGTCCCAAAATAGCTCTGCATAGCCCTCTGCAGTCAGGACTGACCTTAATTTCCTCACTTTCTGAATATGTCCTCAAGTCTAGAACTGACCTTGATCCTCAGAGAGATGGAAATCCTAGAGTACACACACTCACAAAGTCCTCATCCTTATCCATCTATCACTGTTATTGGAAGTTCAGGCCCGCGGGGATGAGAGCCTTTCTGTCTTCTTCTTCATATTCTCCTTTCTATTCTTCAGAGACTAAGAGTCTTAGAGCTGTCAAGAGTGGTGATTACATATCAAATGTCACCCACTCCTGACTAATAACTCCTGAATCAACTTCAGAAGTACAGTTTGTCTTCAGATTATTTCACTGAGGGGGAATCGGAGGACAGACCCAACACTTCAAGTTGATGATGATGATGATGCAGAAAAGACCTTTTCAAGATTCCTGACCATGAGGAGTGCACTTATGCTGCAATCAGTTCTCGAGCCAAAACAAACTCTGAGTGAACAGGGCAAACAGATTTCATTAATATCAGATCTTCAGGGCTGTATCTTTGAATGCCTGACTGAAACACAGGGATGAAATAACACAGATGATGGCTGTCCTAATATTCTCTTCAACAAATCACTGACAGCCCCAAACCACAACGTTGTTTTTCTCACAGCCAGAGTCTGTTTATTTACTGGAGCTGTACAATGTCGTAAAAAACAGGTCACAAAATGTACAAAAACTCGTTTGAAAATAGCCAGCTTTAAGATGGTAATCGCTGTTATTGCCAAGCTGTAATTATTGACCCTGAGTATTCAGCTCATGTATTTTTAACAGCTGCAGATTTAAGCTTCAAAGTGTTTGTGGCAGCATAACAGCCTGACTCTAAATAATCTCTGTGTTCAAAGAACAAAGGAACACGCTCACCTGTGTGCTGTTGTGTCTTGTGGTAATAGTTTCAGTATACCTCGGACAACAATGTAGACACTTTACAAAGAGGAAGAAGCTATGTTAGATAACAGCCACAATAAACATGGGACTGCACTACACCCTGCAACACCTCAACAGTGCAGGGACCTACACTCGGATTCTGTTTGTGGACTCAGCTAGGCGTTCTACACAATCGTTCTTGAACTTCTCCACCACACCACCGACACAGTCATGAGTCTGCATACAGACCAAGGTGGATCAACTGTTCCTCTGGTGTGGTAGGACCACCTGGAGCTGGACCTGCTCAAGACTGTGAAGATGACTGTGGACTTTAGAAGGAGCTCTTCTTCAGTGTCTACTGTGGACTCATTCCAGTTCCTGCGACCCGCTACCTCCAGGGACCAGAGGTGTTTGGTTTGGGTCCTACCGTAGCAGAGGCAGACATGCTTCTATCAGTGATTTGAATCTTGTCCAGTGCTTGTAAACATGAACAAAGACTGTAGTCCAGTTTATTCCCCAAATCGAGCTTCAACCATAGATCAACTTCACAGTGCATGTGGCTCCTCCTCCTGCTCTCACATCAGTACCTAGTAGACAGTGTCAACAGGCAGAGGTGAAATGTGCTGGACTTTTTGGTGATCATGTTGACCTTAGCAGAGCTTTTGTTGTTGAGAACTGAGGTTTTTAATAATCAGATTCAATCATATAACACAACCATGAAATACCACAAACAAAAGCACTATTTGTTCTTCATTTTTTCAGAAACGGATGGTGATGAACCATCATCTTCAGAGTAACGACAAGCACAGAACAATGGTAACACGTTGAAATTATGGACTGTTACAACTTCCTCTGAGCTGAACTTCCTCAGAGTTAATATTCATGCCTGCCAAATTTCATTTCCTCTGTTTTTACCTTTTACAAGCTATGACTAAAAGGCTAAACAATTCCTGGGAGCCTCACCCACACCAGCAGCAGCAATGATTAGTATAATCATTACAGCCACATTACTATCCTTAATGCCCCCTCTTTCCCTTTACAGCACCATTCCCCACAGTTTTACTGCCTTTTTCTGTCGCTGTGATTTCTCTATCTGTCCTCTGAGTCAAGCTATCTATCTTTCTAATATCTTTTCTTTTCTTTCCTCGTCTTTGTGATCTTTCTTCACCCTCAAGTGTCCCCATTTCTCCTCTTGTCTCAATCCCGCTCAATGCATCTTTTTCTCTCTTTGTCACTTTTTTTTCGATGGTCATAACAAGGTGTCACCATACTTCTTTGCTTCTTTTCGCTGTCATATTACTCCTTTCTCTCCTCTACAGTTGCTACCTCTTATTTTATCTCACCTGAGTTGGTGAAATAAACAAAAACCAGGCTTTGATGTGGCTTCAGTTCCCATGGTCCCACGGTCTGTGTGTATCTGCAGGGCTCCAAGTTTACCCCTCCAGGCTGTGCAGTGATAATGGCCGGGGGTGTGCAGAGTTTGGATGGTGTTATTGCCCTCATGCACTCATGAGTAAATGAAGACAGAACCCAGAGCACTCAACACCTGACAGATAGAGCTTTCTTACATTCTGTAGGGGGGGATTGGGACAGGGTTCAAACTCCAGAACCCAGAGACTAATGTGGTTATTTTTGAGTGCGAAAACGTCCTAGAATCATCGGAAGTCTAACAAACATATTTAACAGTCTAACAGAAACAAAAGTTGCTGGAAGTCAATTGAAAAAATGGAATTTGACAGTTTAACACCTCTCTATATCGTGCAGTAACCGTGCTGCTTTAATGGAAACAGTCGCTGACCTTGACGCTCAGCTGCTACAGTGTAGCTGCGCGCTGTGATTACACTGGGCCAGCTCCAAGGTCTGAATGTGTTTGACTGAGTGCGTGTGGAGCAGAGTGTCGGAAGAAAAAAAAAAAAAGAAAAAGCCATGTGTGCCACGTCAAAATAACAGATAGAAAGGTTAAAAAAATATTGTGACACATTAAAAAAACAATCAAATGCAAATGCGCCTCTAATCTGCATACTGCAGCTCTGCCAGCAAAATATTATGCAGGGATACAACCAGTGAGAGTGCCAAAATAAAATAAACTCACATAAGATAAAAATAAATACCATGACAGAGTACACTGGATGAAAGGAACCAAATCTTTAATTTAAGATACTTTCACTCCTGTAGTGTCATATCGCCAAGTGAAAAAACTTCAACTGAACTCAGAGGAAATTAAATTTGAATTTATGCCCTTTTGGCTTTTCAAGATATACACCCCCTCACTTTTGATTTATATTTGCTGTGTTTGTTTTTGCTCATTATAAACCATCAGAAGTAAAGCTGAATGTCGTGTTGAGGGTCTCAATCTACTGAAGTAATATCTATTCAATAATAATGATACAGGTCATGTGCAAGTTAACCAAAACACTCATTAGTTTAAATGATCTAACACAGACTACATGATCGTGAAGCATACCAACAGTAATACATGCCAGTAAGCCCAAGTTTAGCTAATAAAAAGTGATGTCATCTTTGACGTGATGGTATACTAACGTTGTCTGATTGGCACTGAACTCTGAATTTTGGCTCTTATTGACCAAATGATGGTACGACTTGACAACTGAGCAGACTTCGCCGGTTCATATTTGAAGGGAAACATAAACTTAAATGATTTGTTGCTGTTTGACTCAAAACTATAGATTTCGGTCTCATTACACAAGAGCCACGTGTTACCATTGTCAGTGGAGTGCTGAGATATTTTAGTCTTAAACAAAGAAGATGAAAGTCAGAGCCACTTTCTGCATTGCCAAACTGTTCCATTTTAAAAGAGATCCTAACACACTAAAGACAGTCTCCAAGTCTTAAATGGAAACATACATTTCATGTGAATATAAATGATTTCTAACAGACTAGTCCAAGGTTAAGAAAACACTCAGTATACAGTTCAAATTCAGCACCAATTCTCAAAGATGTGATCATGAAACCTGGGATGAACATTGTCAAACAGGTTGGCTCAGTGTGGCTAACATCGGCAGAGCAAGAACCCCCAGCTTTTGCTCCTGTTTATGTGGTTATACGCCAGTTTCACCACACACAGCCTAGATTTACTTCTTTATCTTTATCTTTGTTGTCTTGATGGAAAATTTTGAACCATGAGATGCCATCTATAATGCCTCCATGTTTGTACCTGGGTAGTAGAGAGTTGCCTTTAAACCACAGATACAGCCTTGCTAAAAGGTGAGAGCATTGCACTTCCACTTCTACCCAACAGCTGACTGACCTACAGTAATAGGAATATTATTCTCCAACACCGGTGATGAAATGTAATTGTTTAGCTAACTCGTATCTCTTTCACTGTTTTTCATTTCCCTTAAGAAGTTGGTTCAAACTTATCTGATCAAAAAACTTGAACCAAAACTTGAACGTTTGCTCGCTTGCATAATTGGACCATCTGAGTCTCATTTTTCTTTTGTAATTCCCTCCTCTTTGAGGATCCCCCCTGAGAAGGATATTGCATGGTCTTGCCTTGGGCTTCAGCACACCCAGAGCAACCAGTGGTCTGATGCTCCGGTGGAGTGTTACAACTCTATTTCTTCCTGACAAATGCAATCATTTATCACTGGGAGAAACAGGCACCGGTGATTCGTCATCTATATTGAATGTAATCAATCAGAATGTGTATAAAATCCATTTTTAATCAAGACAGAGGAGGTCAAAATATGTCACTGGCTTCCTCTCCCACTCCTAACTCTAGGTGACAGATTACTTTTGGATTTTAGTCTAATTCATTTATTTTGTGGAATACTGAAACAGACGTCTTCACTATCTCACCTCTGGAAGTTCTTCAGGGAGCAAGCAAGGCATGGAGACAAAGACAGACTCAGGAGGGACTCGCTTTAAAGCTCTTCTTTTGAGTTAAGAAACAGTGAGACAGTTTTAGAGCAGTTTTGTTCACCTGCTTTAGAGAAAGGCTTTCACTTACTCTGCGTTTTAGGTTTTAATGATAGTTAAACGATGCTGACAGTGCCAAACAAGCAGTTTGTTAAGTAAGGGACCGCATACAGTGAGCAGCAACCTGATGCCAAATGAAGAGTTCTTCAGCTGAAAACCCACAGGATGCACATTGGGCGCATTTAGTCAGCGTCGCTTTCCAGCTCAGTCGAACAGCGCGCGTCTTCGTCCACAGGAAGCACGTTTGGAGCGTAGCAGCAGCGTAGCTCAGCCCTGGTCAGCTCACAATAGGTTGCTTTGCCTTTCTGTCATTGTTTTCCTATTAATTTGGATATTTTTCTTGACTGTTGAGCTTCTACTCAAGCAACATGATTTTTAAGTTTGGGTTTTTGCAGGTTTACTCGTGTTTGGTAAAAAATGTTCCACTTTGCTTTGTTTGCAGCTAAAAGTCTTGTTTAGAGTTGTTCTGAATTGCTCCAATACTGCAGGAAATGATGGCATCTGTATTGGCAAGTACCGGAGTCAGATACCACGTCATTTATTAAATTAGTAATTTATTTACTGGTTAGCTTCTTTAGCTCTGTTCTGTTTAAATCCCCTTTTTATTTAAAAAATATTGTGGCTGCACTTTAATGTTTTTGACATAATTACTCCTGGGTTTATTGAATTAAATTGCATTTCTTTTATACTGTTCTATCTAAAAATAAATGGCTTGAATCTGCTGTATTTATTTGTGTTTTACGAAGGGTTTAACCTGAAACTTTACCATAATGATAATCACATCACAGTCATGCAGACCTGGTATGATATATTTTTAATAACATACTGGTATTAAATTGGTACTCGGTATCGGCCGATACCCACAGCACAAGTATCGGAACATCTCTAGTCCTGTTGTGGTCCACATGGATCAGGGATTGGCCACAGGGTTGATCTGTGTTAATGATAAATCCATAACCAGGAAGTATTGGAACAGTTGGAAGTCCACATATGGTGTTTTATTTTGAAATTTACTGGAATTACTATATCCTGCTTGTGCTTGACTTCCTGTCTGATGCTATCTGCTCTGTTGAGACTGACAGGTTGAAAGCGTAGAGCGTTGAAAATAGACTCAGTGTGTATCTTTAGCAGAGTAGCGTAGCACGCGACGCTGACGAAACGCACTCAACACGCATCCTGTGGGTTTTGGGCCGCAGATGAAACGGGGACTGCTTCAATATCATTGCTACACACAGCAGTTCGCTTAAACTCCTTCTCAGTGAGCTGTGTCAAGCTGCTTTAAACTGAACAGTTCTGCTGTTGAGAGGTGGGACAAAGTAATCAGGACTGCATGAATCACTGCGGCAACTAATGAAGGTTTTTAGCCTTGTCACGGTCTGTTTGTTGTCTCTTTTCTCTCACCAAAGTAGCACATACTATGCTTCATTTGGTGTTTGCTTCATGTGCCCTCTTTTATTTTATTATCCTCACTTACAAATGGAAGTCTATCAAAAATAATACATTTTGTTATAAAACAAAAAGTGTGTTTACATTGAGTCCATGAGAGTCTGTGATAAGAACGTCTCTAGTTAATTCTGTTCTGAAAACGTCTCAGTCTGTCCAGAAACACTCAGTTGTTTGGTAATAAAACTAAAGCCAGTTCTGTTGGAAACATATTTTTATGTCAACAGACAAGATTTGACTAGATGATGGTATGAATGAGGACTCAAATCATTTCTGAGGCTTGATAATGTTATTAGTATCATTTAGAATAAGAGATTCCCCTCCCTACCACTAAACATGTAACCTGAGAAACAAAAAGATCTTTGACGCCTGAACCAAACCATAAATGTGACTGTTTTACAAAGATCATTGTCATTGGCATCCTAACATGAATATACACATTTTAGAGACGGATCATTTTGATCACCTTGGGAAATACCAACTGTCCTACCAAGAGTCAGACAATGGGGTGAGGGATGATTTTCAGTCATGACCAAAGGCAAAAGAGACCCAACTCTTTCATGCTCTCACATCTCGGCTTTCCAGGCCGCCTGCTGTCTGTTTTGAAAAATATGCATCAATCATGGACACGGTTTCCTTCACTCTCAGGTGGTCTAAGTTGATGTTTGATGTTCTGAAGCATACTGATGCAATAAACCTCAAAGTAAACCTTATATTTATTAACCTTCATGGCAACCTTATCCTTAAATGCCCAACTTTGGTTTCCTGCAAAGATCGGAATCGTGGATCTGTATATCAAGGGGTTAAAATTCAGTAACCTTGCAGAGTGACTGGTTTTACCCTACGGGAAAGTTTATCAAGTTAAAAAGACCTGTGAGTCAACTATGAAGCCTATCATTGTGCTCTTAGAAAGGGCTAGACAAGAAAGCACTGGAGTAAAAAAAAAACACCTCCCAGCAGCTAGATGAGTGTATGTTTGTTGAACATGTGAGAAGAAAAGGTCTTTATGCTCACTCACCATCAGACCACCTCATGGCATCATCCACGTTTGTTGGCAGCCCCTTCCACAGCGTGCTGTCTTTAGGGTAACCCAGGTCCATGCGTCTCAGGTGGTCGTCGTAGCGCCAGTAGTGGTTGTCCTTGAAGAAGTAGGTTTTGTCGTTGTGGAGCCAGACGAAGGCAGCATCCACGCCGTCAGAGGGGAGGCCAAAGTCACTGATGGGGCGAGGGTAACCCTCCTCCACGATATTATCTTTAAATACCCAGTACTTCAAACCTGAAGAGGGTGGACAGAAAATCCATTTCACAATTTGTAGTTTTATACTCTGCACTGCACTTCAGATAAAACACATGGGAGGCTAAGAGCAGAGCACTCAAAATGAAAATACATTCACACATTTTATTCTGTAACATTGCAAATATAAGACATTCTTCTCCAGGAAAGCTTTTTTTTATATTTTATACCAATTGTTGCACATGTCCTTGATTCTATACCCGAGCTTTTTTAGGTTAGATGTACTTATTTTTCCCTTTTCACAAAGAGAGACTGTTTCCTTCAATATCCTGTCACGCCATTCTTGTAGAGATTCCATACATACTGCCTCCCCATAGTTTTTATAAATCAAACTTTAAAAAGTCTGCAGGTCAACAGCAGTTCTTTACCCTCTCTCCTCCAGCAGCCGCTTGTTCTTGGGGATTGAGCCCTGACGAGTCAATCACAGAGTGCAGCGGATCATTTCCATGAAGTAATAATCATAAATGTTCTTCCTTGAGCTGCGAAACTCCGCTGCACTTGGTGATCGACTCGTCAGGGCTACCACCACAAACAAGCGGCTGCTGGAGGAGAGTGGGTGAGTGTAGACTGCTGTTACTTAAGTTGGTGAAAATAGAGAAGATAGCAGTCGTCAACATTCATCTCTCAAGGGGGTGTCTAACTTGGTGTTACGGTGTTTTTGACCATAACTTCGTTTTATGACGGAATATCCCTTTAAGTGCTTTTAAACTAGCTCTACTTTTTTTTGTTGGTTTTGGAAACTTTCTCCAGGATTTGATATCATGTTTGGGTTTACCTTTAAAAAATACAATTTTATGATCTCCAGGCCTCTCGTAGACGGCGTCCACACTGTCCAGGTTGGTCGGAAGGCCCCTCCAAAAGCGATTGATCTGAGCCGGACGGAGAGACACCAGGTGCTTCTCTCGTGTAAGTCGCCAAAAATACTTTCCTAGAGGGAAGAGGACAGGGTGTGTGGTTTAGTGACATTTAGACTGTTGGTAGAATCCATCATGGCTGCAGCAGCTTCTGTCATTTTGATTTTCTTGCAGTAACAAATAGGTAACCTGACACTGTAAAGATAATCCTTGTTTATGCTGTCATTGCCTGATCTGTTTGGGGATTTTGTAAAACATAAACTTGAACTGAAAGTGTCAAAGTCAGTTTTAGGTTGGCTGGTTTTGTTATCGGTCCTACCAAATTCGGATTAAGTACATATAAGAATTGTTGCTGCTGCAGTTTCTACATTGTCCTTTTCACATGTTTTTTCCATTTGCTGTGCTATTTCTAAGAAATGTGGCGTTTCAGGCCCAAGGCTGAGTGAAAAAGAGTTTTCAAAAGTGTGAAAAATATATAAAACTCCGCATCAGACAATCACTAAATCATAACAAGCTGAGTCCTGTGTCTCGTGGATTCTGATTTAGGAGGTTCAAAATGGCAAAATAACAGCGTCTCATATGTAAGAGGCAGAACCTCAGGTGAACCTTCAAATCTACATTTATATTTTCTCAAATGTCTGAGAAACCAACATGCAAAGGGCAAACTGCTTGAAACAATGATCTATTAACTTTTAATGTCATCTCTTGTAAGTCGTATAAAATATTCAGAAAGGTTCAGAAATGTCAGTAAAAGTTCAGCATACTTAGCTAAAACATCTGCTGCTGCTGAAGGACTGGGAGTCTGCCTCTTGTTTCTGTTGTCAGTGTGAGGCTGCAGGTCATTCCTCCGGAGGCCCCGCATGAAAGCCTGATGTAATTTTTGGACTGCAGTCTCTCAGCAGGACTCAACAGGCTCAGTTGGGTTTCTACATGCACCCAGTGCTCTCCTATTTATCTCTTCTTTTTTTTCTCTCTCTCTCTCTCTCTCCAGCCTTAATTTGCTTTCCCTCCTCTTACTTCCGCTCATTTAGCTAATTTTGCTTTATTTTTCCCCACACAGCTCTGTGGCTCTGCGTCTGTCTGTCTCCCTCTGTGACTTGGTACCTTTGAAAAAGAAGGCCTCCCCTCGAATCTGGGCCACTGCATCAAAGTGACTGGTGCATCTGTCGGGGGCATCTCGCGCCAGCCTGAGAGAGATGTGAGGGGAGTAGAAAAAAGAGGAAGAGAAGATTAAAAAGAGAGGAAAACAAGAAGCTCTTGTGTAAAACTGGACTTCACCACTTTAAATTTTTGAACACTAGAGACAAAAATGTTTCTGTACTCTGCTGACTAACCTTGCATCTAAAATAATTTATCACATAGAGGAAGAAAAGGCTGTTTGTCACTTGCTTTGCTTTTTATAAATCCCACTTTAATGCTTCCATCAGCCTCTGCAACTGGGTTTTCTTTTGCATGAATCAGAGGGATCGGGCTAAACAGAATAGGAGATGCCATCATCCAAACACGCCAAGGTCTTCGGGTGCATTTATCCCTGGGGCTTTTAGGTGACTTAAAGCGCTAACGTGGCCAGCCTGCAAATGATGAAGCTATCAGCACTACAGGGTTGGGAGTGGGAGCCCGCCAGGCCTTCTTTTACCAACAAAGGTCTCCATTCAGCGCTCTATTAACACCACGCCATCACCCATCGGCCAGTACAGGTGCCCTTGTCAGGCCTAATCCAGCTTTTCCACGCATCGTGACCTGATGGATTCAGCAGGAAATGATTAATGAAGGCTGTGGAAAGTTGAAACCCAGGAACAAACGATGGTTCATTATCCCACCAGTGCCTGTTTGGTGTAGACACCCTTCTCCGAGCTGTCTGGTTGTATTTTCCTGCATTACTGTTGAACGTGCGTGTCTCTGAAACGAGTTTGAGTCGCAGACCTCCAATTTACGACACTTTTATGAAGTCTTTTTTTGGACCTCTCAGAGGCCACTTTATGGTCGACGCTTGGGGGTTTGAGTGTGAGTGTGCGTGTACATGAATGATACATAAATGGACAAAATGAGGTCTAATTATCCTCCGTAATCTGAGAAACTACAGGCTGATGGCTGCCCAGCCTGCTTTTGGGAGTTACTTAATTAGACGGGCAGGCTCCCAAGCTCAACCTCTTAGCTAATTTGCTTTGTTGGCACCGCATGACTCCCTATCAAGCTTAGAAAAATATCTTTTTACAATAAATGTATTCCTTCATGGGTTCATTACATTGTTTTTTGGTAAGCGTGAGGGAAAGTATGAAAAATGAAAAAACAATAAATATAATTAAAATGTTACGCAGGGAACCATCAGAAAAACAGACATATCTATTTAACAGGATCCAATATGGTTACCAAGCAGTAAATGCCACCTGCGTAAGGCAGATTAAAGGTTCGTTTATGCTCGCCATTTTTATGAAAATGTACGTGTCCATTTCAAATGATGGTTCCGTCACTGCCCACATACTTTCATGTGTCCTTTATGTTAGCTGGATGATAATCATTACATCCATCAGGGGGCAGTCCAGAGTCAAACGTTTCTGACAACAAACTAAACAAAGACATGGCGACTGTTGAGGAGCTAGTGATGATGTATATTTTGGAGACAGAAACGGAAGCGGCATTGGAGGAGGTGGTGGTCGGTCAGGCCACTAAATGCCTCGTGGTTGGAGGACGTAGAATTCTTTTCTCTAGTAGTACCAATGAGAGAAATTGACAGTTATCAATTTCAATACTTCAGGATGTCTGCCGGGGCATTTGACAACTTGCCATTGTCTTCTTTGCTTCTCTCTAGAGATGCATATCGGGTAGTGACAGCAGCAACACTGCCCCTCTGGTTTCCGGTGGTACTACTCCGTCTGGGCCGTATTTGCAAACTCCAAGGATACTTTCAGAAATACGGATGAAAAGAACGCGAAGCACGGACGGAGGGCCCCGTCCAAATCAGGCTCTGTATGTATCGTTGAGCCTGATTTTCTCCTCCTGGTTAAGGAACTTTGAAAAGTTTGAAACAACATCACATTTAACTAATGAAAACTTAACAGAATTTTTCTGGTGTTTATCACAGATCAGCCTTTGCCAAGTCAAACCATGAGACAAATCACAGAGAGGTATTTGTGAGCCAAGTCTTTGTTAAAGGAGTCATTTCTGGTGCTTAAATTAGATATTTTATTGACATCCTCTAGTCTGCGGTTCTTGGGCTATTACTGACTCATGCCATATCAAATGGCATTTACAAAACAGACGCCCAATAATTCGTGGCACATCCCTGCGAGGTCACCACATTTCAAATATGTAAAGCTGTTGAACTGGAGACTGGGGGATTTTTATAGAGGGAAAGCAGACTTTTTATGCAGGATTGTACTTAATAAAAAGTTTTTTTTCGCTCTCTTTTATATTCTGTTCCATTAACTTGATCCAGACTTTGTCTCTACTCACAGGAAAGTGGATCTGTTTTCAGGAAGATCCAGCAGCACGGGAGGCTCCGCTGTCTGAGACGGGTTGCCTGGTCTGTTTGTGTGGGAGACCGAATCTCTGACACCTGAAGAAATGAAACATCGGCTCATATGGATATCAAACAGATGAAAAACACTCATTTGATTCTCGGTTTGCTTTTTTCTCTTTTATCAGTCGCACCAACTGTGTGTAGTTCTGTTCTCCCTTTGATCACTAAACACTTCATTCATCTCTTCACGGTCATCGCTCTCTTTCATTTCCTCGATCAATGATACTTTTATAGTTCACATGCCATTACAAGGTCCAATTAACACATCCATGTTTTCATTAAATCTAAAACGTTGCTCTACAGAACTCTTTGCTCGAAGCTTCCCGTGTGAAGAAGCTTCTGTTTCTTCACTCCGCTGAACTGTGGCGAGAGAGCGGCTGTTTTCACCACTGCACCAAGAAACCCATAATTACAGCAGAGGCTCATGAGTCATGGTCAGTGGAGGAGAGAGAGAGAGAGAGAGATTCTGTGAATGCAGATAGGGATAAAACATGTCTCTACATATGTTCTCGGCTTCACAGCAATAATCAGATGTGGAGGAGAGCTGAAAACATCTTTGTTCATAAAATTAACTGCTTACTGAGCCAGTATGTAGTGTAGTAAAAAGGCCCTTTTCATAATATACCATACATTTGATAGAATCTGTTCAGTAGATACTGACTAAAAGTTAAAAAGAAGAGGAAAACTTGGAAAAAAAAAGTTTCCTAGAATCTTAAAAGACTTCCCCTAAATGTCATACACACGCCCCTAAAAGGCAACCTTCTTCTCCACTTCAGCCCTATCTTTCTCTATACATACCATTTTTACATAAGTTCTAGGTATACATTTTCATTTGAATGCCAATACTTCAATTCCCCTTCACTATCTCTTAAACACCTGCTGTGAACATAGACTGTAGACAACTTGGTTTCACCGTCCGCCAGTGTATGGATTTAAAGCCAAAAAGCTCTCGGTATTTCAGTTTTTTCTCTCCACTTCTTTAAACCAACATTGCGCAGGAGTGACCCACTGTGCAATGCTACGTTGAAATGACATCTATTTAACATATTTTTTCAACAATGAGGTACAAATGTGGACATCATTTCAACGTCTAAAAGAGGTCCAATAATGACATCTAAATCTTGGATCCATTTTGCACGTTAGGCCGATGTCTATATTTGGTCTAGACGTCAGCAAACATCAGAGTGATGTCTAAAAAAGGTACAATTTGAACGTTGAAATTTCTAACCTATTTTGCATGTTGCACTGACATCTAGATGTGGTCTTTGAAGGACCGACCCAATACTGACTCGATCTGCACGTCTCTTTGACGTCTGATGTTTGGTGGGGTTGTACACACTCCACTGCTTGCGCACTAACGTTGTGCGCATTCTACGGGAGAGTCGCTGTGATGACGCTCCGCTCAAACAGCGTATCTCCCAGGTGAGATATGCAATCTTCGTACACCCATAGGCTGTATCAAGTGTCAATCATAGAAAACATGAACCTCCTAATAACTTTTAAAAATGGTGCTGCACAGAAAAAAAAGGACTTGAGCACAAACCAGTCTTACAATAACTACATGTCAACATCACAACCAGGGGGGAGGAAAATTATAATCTGTGTAATTAATATCTAAAGTTTGTCCACAGATCCATAGGGATTGCTGGAGGAGGCGGGGTTTATGACTTATACTGCAGCCCGTCACCAGAGGGTGCTGTTCTAATGAAGGTTTCACCCAGCGAGGAGGCAGACAGCATCCACTCTATACACAGTCTATGGGTGTGACATCTTTTAAGTACAAACCACAAGCTATCCTCACTAATAAATGCCAATAAATGTTCTCCTTTCATTCAGTTTAATCTTTTGTGTCAAAAAATATTATTTATTTTTCGAACATGCTGCCGTTTCTGTCATGTGTAAAAGCTCCAGACTGTCATTGTGTGAAAAAATTATGCCTGCAGCAGCTCTAACGTCAAAGTAGTTTCATGGTGTTTTTGAACAGATGCATTAATTTTAGGTCATCCAGAAGTGGACTCGTTAATGATAATTGGAACGTTTGAACATGACATCACTTACAAAATCTGCAGCAACACTAAGCAGATGGTCAAAATGTCCCTTTTGTTTCGTTAGTTTCAGTACTTGTGACTTTAATGTTTTGGGGTTTTTTTTTGCAGTGAGGTTTGTTTATTGTCCTGAATGTATGGACAGTACCTCACTCAGACATGTGCAAAAAGCCTGCATGCACAGTGTGTGGTGCATTTTACCCTAGATAGATGATGTTTTTTGGGGGGGCTTGCATACAGGCTTTGGGGCAGTAAAAGCTACACAACCTTTTAGCAAATCATACCATAAGAAAGGCAAATCATACCGTAGAGCTGCCAGACCCGGACTTTATCCTCATAGGGTAGGTCGTATTTTAGAGGGTCTCCCACAGGACCCTGGTAATACGGTCTCATGATGGACTCCATGGCTGAGGTGTGGACCAGGCCAATCGCATGACCAAACTCGTGGACTGCAACTGCGAACAGATCCATCCCATGAGAGTCTGAAAGAGACGAGCAGACAGAAAACTGTTGAAAACAAGAGTTGGTTTTAAAGATGCAAAAACATTATGAGAGAAGAGTCAGTGAAAATCATTTCAAATCATCAAAAGATGCTCAATATAACACGAGTTTGTACATGAACAGGGTGTCACAGAATATTAATGAGCACCAAGTTGTGATAGACACCAGTGTGACCTTTCTGTTGCAAGTCTGCAACCCAAATCTCGCTGTCAAGCCTCCGCTTAGGTATTTTATCCCCTTCCAACTCATCTGCTTATGTTGCAAATTAAGAGGCATGACAGACAGCTCAGAAGGCTTTGAGGGCTGGTAGGCGTTTGGTGCAGCAAGATAACTATGGTAATACTGCCAGAGTCCCTGGGCTAGCAATCAAAACCTGAGTGCAGAAAGAAACCTTGAGAGCCTGCAGGCTACTAAAGCACCTTTACTTCTGTGTTCAGTCTAAAAAAAGAAAAAGCCTCCAATACTCTTTGTCAGACTCTGCTAAGCAAGACAAAACCAGGAGCTTGGAGATTCAGGTTGTAAAAATATGGAGAGCTGGCATGTCGAGCCATGTCTGCTTAGAGTTCCTTGGTGACCAGGCTCAAGTCTGCATTCAGTTCACCTACGGTTGCCCTCAGTTTGGGATGTAGGTTTGTGCTCACAGTGCCCTAGAGGAGGACGCTGAAGGCAAATGCCAACTCTAATCTGCATGAGCACATGGTGCAGAGAGGAAAGGTGGACAAAAGGAGGGAGGGAGAAAGAGGACAGAGGCTCGGAAAAGACTATGTACCATGTCATCGTATTTACGCTTCATATGAGGCTGACAGAATAAATGTAATGCCTGTGGACAAAGTGAGGGCTGAGAAACGAGTGGATGAACAAGATCCATTTAAAAAAGGGAAAAAGACTGAGAGGGCTTTGTGTAACTTGTACTCACTGCAACAGAGAATACTGAGTATTGTTTTCCTGGATTTACAAGGACTTTTTTTTATTTACTATCAACTTCTATTGCAAGATACTGAAGATAGAAACCAAGGGTATCTTTTTACTGGACCTCTAAACTCTTCCTGTCTCTTATTCCCACAGTCCTAAAAACTCAGATCACAGGACAGGGAGGCTTTGATGTTCGGAGACTTCTGAAAGACTCATGTCTGGCTGCCTCAAAGACCTCATATAGCCCTCAAAGCCCTTCAGAGATGCCCTGAAGTTTGCCTTAGGGCTGCTGTGTTCTTGGAAGATACAGTCAACATGACTCTGGAGTGACTCAGAGAGTTTGGAAATTGATTATGATTCCACATGAAGACTTTGAGTCTAAAACTAACACCTTTATTTCAAAGCCCACTGGTCTCCTAGACTGCTCTTTTTTGTCCCTCCCATATTGATGAGTGACTGTGTCATAGTCTCTTAGATTTGAGTTTTTTTTCATTTGGAGAGATACTGGTGGTTTTGTCTTTGTGAGGGCTGAAGCCGATATAATCAGCCCAATACAATTGACCGACAGATTCATCGGTCTATCGCTAGTTAAGTGTGTTGCCCTAGGACCTTTTAGTCCCTATTAAATTAGTTAATTTAATCAGTTGTACAGATGATTGGCCAATGATAGTTGACCTGGGCTGATAATTGGTCTACCCAATCATGGTCACAATCATGACCTTGTATCTTACAATTACCTTATTTTTATAACTAGGTTAAATTAAGCTTTTATTTCATAATCTAAATTTGTGAACCTCCTATATGAGTACCTATAATTTAGATTCTTTTCCTTAGGGTCAAGGATAAATATGTCAAATATTTATTGAATAATCTTTCAGGTCATTGTGAGTAATGGGCTCCCATAGTTAATGTAAATTATATTGTGGTTGGAGTCATATATTAAAGTGTTTTGAGATGAGATGGACACATCTATTATGCTAAGCTATGTCATGTGGTCCATTTTGATGAAGTTTTTAAATAGATTTTTCTAGATTTAATTTTAAATATTTAGTTCCTTTAAATACTGAACAGCATTTCCAATCCCTTTATATTGATTTCATATTACATATCTGTCATTTTCCTCATCTATAGTCATATTATAACAGTAGCACTGCCGGTAAAATTGCACCATAGAGTTATAGAGTGTATATTTTAATATTCCTTTTGTGGACAACATTTATAACAATATTACTTGATTGAGAACCTCTGGGTTTCTCTTGTCCATCCAGTACTTCTAAATTTCAATCAGTCACAAAGCATCACAGACCAGAACAACATGTCGTGACGTTACAAGATAAAAAACATAACAAATAACCTGGATGAATTTATCATGACACAACTTTGTGACAAGACACAATGTGAAGGCTTCAAGTTCAGAGCACGTACAATCTGCCTTTGGGGTCATTATGACTCGTCCGGGGGTCAACTCATGAGGCAGCCGAGTGCACACAACTGGTCATCAAGTCCACCATTATGCAAAACATGACCCAGGTTTGAACCGCATGTAGTAAGACCAGAGCAATCAAATAGAAGAGAGGCCAGAGATCACAGAAAAAAAAACTCCTCAGTCTTGAAAACACAAAAAACAAAACATCAGTTCAGGTCCAAGAAGCCAGAAGAAGCCTTTTTTTTTAACCAGTCTTTAACCATCATCCAAACACCACGATTTGACTAGGCGCACATTTTCTTATAATCACTGTAAAGATTTAGGACTGAAGGGTGGTAATCTGACTCCAGTCCTTACTTTCTTGATGTGTAATGGAGCACTGATGACTTGACTCAGACTCATGCACCGCCAGCATTCAACTCAGAGAACAGATAACTGTCTCTGTGCTCCTAATGATTGACTGAAAATCAAAATTAGAGAGCGCCGGTCCATGGTCTGCCATTTCAGACAAACACAGATGATTGACGCTGAGCCTCTAAACACCAAAATTACATGCACTAGCCCAAAGATAGGGTGGTCAATTTTTACACCAAAATTTGTCTGCTGGGTGGTTAATATCTCATTTTTATCCACTTTACAGGGATTTCAACTTCCTATTGATCTACTCTTCAAATTTCTAATTGTAGTAATTTGGAGTGAAACAGTTTTCCTCATAATCCCCCTGGTAATAGGGACTCAATGTGGACCAGGAAATGAGGACTTGGCTAAGACTTATTCAGGTTCTTCTTCATTGACTATAACTGAAATCAGACTTGAACAAAGGGGACTCAGGACTACAACACTGTTTGCTCTAAATGCCTACAAAAACAATACTGTGACTTATGTAAACAACTCCTTAAAGGGCAATTGCAATTTATATTTATGTTTTTTAATTTAGTCAGATTCATAGTGAAGGTATTTTAGTGCTTACTGACATTATTAAAATCATGGAGTCTACAGCCGGTGCAGTTTAAAGCTTGTGCAGGATTTCATTGGTTGCACGGTATCAGCTGTAATGCTACACCTGTCCCCTCAGTCCTCTCTGATTTATTAGCCAATCAGTATAAAATTAAGTTACTGTGATTTGAATCCATCAAACTGAAATATTGCCCTGGAACAACCTTATTTAACAAATGAAAAATCCCCTTATGCGATGATTACTTCTGTCATAATTATCATCAAAACAAGAAACATCAACTGGGCTGGTTCAAAATGTTCAACAGAAAAACAGCAAACACAAGGTTTCTCAAAGCTGATGTTTCTCTTATGTGATATTCACATATCTTCACGTATGTGCTGGTGCATCTACTATGTAAGGTGTCAATCAGGCTGATGAAATCCTCTCTGTTCGATCAGACCCTCAGGTTATCCAGGTAAACACAATTCATTTTGAAAGCAGTGCAGTAAAGTGATCCCTTTATTGTGAAACAGCATGACTCTTAGCTCTGTCTGGTTCTTAGATAAAAGAGGACGACAAATCATAGATGAAACACAGCAGCCTGGTCAGAGGTTAGCTTACAGTGCCGTACGATGAAAACACCCTGGTTTGTGTTGATTTGCTGTGCCACTTTTTATGACAGGTTCATCAGATTTATGTCAGAAGAATATAAGTTTTAGTCTGTTTGTGTTTTCTCTTTGATGGAAACACAGATGGACAACACTCCCATTAACTTATCTCATTTTATGCAGGCAAGACCATGTGAAATATTCTACTTTTCAGCACAAATGTACTTCGGGCACAAGAGTAAATCCCCCTCCTGATATCTCCAATTTGAACCCTTCAAGTTAGTTAACATGTTTATACATATTTTACACATATTTTTGCGTAGAGACTGTCTGCTTGAACAGAAGCCAAGGCAGGGAGAGCAGCAGCAAAGACCCGGATCCAGAACAGCGCAGACGTCAGTGACAATAAGACTGGGGACTCTATTTTCATGCTTCGCCGGAGACGAGGCGCAGGCGCGGCATAAGTCAGGTCCGCCATGCCGACAAGGCGTTCCCAAGCACAATTTGGTATTTTGGTGAGCGGCGCAGCCAGGCGTAAGTATCCCCCCTCCCTAACTCAGCTCCTCTCAGCCGCGTAAGTCGTAGCGAGGGAGGAGAGAGGGCGTGGAGTGGATTTAACACAGCTGAGACCTCTCCTCGCCTTTAAATTCGCCACCAGCGAGGCATATTACAATTTTCGTGCAGTAGTCAAAGAGATGTCTGTAGACAGAAATGCCACATGATGGCGACAGAAGGCAGCCCCTCAATGAGTGTCGCAGCTGATTCTGTCGACACCTCCCCCTGCCACGCCACCAGGCCCAGCTTGGCGGACCTTGATGCGCCTCAGTCCATGAAAATACCAAACTGGCTGTATGCCGGGCTCCGCCAGACGAAAATACCACAGCGCGGGTCCGCCACCTTCCACCGTGTCCCCGGCGGACACGAAAATAGAGCCCTGGTTTCTTAGAGGGGGATCAGCTTGGCTTTGAATTTGAGCTGCTTCCGTGGTTACAATTTCAAGTTGCAGTTTTCTTACGCTCCACAGTCTTCTAGTACTTCCTGTTCTCACTTTGCAGTTTGTTTTCTGCATCTGGATTCTGATAGGGGTGATATTGTTTGCCCTGTTTCACAGCATTGTTTGCTGTTTTCTATTCTGTATTGTGCCAGAAATAATTTATCATTGTCTGCTGTGTTACAGCCAGGCATCACTCCAGTGAAACTGAGTGCAGGGACAATACGTGACCTAATATACAGCTCAGGGTTGGTTTAACAACAAAACTTTAAATTACACTTTGAGTAATGTTCTATAAAACCGACACATGACAACATGATGTAGCTTCTAGAGAGTAAATTCAGCTGCTCACTCCATATTTCAATAACTCCACCGGGCTCCTTGGTCTTTTAGAGACCATTCCTACACTTTCCTTTGCAGCGTCTACCACTCTCTTACACAAACACAAGAAAGAAGGATGAAGGAGAAAGAGAAAGGATTTTGATATTGTAAATATGTCCATGGCCCTTCAGTCTTAGCTGTTCAAGACTTAAACGTCTGGGTGAGTTGTGATAAAGCCTTAGTTTTAGTGATGCAAGACTGTAATAAAGTTGCACAGGCTGACACTCGCAAAAAGGAATAAAAACATCATTACTTCTGGTCATGGCTGTGACCGACTATGAGGTCACAGAGGTCTACACATCTTAAATTCTTGAAAACAAGACTGCAAAAAACTTGTACTGATCAGAATGTAAGTGTTTGAGGTCTGTTACTTCGACAAGATGCTATGTCCTAAAGTCATGGACCACCCTGCACTGCCTTTGATTAGGTTGGGCTATGGGGGATTGATTAAATCAAGTCATGAGACAGGATGCTGACACTGGCTAACTGAGGAGGAAGCAGTTTGCTGTCTGTGAGGTGCATCCACCGGAATCAACAAAAGCTCAGGCAATCATTTGTGAAGACTCCTAACACAGGGAGATTCAGTACATTTAAATGTTGTTCAGAGAAATTGGTTTCGACTGAAACTGACTGACTAAAAGTGGACTTTACAAAACATGTAAACACATTATTGGAACTCCAGTTGGACTAACACACCTGGATCATGCGGCTGGGGATCAATAGTCTCTGTCAATCAAACTGAAAGTGGCCTTAGCAGTCTGCAAACGCAACAGTATTCACTCACTGCTTTGAGCCAGAGGTTCTCACATGAACCTGGCTTCTTTGGTACGTGTTAATGAAACCAGGTATTAAACAAAACCTCTGCAGGTGAAGAAAGGACGGGAAAAAAAGCTGGAACTTTCCTGTCGTGTAAACAGACTGTACAGAGCAGTAAAATTTTTCACTGTTCTCCAAACATCTCGTTGGCCTTTTGTGTGTGGAAATGATCAGTGTGACTTAAAAAGATATTTCAGTGTAAATTTAAGTTATGGTCAAACACCACTCACCCACTCTCTTCCAGCAGCCGCTTGTTTGTGAGGGAGCCCAGAGGAGTTCATCACTGAGTGCAGCAGAAAATTTATGACTATTACTTCATGAAAATGCAATCAGACCGAGACGCTTAAGCAGAAGAACTACCGCGTCTGCAGTGCACATACAAGATACACAAGAACTCTGATTGCATTTCCATGAAGTAATGATCACAAATGTTCTTCCTTAAGCTGTGAAACTCCGCTGCACTCGGTGATCGACTCATCAGGGCTCCCTCACAAACAAGCGGCGGTGTTTGATCTCTTCGCTAAAGAAACCAGGCTTAGCTAAAAAGATGTTTGATGGCTAGTACTATGGCTGGGACTCTATATGTACTGTTGATGAAGTTAGGTGCTGTTCTGAGCATTAATTGTGGCTATAGAGTGGCTTTTTGGTTGAGGTTTGCGTGTGGAGATGTAGACCGCTGTGTATTGCTTTCATGCGGTTGTTGCTGAAGTTGGTATTACTAGAGAAGTAAGCAGTCGGCAACATTTATTTCTTGATGGGGTGTCTAACTCTGTAACTCATAACTTAAATTTACGCTAAAATATCCCTTTAAACGGTAAACGTATATTTAACGTGGACGTTATAAAAACAGGGCAGTTCGCTCAGCTGGTTCCAATTTCAGGCATTGAAAGTTACAGTCCAGAAATCATCAATCATGTTGCTGATGGTCTTGTTTTCTTTTTTGCATACCATAAAATGAATTTCAGTCTCTTCCATGAGCATAAAAAAATCACCTCATAGGAGTTTTGACGCCATGTTATCGTCTTTCTCTTAATATTCCTTTCATCACTTTTTTGTGGTATCCTTATTTTGGCTTTACTGCTCATCTCTAATGTCAGAAATGTGCCTTTTTTATTATTCTGTCTTGTTGTGTGCAGATAAAAGTTGGTAGATTTTGAGGTTGAGGGGCACGTTTAAAGATCTGGGATTAAACGGATGAACGGTCAGTTATTTGGTAATTTTTCCTCACCGATGAACAATGAGGGGTCCTTGTGGAGGTTTAAACCGAACACATCACAGCAGCACATGGAAAAACTGAAAGTCATGAAAAATTCACCTGCTTAATGATGCTTTTGTTTCAGTCGGGGCAATCAGTTTGCACGAGCAGATTGAGGGCTGTGCAATCATTAACAGAAGCAATCTGGTGCCTGTCAAAACCAAAACAGCACTTCAAGACCTCCACCTATTTGATCTTACCCAGAATCCACCTCTCATGGCTCTTAATGGACGCCAGCACCATCAGTTACACAGCAGGGGGGGGAGTGAACCGGTCCGCTAAATGTGCTCCTTAATATTCCAGCATTAACTATCATCACACACATAAAGAGATGGTCTTAGTGGGCCTGAGTTTAGGGTCCTGCTGAGAACAATGCACCCAGAGAAGGGGGGTATTAGCAGAAGCAATTACTCAGCTGTGGGTTTGCCTGATAAGACTCATTTTTCTTAAGATGATTACAGAGCTCAACAATCTGCTGAAGCACCAACATCCATTTTCTACCTTTGGGGCTGACCTTACAAGTTCTCATCTACTCACGGGATTCCCAGGCTTTGAATAAAAAAACTGCAAAGAATAACAATTTATGAGCGTGATAGCTCTGTGGGTTACAGAGCTTAGCCAAGCAGAACTTAATGTTTTCTGTCTTACAAGCAGAACAATATGTAGACAAAAAGATACAAATATCAGCTCAGAGACCGTCAGAAACAGAAGAGAAGGTTGTGAAACAGCAGCTAGGTGGAGCTAACAGAGAGTGACTTGATGAAATTAGGAGTTGTTTAGTTAACTTTCTTCCCCTCTGCTTCAGTGCGTCAGTGTCACAGCCACCGAAAAGGAAAGAAGACAAACTACACGGCTAAAGAAAGCATTAATAATCTGTACTGGGACTGAACTTCACTCGCTAACCAAGAAAGACACGAGAACTCCACCAGCTCTGTGGTTATTTTTGAGGAGCTGATTTGGTCAGCCTTTTTTTCTTCAGAGGATTTAAAAGTTAAAAATAGCCGTCTTTGCTAGCTCTGCATCTGAAAAAAGGTTTGATTTAATTTTCAGCCTTCAGAGATTCGGAAGAAAGAAGTATCCTCCAAAGATTTGTTCTTCACACAACTGATCTCTAGCTTTCTTCCTTCCTTCATTGAAGCCCACTTTCCCATAATAACTCACAATGGGTAACATTTAATGTTCATCTACATGAATTATTAATAGTTTGCAATAATAATATCATGTCTAAAGTCCACCCTTGAGGACACATTTAGGGCTGTAAGTTCGCTTTTTTTCACTGGGTTGAATTTGTATGTTTATTCCCCTACATAATATTTCTTTACAGTACTTTTCCAGTTATAATGACCCATGCAATACTATCTTTATGTAGGGAGACTGTTGTGACACACGAAAATATTGTTGTCATATTAATGAGGGCACAACTCTGACCTCCCACCCTCTTCCTGACTCTACCTACATCTTTGCAGCTGTTACCACACATCCCCTCCCTCTGTCAGCAACTATCACACACACACACACACACACACACACACACACACACACACACACACACACACACACACAGGCTGCGCTACAGCATCCTCTTCTTGTCCTGCCGCTGCAGCCGCTGCCTGCTGGGAGGTCTAATTGGAGCAGATTGAGCTGCTGTCCTGTAGCATATGGCTCACAGCCCTGACAGCACAAAACAAAGGAGGGCGATCCACACAGGTCCTGGCCCCATCACTGACTCACCAGCTGGGGCAGACAGCCTAACTGACACATACACACACATACACACACACACAGGGAAACACACACACATACCCTTTAGGCTCCATCTTTCAGGTTGAGTTTAATCTAAAACATGGGGTCAAATACATCAAAGGGTGCTGGATGTTTCTGGAGACCTTTCTGGTGGACAGCAGTTAAACAAGAGTGAACCATGTGAACCCAGCACAAGGTTACAACAACAACTAAATACTAAACCAATGCAAGGAGCTGTTCATAAGACAGACGACAATAAAAATTCCAAATATAAAACAAGACCATCTGCTATATGACCGACTATTTCTATTCAGCCGTTTTCTCATGGCTGTTACTGCCGCCACGGTTTGAGTTGGACGGGGTGATTAACAGCTCGCTGCTGAAACAGCTGTTATTTACATTTTCTAGAGGAAAGAGTCACAGTGAGTGATGCATATGACAGCTGACAGACAGCAGGATGACACACTCTGTCAGAAAATACCACTTACACATGTACAGGATAAATCAGTAAAGAGAGAAGATGTACTACTCTGTCCACAAGTGTTGACAAGACTGACACTAGGCAATTGTTTCAAGTCTCTTTAAAGTAGCTTGAACATCTGCAGTGGAAGTGATTGATCATCTATTAGCAGAACACAGATTGTTTTGTTTTCTCTGTGACAGATACCATTGACTTTAAAGGGAAAAAGATTTATTCAATTCAAGTCTTTTGTGTCTGATGTCTATGACAGAGTATTAGGGCCACATTAAGAAGAAAAAATAAGACTTTGAGATTAAAGTCATTGCTAATAGGAATAAAGTCGTAATAAAATCATTATAATACTTATGGTAATGTTGTGCTGATGTGCCAAAAAATAAATATCCTTGTTTGAGAAATCTAAATTGAAGTTCATTTTACCGAAATGCTCCATGGCTCTCATTTTAACAACTGTCATCTTAAACAACAGGTTAGAATATAGAGACTTTATTCTGACTTTACTCTTGTAAGTAATTACTTTATTACGACTTAACTGTCGTAAGTAATTATTTTAATACGACTGTATTCTTGCAAATCTTGAAATTTAAAATTCATTCACATAATTTTGATTTTCTTAATCTCGAAATTTCAACATGAATCTCGAAATTTCTATTTTTTTTTTCGTTTTGACTTTTTTAAATTTTGACTTTAATCTTGAAATTTCGACTTTGCTCTGGAAATGGAAATTAAAAAAATGTCCCTCCTGTGATTATTATTTTTCTTTTCTTGAGGCCCTTATCCTCCTTCGTAGATGTCAGTTACTTCACTTCATGATGTTAGTAAACGGTAAATGAACTATGTTTAGGAAGCACTTTCTCTAGTCTTCTGATCACTAAAGATGCTTTTACATACGTCACATCCACCCATTTACACACCAATGACAGAGGCTGCTTTACATAGACTCCATCAGTTTTTGACTAAATCCATTCATATTCCACTGGGTGCAGCCAGTAAGGGTGTGTGGGGTCAAGTGTAATGCCCGAGGACACTTTTCCCAATTGGGAGATGACAAACTCTACCACTGAGCAACAGCCGCTCTATAGCAGGAAACATAATGCTAAATCAAATGCATTAATCTGTGATGTGACTTAAAGGTCACATATTGTGGGTTTCTATTAGTGTACAGCATGTTTTTTAGTTGTCTTTTAAAGGTTGATACTCATTCGTCCGTTCTGTGCTACTGTAGTAACATGGCAGTGCAGGATGGTTCCCTCTGTGGAAGGGGACCCACTCTTCGTTATAAAAAGCTCATTTTAAGTTAACAAGATGAACTTTACACAGACACTAATTTCATGACACTAAATCTATGAATGTTAGATTATATTTTCAACTAAATGTTGCCAAATACTATGCCGTGCACCTTGAAACAGGGTTGAACTCAGTTGCAAATAAAAAAACAACTCAAATTCAAGATCTGTGGCCTGTCTGCATGTCTGCACACACATGGTGAAAAGCACTGATTTACACTGAGTAACTCTTCATCCCACATTAACTACACAAACTAAAGATATTGTATACCTGTTTACTAAAAAAGTGACCCAACAGAATGGTAATATTTAAGGCCCCTCAGCTTAATTCATGGCAAATGTGCAAAACTGGGATGGAATAGTTCAGGTTATCCTGAGGGCAAGCAGAATCCATGAACCTACTCTTGCTGAGTACCAGTTACAGTGGGTGAGGGATGTATAGTTAGGAGAAGAATCTGCACTAGTACACTTCAAAAATGAATGAACAGTGGACATAACAGCATGTCTTTGAGTGGTGGGTAAGAAATAAAGTGGTCCTCATACTTTCTTGTCCTTTTTCATGTGGTTGGTCTTCATTGTTAAAGCAGTCTTGGTGAAGTGGTTGGAACAAACTAATAAGCATGAACTATAGCAGTCATTTTATCAAGAATACAAAGAAACCACTGTTGTGTTTGGTAACCTTTGACATCTTGAATCTAAACAATGAAGCAAAACCACAACCCTGGAAGAGAGAGTGGAATTGCTGGATGGCTGAAAGTGGTTTTATATACATTTCTATGTAAATTATATAGTTATGTCATTGCAGGAACTGATCCAAAGAACAGAAACAATGCAGTTTTGTTTGTTTGTTTTGCATTGTCAGGGTTGGTATAGGTTGGTGGATGACTTTCCATCTTTTGGGGCCTTAAACTTTTGAGTGACAAATAACTGTCTTTTTCCTCTTGAAATGTTTGGAAACTACAAACACGTTCAATGCTGTGGTTAACTGTAGAGAAATATCTGAGCCATATATGAACCCAAAACCACATATTTATGTGTGACAGAATTTGTTACAAACTCTGCATGATTCGGTTGGATCCTTGTCTTAAAGAATCCTCCTGGGAACGGCCCACAAAGGCAAACTTTCTGAGGATGCAACAACATCAAATAAAGCACTGGAGTTCAGTGTGCATACGCTGTAACTGAGCCCTGTTTCTTCAGCACATTGCACAAGATAATATACATATCACAGAGAAAATCACAAGGTGTAAAGAAACACTCTTATGGTGTTGCTGATTCATAAAATGCTGCTTGCTTGGGTGTGGATTCTTTTCTGTTTTGCCTCTAGCTTTGAAAGAGGTATTCATGTCAGGTTTTGTCATGGATTTACCTTTCATCCAGGAATTACGTTATTTGGGATGTCTGTGTGTGAGGCGAGAAAGAGGTGCAGTTAGGAATGAGTATAGGCTGCCAAGTCGGGTATTTCTGTTTCCCCTCGAAGGAAAAAAAGACTTCATTTGAAATCAGAGAAGGAGTCATTGCATCCACACATATCACAAACTTCTGGCACCCCTTCATCTCTTGTCTCCTGGGAGTTAATCTACAGTCTGGCGGTGTCAATTCTTTTTGCCCTGCCTTGGTACTTTCTGCAGTTCTTTACAAGCAGAGGCAGTATATACAGACATCAAATACCCACACGGTCTGCTATATAACTACATTTTCATCACCAAATTAACATGTGCAATAAGCACATTAGAAAAGACTGTGTAGGCTGGAATGGAGATGAAAAATGCATCAAAATTTTACAATCAGCATGCAAATGATAAACCTTCCAGATGGAGCGCCTTTTACACCAGCATTCTGAATTCAGCACAGATGACATTATACAAACACACAGTCTGTGTTCAACATGCTGAGCAGCAGAAACAGGAGCTGTACAGTAATATCATTCTGATCATTTGATTTTGTGTCTGCTCCTCCTCCTCTGAGGTGGTCTGTGTACTAAGATATTAGGATGAGATCCTGTAAATCTGACAATCTGTGAGGTGGGACCTCCGTGGATTGGACTGGGTTGTCCAGCAAATTCTATTATTGTTGAACTGGATTGAGATCTGGGGAATTTGGAGGCCAAGGCAACACCTTGAACTTGTGTTCTTCCTTGAACTCCTTCTACCATTGCTCTGTGGTTGAGTTTTGGTCCCTTATCTGCAACAAACTGTGGTACATGGTGTGAGCTGACACCTTTTCTATAAGAATCAGCATGAACTTTTTCACCAAATTGAGCTCAAGTAAATCTTCTACTCAACTGTCTACAGTAGCTTTCCCTCACCCCTCATGTGTAACAATAGCTGCGTTTACATGGGCACAAATAATCAGAATAGAGGCCCGATCAGTATAAAAATGCGTCACAATTTGGCTCAATGGTAAAGAAATTGTTTTCCAATGTAGAAGGGTGGTTTATGCCGATTGTTATTCTGAAACGTATCCATGTAAACACTTATTCCGATCATGTCTCTCTAACCTGACTCGGTCTTCACTCTTCAGCCTTTGGCTTATTCATCGAGGCCAGTACAGGAGGTTTCATTATTAACACTCTGGCATAAAACTCTGGCAAGTGAGCCACTACCGCGTTTGTTGACAGCACAAGCGTCAATACAACTCTTCTTCTTCTGTGGTTGTTTTAGCGAAATCAGACAACTCTGCACATGTCCAAATGCTTCTTATCTGAATAAAACTTGCGTCATAATTGGGTTATTTGATTTTGCGCCCATATAAACAGTGGATTCAGATTCTCCGATCCCTTAAATTTTTAATCGGATCAAGAAACTTTGCACATGTAAACATGGCAAATCAGCCTTGGCCATCCATGACCCTCTCACCAGTGGACCCCTTTTGGTAGGTACTGACCACTGCACATCAGGACCAAACCCACAAGGTCTGTAAAGTCAGTGCTGATGTGATCTAGTATCTGAACAATCCAATCATGACTCTGACCATTGTAAAGTAGCTCACGTATTTTTGGTAACCCATCTTTCCATCTTTCAAACCCTGTTGTTCTAGTAACAGAACTATTTTATATTCCCAACTGACTGCACACAGACTTTAGATCTTACATTCACTGCTACACAGAGATGTTTTCGACTCTAAGCCCTTTTACACTCAACGTTGCTTTCATCCATACACAAAAATTCTGAAGACTTTCCGATGATTTTGCTGACTTTACTTTTCCATTTCAATAACCCACGTGCTGCTCCTTTAATTTTCAATTACCAGATTATCTAATGGGGGGTGTCATGCAGCAAGAGGCCTGAGATAAAGCTAAACAGATGAGGACTCAGTCTTAGTTCATTAGGCGCTCGCTCTACCAACTGAGTAAACCAAGCGTCCTCAAATGCCATTTCTCTTCCAGATTGGTCACTCTGGATTAAACCCTCAGGACACTACTGTAGCAAACCTTTCCAAGGCTTTATCATCCATCTAATCGGGCCAATCTAATGAGGACGTCACTGAAAAACCGTCCTTCAAACGGAAACATTTCCAAAATAAACACAATGCTTCGCAAAAACAGTTTTTTGCTAAGTTTCTAAAGTTTTCAGAGACATTTCAGCTTAATATTTCCCATGCATCTCAATTTATCCATTTATCCACATCCATTTATCTTCTAAAAAGAAGGGATGAATAGAGGTGTTGAGAAGATGATAGCAGAAGGTCGTTTTAGGTTCAATCATCCATATGAGAGGAAGAGAAAAGAAAGCTAGTCAGAGAAAAGGAGAGTGAATGATTTATGCTGTCATTCGTGTGACCGCACTGAGACAGCCTCTGCCTGACGATGCATTCAGAGCGGCTTGATCACTACATCCGCTCATTTCATTCGGATGAGTGGACTAGTAATGCTCCCATGCCCTTTCTTGCTTGTCACCTCTATCTCGTCCCCTTTTTTTTTGAGAAAAAAACGAAAGGACAGTGGGGAGAATTTGGGATGATGAGGTTCTTATCGGAACGTGACGACTGGGTCACGTTTTGATAAATGGTCCTGTTGTGCCACCAGAAATTTCATTTTGAAGTGAAGCGAACTCAAACTCGGCACAGTCTCTGCTAGTCCACAACCATACATAAGATAACAGGCACACAGACGGTTCAGCAAGAGTGCAAAGAGGAGGCAATGATGATGTCTGCAGAGAGAGCGTAAATGCATGAGCGAGTGAAAGAGTGACTCAGTGAATATCCAGAGGTCACCAAAGCGAACAGAATGCAGAGTTGTGTCTGTCAGAGCTGTCTAATAATAACACATACAGTATTTTAATAGAGTTTTAAAATCAGCATTTCCACTTTTGATTGGCAGAGCTGATTGAATACCGTTTCAAGCCGCTGTCATCCTGTTGTCGTTTCAAAGTCCCAGATTTCCCTCAGCAAGCAATAACACTCTTTGGAAATGGTTTGATGAAAGACATTTGCCCCGATCATTCAGGATAAGACTGATGAACCAAACTGTCAGCCCGTGCAGCACAATCAGAGTCTGCCTTCAGTAGGGAAGCTCAACAGCACCTTATTTGCCACTGTTTGCCCCTTTAATTACACCAAGTCTCATTTAAAAAAATAATAAAAAAAATACTCACTATGTTGTTAAAAAAAGAGGAAAAGAAAAGGTCAAAACAACTAAAACAAGTGAAACTAGAAAGATTTTTGGTTCATTGTGTCAAAGATTATTCTTTCAGTTCATCGGTAAAGCCATTAATCATTTATGCACTCCAGCATTACAACACAGGAAACTTAACATCGCAAAAAGACTCAGTACTTGTTACTGAGGGCAGTTCGCAGGCTGACAAACATGTTAATATTAATTACGCCGAGGTGTCGGCACATTCCCAGCACCAGAATTTCTGAATCATAAAGTTCTTGCACTATGAGACTGTAGGCTATCAGAGTATCACCTCAGGCTCTCTCAGTCAGAGGTTACCCTGGGGCTAGTTCTAAGGCTTCAGCATGCTAGGTGGTAAGCTAAGCTAGTCAACTAAACAAACAATACTTAACTTTCTTGTAGAATTAGAAAGTGTGTAAATAATTATCTTTTTTCATTTTATTTTATAACCACTAAGCTCATTAAAGTGACAGGACAACAAAAAAAGTTTGTTACAACCCAGACTGTATAAAATTAGCAAGCAAGAAAGCAAAGATGTCCAAACTTAGCCAAAAATAAATCATTTAAATTATGCTAAAGGGAAGAGATGTGTGTCTCATAAAGAAAACCCCTATTTGTTGTAGTAAAGGCTGAAATAGTAAGCTGAAAAATGGAAAAAAAGACACAAAGAAGATAGCTGAAAAAATGTTTGTGGTTGAAACCATCTGTTGGTACTACTGTTGAAATAAATACATGAAAAGTAAAGGTTCGATGGTCAAGAACAGCAGAAATAGTCAAATAACAGAGGCAGTTAGAGATGATGTTGGCCTAAAATTAGAAAAAGGTTAGTAAAGGTAGGTTAGCTAAAACTGATAACAATCGGACGATTAGCTTTACAGACACTATGACTGTGAAAGTTGTGTTGATGTTGTCATCTCTTTTGGAGGAATTTGGTCTGTACTGTACTTTTTTCTTACCCACTGACAAAATTTACCAGCTGGAGGGTTAATTTGGTCGTGACAATAAATGTTTATCTATGGACTTTTTTTTTCAAGATGGAGGCGAGGCAAAAATGCACCTCTGACAAACATATGTTTGGGGATTTAACTTGGCTACAGTCTCTGTCCTAGTTTACATGCACTGGGCAAGAATCAAACCACTGACAGAAGGATGTCTGCCTGTTCTACTGTAGGTGGCGACATGCTTCCTTTCAGCTTGTTACCATCAGATCATCCCCTGGATTAGATATTATGAATCAAAACAGCTGACAAAAGGTGTTAGCAAGAGGCTAACAGGGCGTCACTTTTACATCTTTTCCTGTTGGGAGTCGCAGGAGGGCTGGAGCCAATCTCAGCATCTTGGGGCTAGGCAGGGGGACACCCTGGACAAGTCGCCAGTTTATCGCAGGGCTGACAGATAGAGACAAACGACCATCTACACTCAGATTCACACCTATGGGCAATTTGAAAGAAACAAATGAATCTAACCCCACCTCTGCATGTTTTTGGGATGTGGGAGGAAACCGGAGTACCTGGAGTAACTCTCCACACAAACTCCACACAGAAACGCCCTGACCCGGATTCAAACCCAGGACCTTCTTGCTGTATCACCCAGCTTTGTGCCATTTGTTATAAAAAGTTTTGTCTTTTTTACATTCTCTCTTTGTCTGTCGAGGTTTTGTTTCACAACACATCCTGGTAACACATCTTTGCTCGTCACACACCAGCTCAGAGCCCGGGGTGCGAACACTGGGGCACGAGCAGTTTCAGTTTGACTGGGCAGTATATACGTATGACAGAGACGATTGATCTCCAAATGCATTATCCAGGTATGCAAGTCTGACTACGAGAAATTTGATTTCACTGTGATTCAAGTTGAACTTATGTGTTAACATGCATTTTTAAAGTCCAGTTTTAGTTGGATTGTTGCAATAAATGGATTTTTCTTAAGTGCATGTAAATGTAGAGTGAAAAAGCCAGAACCAGTTAGCTGCCCAAATGAACACTGACCAGAAGAGCTTTAATACCAGACCTTAACACTCTGATTATCTCACTTTGATATGAAGGTCATGGAGAAGTGTTAGAGAACTATGCTATTAAAATCATTTAAGACTCCACATAGTGCGCGTAAAACAAAAGGAAGTATTTAGTATAAAAACCCAAAGATGAGTGGTTCAAAATGAATCAAAAGATATTTGTAAAGAAGTAAAATATAGTTCTTCTTCTTTCGATTCATTCGTGTGTTATCACAGCAGATCAAGATGTACATTACCTGGAGATCTGAAGGTCCAGGCCTCGTCATCATCAAAGTGTGTATCCCCAGCTGTGAACCTCTCTCCGGGAAAAAAAGCGTGTGCCACGGTGCCCCCAGGCCCGTCAAAGGGATATCCATCATTGTGGTCGGCTTTAGTGAAGTCGATTTGAATGTCTGCATCACTTCCTGCCACCTCATGGAAGTTAAGTGGTGCGATGTCGCTCCAGACCTTCAATGCGTAGTACATCAGGGCTCTTACGGTGTCCCTGCCAAGTAAGGCTGAGTCCTTTGGGAAGGTCCTCACTCTGGGGGAAGAAGAAAAGGAGATATAAATATATTACAGACAAGAAGAGGAGGGAAGAGGAGGTGAAGAGGAGAAAAAAAAGGGCATTTGGGAGTTGAGCTAACAAGGAAGAAGATCAGTGAAGAGGTGGCTGATGAAGGAAGGGGAAGGGAGACTTGACAGGAGAACAAAGTAAAAGTGGAGACAAGAGGAGAGAGCTCAGCAGAATGAAAGGACAGAAATGATGATTGACATGAAACAAGGGGAGAATAAAAAGAAAATTAAGGGAGGGAAGGTTAATGGAGGGAAAATCTGAGGGAGGAGACGAGAGAAGATGAAGACTGTCTGGGTGACAAACTTGAACATGAGGATGGAAGAGACGAGAAAAGTAAAAGTGTGGGGGAGAGGGTGTTGAGCAACCAGCGGACAAAAAGAAGCAGAGAGACTGGTAAACAACAAACAAAAAAATATTTGTTTTCTTATTCAATGTGATTCCATCAGTTTTTGCATTTCATGGCCAGGTGCTCCTGCTGCACCCGTGTGTTGATAATAACTCGAGAGTACAATGTGCATTCGGAGAGACATGGCATCATCTCTGAAAACTTATCTTTTTTTCCCTTTCTTTAATTCCACATTTCATTTCTTCCTTCCTCTCATCGCCATGTCATCTCTCGAGCTATTTCCTACCCTGAGCTCCAGTAGAAGCAGGACAAGAATAAATAGAGAACTACTCAGATGTCGAGCTAAGTTTGCTTCCAAAAAATCTCCCTCTATATTTCCTTTCCCCTCTCGCTCTCTCATTGTTTCTCTCAATCCTCTTCTCCGTTTCCACCCGCCAGTCATTGGGTGGTTCTACTTCTCTGCTTCTGCACAGTACACTTGCCTTCTTTGCAGAATCAACTGTCTCTTAGACCACTTTTTCTAACCACAGCAAGTTTGAAGCTGACTAGAAATGAGCTTAAAAAGGAAGTGTTTATACTCAAACTTCATGCTGACGTATGACTTTGAAAACAGTCTCTTAAATGATATTTTTAGCTGTTTACGACATGCCCTTGCTGTCTTTTAAGCAAGGTTATGAATGTGGCTGCTATCACAGAGCCTTGCCTTGTCTAGCCTCATTATCCATGCAGTATCAGAGGACACGGATGAATTGATCATGTGCAGCAAGAGTCTGAGGCCTTGTCCACACAGAGACAAAAATAATGAATTGCTGTTTCGTTTTGGAAAAGTTTTCTTTGAGACGGCAATGTCAGCGTAAACAGGAAATGGCTGGAAACCACTGAAAGCGATGTAGTGCATATATACAGTTCAACCATCTTTGAAGAAGACACCAGAAAAGGAAGAAGGCACAAAATTTCAATACCTCTGAGAGGATGGAGACACTTGCGATAACAAGCTCAGGGCCACTGCAGCACGAACACAACTGTGTGGTCAGTGCAGGCTCCTTAAGAGAGTTGTACCATGTATTGTCAAAAGTATTGTCACCCAAAACGCCATTTCCATGTGGAGAACATTTGCGTTTACTCCTGAATTTGTTCTGTATGGACCTGAGTAGGTAGTGTGCAGACCAGTGATAACAAATGCAGAGACACAAAAACACCAAAATACAAACACTCCTGAAAAACCAGCACCAGTGCACAAAAAAACCAAAACAGCATGACTCCGACTTCTGTGCAAATTTTTGTGGTTAAACACAAATAAATGAACATCTTTTTAATATTACAATTATAGCACTGTTCTCTTTGGAGCTCCACAGCTGAAACAAGATAGAGGTTTTTGTGTTTGATTTTAGCATGTTGGGCTCTAACCTGTAATATTTCAAATCTGCATCACTAAAGCACAATAGCGTTGAAGAAGTTGGAGTAGTTTTGTATTCTTTCTTCTGAAGATGACTCCATCAGTGCAGATTTAATGGCCCTGAAGGACTTGTGTTCTCCCAGTTGATGGTCTACAGAAACACTGCAGAGTATTTCACTGTTTTTTGCTTCCCCATTCTCAGAGACGCTCGGCTAAAGGTTGCCTCAAGTACATGTGCAGACAAAAAAGAACATGTTCGCCATTATAAAACTATTAAGGGTTACTCTAATAGCTTATCATGCTGGGCTGCACACCATGTTCGGGACAACTATAGATAATTCTTTAATAAGTCTTTTTCAATTGTTGTGGCTTGCATTTAACGGAGCTTCACTGTAGCTCAATCAAAACATTCAGCACATGTATTGATATTGATTCAGATATGGATTACCATAGACTGACCTGAGGGCCTGTTTTAAACTTCAAGGTACACATATAACCTCTGAATTTCACAAGCAGGAGCAAACAACCTCGGTAAAACATAAATTCTTACGTCTGTAACCGTGCCAAGACAAAAATGATCATCTGCCAAGCCACCTGTGCTTTCTATTTACGCTGTAATTTGAATGGAAGAGGAGATGAAAGTAAGGGTGGAGGCATATCTTGGTGTGAGAGCAAAAGGAGGAATGGTTCAATCAGCAACAGGGACTTCATAAACTGTGCAGGGAGAGCTGGAGGTGAACACACTTCAGCTGAGCTGTGACTTTTCAGTATCAGTGGATAAACAGGCTTATAAATTAATTCTCTCTACTCAGGGGAAAGCACGCAGTTTTTTTCTGTCTGGCGAGTGTTCAGCTCGTTTCGGTTTACTTTCTCCGGCATCCATTCATTAATTTGATTTTAGTCATACCTAAGCTGAGATCAGAATCTTCACACGTTACACAGAGTATCATTTATCACAAAACTGCGAACCAAACCGCAAAGCTCGGGAATCCAGTAGATCTCAATAAAAGGAGGCAGAGAGACATGCAGTGCAGGGGAGCGTGATGACTGGAGAAAAATGTGGGGCAAAGCTTAAGTTGATTTATTGAAGAAAACTGATTAATGAATCAGTATCATTAAGGAAAAACAACCAGAAAGAGTGCTCTCATGCCAGCAAGGCTATTAGGATTCAGAGTATGCTTTTACCGCTGAGGGCCTGACAACCACTTTACCTTAAGATTTCATTTAAGGGGGGGGATGCACAGGAAACAATGAATCTTTTAAAATGTGAAAAGAGCAGCCAAGAAACAAAACCCCTGCCCTTCATCAAGATTACCAACTCACTGGGCTTTTCTGCTGCACGGAAACTACACAGTTATAGAGATTTACCTTTCAGTTTCAGATCCCTCTTTGCTAATAATCTGTATTAACATAACAACCCAAGAAGAAAAAATCTCAAATATCTTGGTCTGTTTAAAGCGACCCCTCGAATACAAAATTATAATTTCACCAATTAACCTCTTTCACTGCCTTTGAACAGAGTCTCTGGGGCATCAGCTACCTAATAAAAGCAGAAATACCACAATAATGGTTTAAAAGTTGACACAAAGACATTCATTAAAAAGACCTATGCATCAGAGCGTTTTACAAAAACAACAATTTAGCACTTTTGTGTGTAAAAGCTTTTTAAAAGCTTTTTTTGTGTCACCTCGAATCATTTGGATTGGGATTGTATGAGATATTTGTAAATAGTAAGTTCATCACTGACAAGAAATCTTGCCTAGTGTATAAATTGTAGGGGTGGGAATCACCAATGGCCCCACGATACGATATTATCACGATACTTGGGCCATGGTTCAATATTATTGCGATTTTTAACATTTTGCAATACAGTGAATATTGCAATACAATATATTGTGATTTATACAATTGTTTTCAACTGTTTAGCTTCCTTGATGTTTGTCTTATTTACACAGTATTTTATTTTCATGTAGCGTATCTTGCAAACCTTTTACATATATTTGTTGTACTAACTTCTGCCAACCTCACCGGACAAACAGTTGATTTTATATTTTCATTATCATAGATTTGATTTCATATTAGCAATTAATTAGAAAAAAATCGATACTTGGTAAATGAGATGACACGATATATCACCAGACAAAATATTGCAATACTATGCTGTATCGGTTTTTTCACTTCCCAGCAAGAATACCATAAAAAATGTCATTTTGTTTGGTTAGTTGAGACAACTCGCACCAGCAGTGAAAGTGGGCCGTCAATATTCAGACTGAGCCAACCAGAATAAGCGTTCGGGCCTCATAAAGATTCTTACACTGAAGACGTTTCTCTTTAAGATCTACTTTTTCACCTTGTTTGGTCTTTTGTTGGAGCGGGCATCTTGATGGTTGAGTTCCTGTTGAAAAAATAATTTCCCTGACGTTTGTTTTAACTTCTTGAATTCTTCATGATTAAGAACATCTCGGTAAGTACTGGTGACTCATCTCTCACTCAAGCTTTTCCGTCACAGACATGTTTTATGCTCTCAAACTCGCTAAGGATGTCTAGTCTGGACTGGTCTACGTACAGCAGGACTTCATAATGAGGGTTTTGTTGGTTGTTTTATCCCCTTGGATCTAAAACTTTCACTTACCTCAGGCTTTAACACCATCAAGATTGAAACAGCAAAATAAAGTACAAGTTCATTCATCCAAAACAACTTTTATTCTCAAGCTGAATATGAGGGACAGGAGGATCATTATTCTGACTCTGAAACAAGGTTTTACACCTTGTGATGACCCTGGAAGCAAAGCGAATCATCACACTCCACAAACAACTCACCGACTTCTGAGTTGTAGTTTGAGTGCTCAAGGTAAGATTAGGTGGCAGTGTTCATGAGCCAGAAACACAGTTCTGTCATCGTACTCAAAATACACCGCCTGTTTCCAATAGTATTTATGTTATAAGATCAGGGACCCGACTATGGTTAGCAATCAAGTTATTTCAGATGACTTTGTTCGTCTTTGTATTGGCAATTCATAAGATAAAACTGACAATTTCATTTAGAAAGAACAATCTGTATGAGTCAAACGTACAGAAAAATAAAAAAGGCCAAATAAAGAGGAGAAAAAAGAGAGACTGCTTTAAGAGACAAAGTGAGTAGAGAGCAGTAAAAGGCAGACACTCAGACACTCTCCGACTGCAGAAATATCTCTGACAACTCCCCACGGCTTTATCTTCCACGTTTCTAACTTTAGTCAGAATCAGAGTTTGTTCTCAATGAGAATGACAGGTCCTCAAGTTTCACCGTTTCTGCAGGCTAGTACACTCAGAGGGATCAATGATCACACAGACACGTTTCCATCTCTGACACGGCGTCTGATGTCTCCTTTTCCTCACCTTCCAAAAGTGTTCCTCATTACAGAAAAGCTTTTTTAAAATGTCTTGTGTTATAAGGTTGTAAGGTAGTGCAGGGCTGTCAGACTGAGGGGGAGGGAAAAAAAGACAAAAAAAAAAGGCTGATAGTGCAGGAGGGCAAATTCAGGGTTGGTAAAATTGAAATTCAGAGAGAGCTTTTCCCTCAATGTGTATTTCTTTCAGCTGACAGTAAAAGTCGTGAAGTAGAACTGATAACGTGTTTTCCATGACAAATGTGACTAGCTGACCCGTGTTCTCGCAGGATAACATGTACTTCATTGTCTTGGCTTAACCATTGAGTCCAACTTTGGTGTCATTTACTAAACTCTACCACAAGTAAAACCATGATTACAAGGCTTTCGCTAAAACCTATGTGCAGAGGAGGACTTGGAATTTGGTTTACAGCTCTGAGTGGTGACTTCTTGTCAGGCTGCACTGAACCTCAACAAGCTCCAGATGGTTCTGAAAGCCTGGGAGGCAATTCCCAAGACAGCCAACAGTCCTTACAGCACCTGCTGCTGCTTTTGCTGGTTTGTTGCTGAGAGTGTAAAGGTATTATATTTAACATGCCGAAGGTCTCTTTGGGGGCTCCTTTTCAATTCCCTGGTTTTTTGATATGTGGGACACATCCATGGGTTTCAAATGCAAAGTCAAACCCTATGGTAGCAAAGAACGTCAACTCGGATTACCTCAAACAAAACCTGCTTTGCATGGTGACTACTGTATAGAAAAGGTTAGAGGGGGAATACAGCAGAGGGGAATCAGCTTTTAAGGTATGCTAGAGATGGCTCATGTCAGCACAATTGGAATGAACAGAAATAATGCAATGGTTGTCATGTTTTCATTAAACTTCCAGCCGTTCCTGTACAATCTTCAGAACTTTCCACCTCTATAAAGGTAACATAGCTGCAGGCTTACCAGTGACTTGGTTTAACAGGTGATCCTGTTTACTGGGGACTCCTAGCTAATGCATTTGTGGTTAGAGTTGAAAATGGAAAAAGTCCTTGGGTGCCTCTTTAATCTTTCATTAAACGTCCAGCCGTTCCTGTACAATCTTCAGAACTTTAGTGACGATCACGGCTCCATTCAGCAGAGAGCCTCTGGTTAACAGGGTCACTCATCAAACTGGAACACTGGTATTGTTTTGGAAAGCGCTGCATCTTCCCATTCTTGCTTTCCCACTGCAGACACTGTGGGCCAACATTGATGAAAATATAAAGAATTTATTTACCTTATAATTATTTCTACAGCCACTTTAGAGAGTGATGGTTAACCGAGCTTTTGTTTTTAATAAAAGAAGAGATCAGAGAGACAAGAGCAGGGAGAATAGCTATGTGAGACAGCTGCCGTAGTTTGTACTTTTTCATTCATTTTTTTAGCGAAACGATTAAAAACATGACTAATAAAATCATTTTGCCATTCAAGCTCACTCAAATAATCCCAGAAAGCACAGATGGCAGCCGCATGACACCTGCATGGTCAGCATATAAAGGTTCCCCCAAATGTGCCACACAGACATTTCTGGATGAAAACAAAAAAGACAGCTTTTCTGTTTACTAAAATAAACACACAATGCACCGCGGTGGCCCCTATCCTCCTTCTTTGACCTGCTGGTCAGACGTAGCATCAATCCTCTCACCGAACACCGCAGCAGTAGTAGTGAGAGCAAAACAAACAGCCATGTAAAGTCCCCAAACATGAGCAGAACAAGAATAAGCAGATATTTACTTCTCTGGGGTAGAGTAATAAAAATACAGGGATACTTGACATAACCTGTAGACCACACAGCAGGATCACTGACACACAATCACTATGTAACTTCAAAGCATTAACAACCTTTGCTTTGTCGAGTTATTACTATAGCACATCAAAATGCAAAGTTTTAATAAATAACTTAGCATGAAGTGAAATATTTTTAAATCTTTCTCTTCCATATTTTGGTTGAGTCATGAACCGAACATCATGAGATTTGTGATGCACTGCACCTTTAATTCAATTACAAAAAACAGCACCATCATGATGGCTGAAAAGGCCCTCTGTTTTTTTTTTTTAATTCACCATGTTTATTCACACCCTGAAGGCAGCAGAATTAAACTTTCATTGCTCCCTCTTTTTCAGGTTTTGCAAATTTCTGATTAATGAGTAGCAGCTTTTAAACCCGTCCACAACAAACATGGAGTTCAAACATTACCTCAGGTTAATGAGAGGGCGAGGAGAGGTTTATGATTCAGCTCCGGATGTGAGCATCTTACTAGAATGACCCAACCAAGTACTACATATATCAGTGTGAGCTAAACGCAGGTCTGCAACCCATCATACTTCTTCTACTAAAGATTAGGAAATATTAATTGACAGACTTGGAAATTAAATGGATGGACAGAGGGCTGATTAAGGTGGACTTAATTCTCTCGACCTATTTAATTCCATGGCACGATTTCAACTTTAATTTGATGAATTCCTGGGAGCAAATTAGGCTTCGGTGAGGGTGAATGTGTGTGTGTGTTTGCATGCAAGATTCATACTGTATGTGTGAGTTTCGACTGAGAGGCAAAGACACGAATATCTTCAAGGATATCCGCACAGACACGTCCGTTCCTCGTGTTCACCTGCTCGACTTTTCATTTCAATGTCATACTTATAGACCTTTGCTCGGGCAGAGTGATGATTCAGATGAAGAGAAGAAAATGGAGAAGGAGAGATGGAGAGAAACAGAGGGGAAAAAAAAAAACTCTAAGAGTCTTTTGCTGTCCCCGCCTTCAGCCCCTCAGCAGGCTTTTACCTCCCGTGGCTCTGCTCCTCCACAGAGACATGAGCCGACATCAAAAAATGACGCTAAAAAGTACAGGCACACACACCGGGCACACACAGAATATAATTCACCTCCTGCGCTCTGCCACCCTCCGCAGACATAAGCTGATTACCGTGAAAATTGAAAGCTCATACGCAGGTGGTGATTCAGGTGCTCATATGCATTTTTAGCAGCACACGTGTAGCAGCAAAAACACCCCAACAACACACTCAGAAAACATGAGAATATTCCACCATGCTGTCTACCACCAAGAGCCCCTTGCACCTCTCTCTGTCGATCACACACACATTTCCACACACACTCCCTCCATGACATTCAGGCTCAAGATGAAAGACATTAAATTAAAAGGCTCTGCATGAGTCCACTCCCCCTCCACAAATCTTTCTCTCCTCTTTTCAGTTGAGTCTCATTTATCCCCCGGTCTCCATCTACCCTGACTATCACACTGACCAACCCTGAGATAGTGATATGAAACTTGTGAAAAGCGTAATGGGGCCCTGATAAGATAATACTCAATAATAGTTATTCTTATTCCTGAGGTACCAACGAGCAATTTCACAGGTTGGTGGCCTCAAATGGCGGCAGAGAGATGAATGCTGAAAGCCTCAATAGCCTGGAATTATGTCGCACAATGTCCATAAACTCTCCTGGCAGAACTGCTTTGTGATACAGACACAACAATAGATTTGTGAGTCACCGATAAGAGACACTCGACGTTCCTGTTTCCCCTACTAGATGGAATTCAACTATCTGTTAACCATAGTAATTGAAACAGAGTCGAGTAAGGAAAGAGTTCTGTCTCTTTGTTCAAATGGCATTTAACCAAGGATCATGTATTTCATCATGTCATCATTCAAATGACACTAAGGCCGGGCAGTGTCGCGCATGGTTAGCGCTTTTGCCTTCACAGCAAGAAGGTTCCTGGCTTGGATCTTCCAGCCATAAGGGGTCTTTCTAAGTGGAGTTTGCACATTCTTCCAATGCCTGAGTGGGTTCTTTTCACTTTCCTCCCACAGTCTGTGGACGGTGAATGGTTGTCTGTGTGAATGTGTCGTATGGATTGGTTTGATTCCTATAATACTGTCAGATTACTGCACCAAAAGCTTGTCTGTGTATGGGGCTATGAAGTAGTGCACCACTAGGAAGAAGTGCAACTACAATCAAATAGTTAAAAATAAGATGACCATTAAGAAAAGCAGGCGGTCATGGAGCTGCTATACCACCCTCCCTGAGGAGAATGGCAGACCATTACTGAAATTTAAAACTGGTTTGAGATATACAAAAATATATTGTATTAAATCAAGGAAATAATCTATTTGTAGTGCATAAAAAGCTGCAGTGAATATGTATTTAGAGTTACTATCTCTTTGCTATCTTTTCGCTGTTACTCCCACTGTTACCCCCACTCTCTTGTCGCTCAAGGAGTTACGCTGTTACATTACCCGCACTATATAGACCGTGTATAAGCTTGTACATTACCTTTACGTTGATGGAAGAGGGTTCGACAGGGTTTGATGCGCTCGTTGATGACTCAAAACAAGTCGAAAATATCGTTTTGTGTTGTTGTGCTCAAACAGTGTGAGTAGAAATCATTCGTGGCACATTAATATTAACAATTGTGAAATTTTAGTAGTGGCGCACAAATTCACAGCTGATGAATGAATGTATGTCTGCATGCTACAGTCCCCATTGACTGTCATTTTAAGTTTAACAAGCATATTTGTCCCTCAATACAAGAACCCAGAGCTACTAAGGGTGCAAATATTTGTGCCAACAGCGCAGTATATTCTGTACTGCCAGCCAGAGGGTTGCAGCAAGGGGCTAAATCCCTTTCAGACATGCAGCATTGTGTTAAATCCTGTTACATTGCAGAAAAACTGAAGGTTGGATTCATAAAATGTGCTACTACTTTACAACCCAACACAGAAAATAAAGTTTAATGCTGTTTGAAGGGAGATCTTTGCAGGGGAAGATGGTGATAATGCTGTTATAGAAGATCTTTGCAGGAAAGGTTGAGAGGTAAGGAGCTTGGACCTGATCAGCTGGAAATTAAAATCTGCAGTGTAAAATGATTATTTGGATGATTATTACTTCATGGAAATGATCCGCTGCACTTGGTGATCGACTCGTCAGGGCTCCCTCCGACAAACAAGCGGAGATGTAGACCGCTGTGTATCGCTACTTTGCAGTCGTCACTAAAGTTGGTATATCTAGAGAAGCAAGTGGTCGGCAACATCCATCTCTCGAGGGGATGTCTAACTTAATTTGATGCCGGGATATCCCTTTAAGATAACCCTTTAGTAGGGATTTTATACAGTTACTTAGAAATAAAAGCTCAGTCCTGATATCTAAGATCTTCTGTAAAAAAAATCCTCATTAAGGTCAGAAAGCAGCATCGTATAGAAATCTAATTAAATGTCATTTTCTCAATTCACAAATATTAAAATAACAATAATAATGCTTGAAGTTAATCACCATATTTATATTGAGGACATTTACAGATACTTATTCAGTCACCATAATAGTGAGAGAGTGAAAATAGGTTTGTGACGCTGCGGTATGCCTGGTCTTTATGGTGAACAGCTTTATTATTACTGACCAAACTCCCATAGCCAGGTTCTTTTCAGTACAGCTGTGGTGTTTCCTAACACCCTGCAACAACAGTGAGCTATGGCAATAATTAGTACTTTGATGGACCCCTGCCGCTGAGTTATGACTATGGCTTCGTTTAATGCCGTCATTACAGACTGCCTATGACTCTGAGTGTGGCTCTAATCATCCTCACAGAGTTTTGGGGATTTTGACTGTGGCCATTACATGCTGGTCTTGCAAAGCAGGCTTTAAACTGCAGGGTATGTAAATGTAATAATAATACACTCCAGGCTGCAAAGAGCGGGGAAGACACTGTGGGCTTACTATGATGGTTTTTTAATGGCCACTGGGACTGTGATGATGTTACATCAATCACTCTTGGACGCAGTTGATTCATTAAATCCGAAAGTTGAAGCTTGAGTCGAAAAACACAGATGACAGTCGGTGGGTTTGAAATCCAGTGTTTCGTCAGACAAACCCACCTCAAGAATCAGACTAAATAGACGCAGACAGAAGAGATGAAGCCTCGCATTTCATATTTTCTTCTTGTTTTCCTTTTATTATCTTCATCCACCTTCTCATCTTTTCTCCTCTCTTCTACCGCTTAGCTCACTACACCTATCTGTTTGAGTTATCAGCCAGGCTGCTAATGACTGCCAAGCTGTCTGCTGTGATAATAGCGAAACAATATGAGATAATGAGCTAACAGTGGGCTGTTATACAAGTTGGCGCAAACATAGTGGGCTGAGTACAGTGTGCTGTATGGGCAAGTGTGTCAGAGAGAGAAGAAAAAAAAGGAAGGCAGGAGTGAAATTGAGGTTTAAGGCCTCTGCCATGGAACTAAGACACAGCTGTTATGAGAAAAAATCCTTTACTTATATTTCAAGTGCAGAAAAATACATTACTTCATTCGAATTCCCTCTACTGAGTACGTTCCCAACCTAGCACTTACCTCTTTTTTCCTCCTATGAAATAAGTGACACTAACCACTCACCACCTACTCAGCACATTTTCAGAACATAATGGTGTGATAGATGTGTGCGAACCGGCCGGAGAAAGTGTGAAGCATCAGCCGAACAGACTCTGTGCTTCTTGAGCTAATGTGATGATCTCATTAAGCAGACTGAGAGTGTGGACCTTTGATTGATCAGGGGTCGAACCTTGCAGATAGTCAAAGTCCTCGTCCTTTTCATATAAAAGTTATACTTCTGTTAAGGCGGTGAAGTACTTCGCAAAGAGCTTTGAAACTCTTAACGCAACATCTACATCTGAACCATTGGATACTGGTTGGATAAGTCCCACTGATTTTCAAAAATGGTTCATTTGGACCTGACCCCCATCCCAATACTTTCACTGTGTCCCAAAACAGTACATCTGCTTCTCCACCCTGCGCTATTATTAAAGCATGTCCAACCAAATCCATCTGTGTGTGTTCAAAATGCCTTAGAAAGCAGGCGGGCTAGATTAAATCAAAGCCATTGTGATCGGTTAATGTGACCGCCAATGAATGGGTTGCTTAAAACTGTTAATTGTTGCCTGACAGCGGAAATTTGTTAAAAGTGTCAAAATAATTTGGGTAAAAATGCAAAACTGGAGGTCACGAATGGAACCGTCAAAATTATTCACAGCAGGAGACGCGGTTTATTTTAGATATCACCAAGATGACTAGTTATTTCAGCGTTATGAACCCTACTTACAACATAGTTCTGTCATCTTTTTCCCAAGCATGAATTTGGCCGTGAGATCTGACATGACTCCCCTATCATTAACACTTCTGGAAAGTGGTCCTTTTTAAAAACTTGGACTTGTAAAGTACAGTCTGATAGGAAAACTCGGCCAATAACAAAGCGCTGGACTCTAACGCTCAGATTAGGAACCTTTCCAACACCTTAAACCAGGAGAAAGGTAAGAATACATTGAGTGAGCGTGTCGTAATTATTATTCAGCTTAAAGACCATCTCTAATGAAAATCATGTTTTTCTTGTTGCCTACATGTTCATATGTCCTTTTTCTGTAGTAAGTGTGAAATTGCATTTTTGAGTATTTCTGCATTCAAATCACTGTGAATCTCTGGCAGACCCAAAGGCAGGCTCAGACACTGTGAGATTTCCTATGTCACAACTCCAAGCCTCGCCCCCGGAGCCCTGCTATGCAGGCCAGACTCTGCAAAATAAAGAGCATGATTGTGGAACAAACGTGTGCGTTAGCGGATTGCAATTCTCGTAAGAAAGCTAGTTATGATATTAACTTTCATCATGTCCCCAAAGACATTAGTGTCCAAGAGCTGAATAGCTGCTATGTTACCTGCTACTTCAACGACACTGGCAATGTTGAGCTACATGCTAGTGTGAAGAGAAGCGTGAAGAGGAGCTCTGTCTTCACCCATGACTCAGAGGAGAATTGCTAATGAGCTACTGGAGCTCTGCAGAAGAAAAGCCCTTAAGAATGACACAGGTAACGTGATTTTGGCTAAAAACTTTATATTTTAACGATAACTGAGAACTCTTTTAATAACTTCGATCGGTATGAAACTTTAATAAGTTTTTGGAATCTTTCCCACATTGATGCTCGCTTTTATCGTAGCCTCTAGGCTTGAAGGCTGTTGAACTTAAGAGGCAACACATCCACTCATATCTGCTTTTTAAAGGAAACTCTAATATCAATAACAGTTTTTTGACATGCACTCTGGACATCTGTATTAGATAACTTCAGGAGCTCTGCCCCCAGAGTTTTCACATATGTCCCCTCACAGCTGTTCCACAAGGGGCAGGTTCAGCGGGATGGACGTGACATTGAAAAAACGCCGCCATAGTTACGATAATGTGTTTTACAGTCTTTTTCAAGATTGAAACTGTTGATTGTTTTGTTTTATTCTTCCATCTGCTCGTCCTGCTTCATTTCTAATCCTCTATATCTTTGTTCCTTTTTTTCCATTCCAGCACATGCTGCTTGTCTAACACGCACTGGGATTCAATGTTCTCATTGATCTTCTGGCCAGTAGTGTTTCCTGTTTATATGTGCTACTGCACAGCCAGAATCCAGGGCACTTGTCATCATTGAGAGTACTTCTTGTTGAAGGACATCAGTCTATTGAGATACACCTCTCCTGAAATCTTCAAGGATTTTTATAGTTGAGTATCTAGATGTACTCTGTGTGGTCTGAAAATGCAAATTTGGAGCGTAGAGATATTGTATAATGTGATTCAGTACTTGGTGCATTATTTGATAAAGGATGTTAGTCTGGTAAAATACACTTCTCCTGCTGATTCTCACTACAGTCGCTTGCCAATGCAGCAAACTTGTCAGTACGCAGGTGGCATGATACAAAACTCATCAACCCCCGCCTGTTGGAATAGAGAGAATAGATCTTTATTGTCATTAAACAATAAAAGGCAGTTCAGGAGCTCTTCACATTGGCAGTGTGGTAAGAAATCACACAGTAAGTAGGTTTGTGTCAGTGTGCTCCAGCAGCACTAAAAATGAGAGATGGTAAGAATGAACATTTTGTACAGCAGGGTCACTTTGCTATGTTGATGTTTTTTTTGTTTTTTTTTTAAAGAGAAGGACATCTTGTTCATACCAGGTAAACAATAGCCTTCCCCTGGATTTATCAACAATGAGCCCTCCCCGAGTCCTTTTAGAGTTTTGTGCAGCAGAGGTGCAGGACTATTTTAGAAATCTGGGTGTTGCATGAAGTTCTGTCAAAATAAGCCACTCAATGCCCAAGGATGTTACAAGCCCGGAAGCATTCGTGGTTTTAACAACAACTCGTTTCCTTATTTAATCCTGTCATGTTTTTTTTCCTTTTGCCACGCCAAAAGGAAGATAAAATGAGCGTGGATGAAAACATGTCAACACTTCCCTTTAAAGTCCCACTCAAATTTTTTTTTTTTTTTACTACTTTAAGTGTTCTCAGTGGTCTTTAAATTGTGATTATCAAGTTTTTCGCCAAAATCACGTTACCTTGGTCATTTTTAAGGACTTTGCTTCTGCAGAGCTCCAGTAGCTCATTAGCAATTCGCCTCTGAGTCGTGGGTGGAGACAGCGCTGCTCTGCACCCTCCTCTTCACACTAACTTGCAGCCTAACATTGTTGGTGTAGTAGAAGAAGTAGGTAACATAGGAGCTATTCAGCTCTCGGACACTAATGTCTTTGGGGACATGATGAAAGTTAATACCATAATTTCTTCTTACGAGCATTGCAATATCCGCTAACACACACGCTTGTTCTGCGATCATGCTCTCTATTTCGCAGAGTCTGGCCTGCATAGCGGGGCTCTGGGGGCGGAGCTTGGATTTGTTATGTAGGAAATCTCACAGTATCTGAACCTGCTGTTTGGGTCTGCCAGAGATTCACAGTGATCTAAATGCAGAAATACTCAGAAATGCAATTACGCACTTACCTTTCTCATGATATGTCCTGTAGCATCAGAAAAATGCCATATATGAACATGTAGACAACAAGAAAAACATGAATTTCATCAGAGTGGGTCTTTATAGTGTGCCATGCTATGATGGACAGTGATCCGCTGATTAAAACTGTTCCATCTTTACAGAAAATGCTTTCCTCACTGCCACTGATGTGCTGGAGCAGAGCACTCATGTTCAAACATGTCTGTTCCATTGCATTTCGCTCATTAGCTGGTTTTAAAATGATCTACATCATGTCAGCTCTGGTGTCCAAAATGAAATATTAGATGATATATTTTTTTTCTGAACCAAGCAGTGAAGGCATTTCAATGCCAGAGCCACAACACCAGCTGAAAAAGACAGAAGCAGACAGCACACCAGGAGAATTACAGAGGAGGCCAATCTATGCAGAATATCAATGCTTTGTTATGGTGCTTTACTCAAAATCTGCACTATAGAAATCTCTCTGGATCTGAAGCCAGCGCACTGTTCTACAAATCTGAGTGCTGTGAATACAAAGGCGCTTCTCTGGACTGAAGACAAACCTGTCTTATTTCAGAGCGTGGCGAGCTGACAGGAGCCCTGTGTATGATTGGCAGCAGTACAGAGGAAAAAAAAGGAAAGTTAAAACTCACCAGGAGGGAGGCAGCACATACACACCTGAGCGTGTGTGCATTCAGGATATACTGTCTACTGTGTGTAGGAATCTTTGTGTTGGCTCCCTCTTTGTAAATTATGTGTCTATTCATATTCTGTAAACACACACTCGCACACATAAATTGGCCAACGTATGCAGTAGCTTATTCTTTATCAGCCTCATGTTTCAGTGCCTCCCACTCGAACGTCTGACACTATGGCGATGCTTCTCAGCTGGTCACGGATGCCCATCAATTTCATTAGAGGAGAACTCCAAAACATCCCCTTTCGGGAACAAAGGCATAACAAAAACAACCTCCTACACCATAAAAGAAGTTCTCCTACTGAAAAAGTAAAACCTAACAACTACTCACCGACTGAGCGCCTGACTGAAGGATCTCTGTGAAGAGTTCGTATCATGCTTGCTGTGTTTCTAAACAGCAGTTGAAATTGATTCCAATTCTGAGACAGACTTGTTGCGAAAATGATTCGAAACATCCGTAAAAACCTCTCAAAGCACTCCAATCCACTTGCCTGCTATTGATCTTCATGTTCAGTATATTGCTAACAATCCCCTGCTTTCCCATAGATTATTTCATACACTACCTCTGGCAGAGCTTCTGAAAAATGAGGAGGCGATGATGTCGATGTAAAAGTCTATTTAGCTGCATTGATAGAAGCCTGGAGTAATCTGAACATTGATGTTTGCAGGATGAACTTTGGCTGAACATGGTTAAATAAGTAAACCTGCGGGGTTTTACGAGGTCCAAATAAAGGCGGAGGAGTTACCTGCCCCTTGCTTTATGCAAAAATGTATGTGTACTGTGAGTACTGGCTCAAACTTAACCTTTTGTAAACAATAAGTTTTAAGACTTTCAATGTTTTAGAGAAAAGGTATTAAAACTTTCATGCTCACTCATTTTCTGGGCGGTCATTGGTTAATCAGCCAGTCATCAGTGTTTTCTTTATCCAGCAGCATGGCGACGCACCCTCACCCTCAGCCTATCACCAATGTGCACTCATTTTAAAAAGGAATTTTCATGTATGGTTAAGTAGGGAAGCTGCGAACGGCCATGGATTTTTCTTTTTCTTTTCCTTTTTTTTAATGCACTGTTTTCTCATGATAACGACTCATTATCTTGATATAACAAAGTTTGTTTTCTAGACTTACTTTTTGTTTGTTATCCCGACATGACAAAGTTTGTTTTCTCATGATAACAGAAATGGCATTTTAGCCAACCCCAACTTGCTGTTGACAACAGTGTCTGTAACATTTGTCTGAAAATACATAAATCAGTTTGAAACAATTTAATTGCCCTTACTCACATATTCCTCTGCCTCCTTAAAGTTAGCATGGATGTTAAACAAATGTTGTGTCAAAATTTCTTGACAAAAACATGGCATCAGTAGGAGAGGTATCGATTAAGGATGTATTAGTCAAATGATTAAATGCCTTTGCTAGCTGGCAACAGAACTACTTGTCAATGAAACAAATTTTGAATATTTTTGTTAGACTGAAGCCTGGGTTAAAATCACAATGCCTTAATGCTCTGCTACTGTACCTGAAAATAAAGATACAGAAGATACTGGCATGTTGTGTCTGATTGATCTAGGAAATAACAACTCGACCAAAGCAAGGCTAGAAATGCTGGCACTGGTAACGTTAGCCACACTCGGTGAAGTAATCTGACTCTTTGATTATGTTACATACTCTGTCAAGACAGAGGCAGATGTTATGGCAGCATCGTAGATGGTGGTGGTCTGTCTGGTCATTAAATACACTATGACATGTTGACTTTTTCCCTGGTGGTACTAATGAAGAACATGGATGACAGGTTTTCTTAGCTTCCTGTAAAGTCGAACTTTCCTCCTCCTTTCTTTTGCCATTTTTATTAGTGTTCTATGTTTGAAATATGGTCTGGTTTAAACTGCAGACTGCACTGCCCTCATAATTTCCTGTAGCACTGCAACATTTGTACCTTATGAGCTTCCAGAAAACATGCAAGGCAACAAAATGAAATGACAGAGTCCGGGCAGACATGGACTAATGTGCGCCTCAAGACAGGAGCTATGCAAATCACCATTAAAGGGTTTAACAGCCCATCCCCACTCCACACTCAGGGGTTTTATATGGTGCACACTGTGGCAGACACAAGCACACAGACAGATACTAAGTACGTGTGTTAGAAATGCCCATGGACTCCCTCTGCAGAAAACTTTTGATTTCTTTTTCTTCTATCACTTTTGGCAAGTGAGGCACCTCCTCTTCTGGTGCGCTGGACTAATTAGGATACAGCGCTGCAACAAAAAGGGTGAAATGTTATAATTGTAGTTAGAGATGACAAATGCACCGAGTGTAGTCCAAGTTGGAAAAGAGTATTTTTTCTGAAAACACTCATCAGGCTTTGATGAGAGCTGAGGGCAACTCAAAACTTGACAGAGGCAGCCACCTTGTAATATTCTGTGCAGGAAAAAACACGCTGCAGGTAACCATTTGAATCAATTATAAATCAAAACTTACATTTTAACAAGTGGAGGAACACAGAAGGATTTTCAGAGAGACGATACCTTTGAATTGTGGTGCATCTGCACAGGTGTCAGCAAACTCTGCTTCTGATCTGGTCCACTTTGATAAAAACTTCCCGAATCAAGTTGCAATGCTGCGGATATATTTTGAAGTGGTATCTTTTTGTCCCTTAAGGCGACATTTTGTTCTTCAAATTTAATGAGGACTCCTTGTGCTCTATTAGAGGATTAAAGTGTTTGATGTTTATCAAATGTCTCCTTAATCAGCTCGTCATATTTGCCAGATCTCTTCCTCAAAATTGATTAGGAAAGCAGAAGATTTCCAGCTTGAGGAGGAGTCCTCCAATTTAATCTACCAGACGCACACATTAGGGAAGAAATGGTGGAGTTTATGACTTTCTGATGACTGCACTGATGCAATGTCCCGGACTGAATCTGTGCAGAACTGCAAGAGGAACAGATTGCACAAATACACAGAACTAACTCTACAGGATATTTGTCCTTCGTATGATTCCTCTTAATCGCGGAAACTACTGTACCACTAAACGCACAAAAACTGTTGACAAACCTTTGAGGTAGCCAAAAACATGAGCATGATTACACATAAAAGCAACACTAACATGATAATTGTCCATTTCTCCCTCCATAAAGGTGAGTCATTCTTGTGAAATCAGCATTTCTTGAGTTAAATGAATCATTTTCGGTTCCCTACCTCCAGGATAGATGTCTCTTATTCCATTTGTTCTGGGGTGTTGGGCTGCGTTTCCTGCGGCCCATTGTCCCCTCAGCCTCAGAAACATCTGGCAGAGAACATCTGGGTGTTTTCATAAGACCCAGTGTGGCTTGGTCTGGAGAGGAAACAAACAGACATTGGTTCTGTCAGATGATTGTTGTTAAAAAAGGACAGAAAATAAAAGTTTCTGAGGCCAAAAGTTCTTTTTTTTTCTTTCTTTTGTATAATGGTTTGATATTTATTTTTCCTTCTCTTAACTGTCAAACTAACTCTCCTATTTTATAATCACAAACACCACATACCAAAGACCCCGGTCTCCTTTAGCCCTCCAAACCTCTGCATGGCTTTGATGGCCTTGGTCAGGGCCTCCTTGGTCTGGAGCTGACCAGTTACTGGGTCAGGGGGCGGGAGGTAGCCAAACTTACTCAGCCAGTCCTGGAGGGGAAACAGAAGACACAAAGTTCAAGGGTCAGTCAAGGCATTTCAAGGACTCTAAGTATCCCAAAGCCGCTGAGAAAGTCTGACACCTGTTCATGTTGACAGTCCGTGGACCATGTGTTAGTGTTAGTGTGTTAGTGTGTAAGTCGTGTATCTCTGCCTCTGTCTCTTTGAGAGCTAAGCACATTCAAGTATTTGAAATGAATTTAAAAGACATAAAGACTTAATTTGTTTACATGAGAAAGTTAATCCAGTAATAACAGAGGCTGAATTAATAAAGGTTCACAGTGAAACTCCATTTCCACAAGAAGCCAATCAAATTGCTGCCAATCAAAGCTGCTCTGCCGACTGTATTGATCTGACTGATGGATGCACGCAAGCTTAAACTTGAGCGCTGCTCTTTTTCTCTCTCTTTCTTTTGCCTTTTGTCCCCTGAGATTTCCTTTGTCTGTTTTTTCCTTTTTTTCTCCTCTCTTCATCCAATTCAGCTCAGCTCAAGCCGCCTCTTCTCTCCTCCTGACAGCCTATAAGAGATGGCAGATTATAAATAGGTTTTTGATCAGTACTCATCAGAGATGAGTGACACAGATCGATTGCAAGGCAATTCCTCTGTAAGGACAATGTTGGCAAAAATCCTATTAACTCTTCACTTCAGCTCTCTGCTGGCTGATATTCGCCCCCTCATCCTCAGGATTGCCATCCCTGCAGAGGGCTTGGCAAAGGTTTGCAGGGAAATTAAATTGACCCTCAGCAACAACAAGCACGATGAGAAACAACAACAATTTCCTGGAAGAGTTTCTGCAATGTTACTGTAATGCCTGGGGTGAGCACGCTGGTTAGAAAACCTTAAGAGAAAGCAGGGAAGTTAAATTGACTCCATGAATCAACAAAGATTGTAAAGCGGCTCCTTTTCTAAAAGTTTGCCAATTAGGAGTTTTGTCTTTTGTTAAAAGTTTCAGTCAGTAGGAACATTTTTTTTTTTTATCCAGCCCCAAAAGATGTGCTAAGAAACAGTGGAAGTCATTAGTCAGTTTAAATGTGTCCCAGGTCATCCCAGCGTACTGCACACCAAGAACACAACAAAGGTTTTTACTAAATGAACTGTCTGGCCACTGCAGTTGAGATTCCACTGATGTGTCCCAACTCTTTACAAATTCCTCTAAAGTTTTAGGATAATTACGTTCAAAGTAGAGTACTGGTACTAAATATTATAGATTTTTGACAGTGTGGTGCATAAAACATTGAGAGGAAACGCTCATCATAAAACAAAAAAATGAGGCATGAGGAAAAAGAAGAAGAGAAACATAAAAATCTTTCTTTTCATGATCTGAGTGTCCTGTTTTTGTCTTTCTGGTTTCCATGATAGTGTATCATGTTGCAGATTTTTTGTTGTTAACTAAATGTGGGGAAAATATTTAAGGGCTGAATCTTACAGCTAAACCTGCAGACTTTAAGTCATTGTGTTGAATGTCAAAACCCAAAGCACAAACACATTTGTATTAAGGGTGGGAGAAAAAATCAATACAGCATAGTATCACGATAATTTGTCTGGTGATATCTCGTATGGTCTCATTTACCAAGTATTGATTTTTTCAAATTAATTGTTAATATGAAGTCATGATAACGGAAAATAAAATAAAAAAAAAATACGTCACTTTCTGGTCAAATAAGCCCCACAAAACACAGGGGCTGTGCCATTTAGCTGAACATTTTCTTCAATCTAATTCTAAATAAAGAAGTTCTTGCCAGCTTGCTCAAGTAAGCTGTACATGAATAGTAAAATTTGGTGATGTTAGACAGAGAGTGCACAGTGCAGCTCTGCACAGCAGTGTGACAACGCTAACCGCTCATCTCAGTTACAGTCAAATGTAAGACTTATAGAAACTGCTCAGGGATCCAGAGCTTTCAGTACATTGTTTTTGAATCTCATTAGGGTAATATGCTGTGTAAAGTGGACCTTGAGACAGAGAAGACAGCAAGATACTATATATGATGTGCAACTCTTGTTGCCAGACCACAGCCATTCTTGGAGAAGTCCCCTTTGGGTCATTAGGGGATCAAAAACAAACACCAGTTTCAAGAAATGGTCAGAAAGTTTAGTTTTCTATACAAAATAAACAAACACAGCAGCAAATCAATGTGTATCATTGATGAAAGAGAAAATAGTCAACTGAGGGGCATTTGTCAGTGATCATACATCCTTAGCAGGTTAAATCACCTGGTGTAAAACACTAAGATTACTACAGTCAGTTGTATGTTCAGCACTATAATTTGGGATTAAATCAACTGCAATTCAGCCATTATCAACACTGGTTCGACAGCATTTTTGGAGCATTTATATGAAACTAAACTAAAACAATAAACAGATTGTTTCCTTCCTTTTTCTGCTGGACTAATTTTGATAACTGTTTGCTTTCAAATAAACATGATAACATTTCTAATGAACGACCATACGATTTTACATTATCAATATTTTTAAATTCACATAAACGTCATCTTCATAAACTGTAAGCGTATTATCAAAAAGACAACACTTCAAAATCCTGCACTAACTCTTTAATGGATCCCTATCCCGAAAACTTTTGGTATTATTCATAAAAAATCCTCATGTGAGTTCATATAAACAATGGCTATAATGATTTTAATAGTAAAATATCAACTCAGAAATGTTTAAATATGAAGCAGAGGAAACAACACCAGTGTGCACGCATATCTGCAAACACGGTGTGTCTGTGAAAACATCCACGCGGACAAGAAGAGGTTAAAGTTCTACTCTGTAAGCAAAGTGTTGAAGTGATGGATTATATCTGTGCTGTCTACAAAACCACAGCCCCCCTTTTTCACACACACACACATACACACACACACAACTCATAAACTCAGTACATCAAACTTTTTTGTGGAGCCAGCAACTAATTTAAACCCTGACACCGTAGCTCACAGGGGGAAAAAAAAGCAGTAAAACCTGCCAAAGAGCTCAGTAACATGCTGAACGCTGCTAAATTATATACGGGGATGTCACTGTGTTTAAGTGAGAATGGCTGTACTTTTAAAGAGGCTGCACACGAGTCACCTGAGTTCAAACAGAGACATAAATAATCATTATGAGATAAAAGGAACAACATAATTAAGCACATATTCACTGTCAAAGATCAGAGAAAAAGAAAGAACCAAATTTGTGAAAACAAAGGAAGGAGGAAAGGAGAAGCTTTAATAATTTACATGCATTTCAAACCGAGTACACCAAAAATAATGGTGCTGTTCTCATGGGCCCTAACCTCTGAAATACAGATAAGAAAAAAAACAACAGAACAAATAGAAGCATTCAGAGAAAAAGACAGAATCTGACCTGTAACAGTTAACTATAGGATGACAGACCATCCTTTTTACTGGCTTATTAAGATGCACTTCTAAACAAAGACAAAAACACATACACACCACTAATGCATAAAATTATTGTCCAGCTTCTCCTGCATCTTAAATGAGAGGCTGTTGATTCAGGGTTGGCTTTATCTCAACGACTGCAGCAGTGTTTGATTTTCTGCGGTATTTTGCATAAAATAAGACTATGGACTCTAAATTTTTTTCAAAACTAGAGTTTTACAGCAGAAGTAAATAACATCCTGAATGTCAAAGGCTAAAGTTCAACCACCGCTTCGAGCAACAAAACAACTAATTATCCAGGAAGCTGCAAGTATGTGAAAGAAAGGTAGAGGAGCAGACAAGAGTTTCCTGTGTAAAATATAATCAATGTTTGAGGTCGTCCAAAAGAAAACCAAAATTATATTTTTTTATTTATCATCTGATTCTGTTGTTATGAATCACTGATGGAATAAAATGGAAGAGAGCAACTAAATTACCCAGAAAAAAAAGCATTTTTGAGAATGTTAATGGTTATAAAACTGCAGAGGAACTTGAACTGTGACTTTCAGTTTTCTCTGCATATCGATGTTTAATTAGAAACTGATCTAATGGCGCAACAACAACATAATTTCACAATCAGCATCAAAGCAACTGCGTTATGACTTCTTTATGCCATTTAGAGAGGACACAGATCAGTGATTTGTATAAATAACCAGAGACAAGAAATTGTAATGACTCTGAAAATCTCATTTTCAGCAAATAAAGATTTGAAAAATGTTATTGACACCCGAGAAAGAAATAAACACAGTAAGACAACGATTTTTCTTCATGAATCAGATAAACTTGTACAAAGCCAGATTGGATGGATTAAAATTAAAGACTCAATAAGATATGACATGGCTGCATTATCATGGCAAAAATGAGGCATAGCGTTAGTTCTGGAAGGTCACAACGTCAAGCGCTAACCCAGCCTCTTCCGCTACTTCGACAGGCAACCAGCAACCCACCTCCACCCTTGTGCTCCACTACTCTTGAAGCGCTCCTGTTCTGGGGGGGTTCTGTTCATCGCTGCTTTACCCCCCGTTGTTTCTGCCTTCATGATGCCTCATGAAGAACGGGAAGGTGCTCTTCCTGCCGCTAGTTTTCACGCAAGCTCGTGGAAGGGCAGGGACCCAGAACAGAACTATACCGCCAAATTTAACTTATTAATAATAAAGCTGAATTTTGACAAAGTGATCCTGACTGAAATGATGATTACAATCAGTTTGGTTGGAATTAAGATTAGAATTTGTTAATTATAAGCACAATCACATTTTCAATCAATATTAGACTGCTAATTCTTCTATAAAAAAAACATCTATACCCTGTATCTCATTTATTGGCTTTGACAATAAGTGCCGACCTCCACGTTACATCGCCTTCAAATGTTACAGCCATGAACGGCATCCAAGCCTTGATTTAATTTTGAAGACGGTACAGCCCAACACAGGACTCAGGCTTACAACTTTGCATTAATTTTTCATAATGACGCAAGTCAATGCTGCAGCTTTGCATCCTGTGCTCACTCCGCCCCTCTGCTTCACTAACACACACCTGATCCTATGCTTACAGCCTGCTCTCCTGCAGCTAATAAAGCCAAAGTTTTCGATCATATTCAGCCATCATCTATCATGTGAGCAAACTGTCCTTGTATCTGTATTTTACTAAAAGGACAAAGTGTTACATTAAATCATACTAAAATGAAGGGTCACTTTTCTAAATTCGGGACCCCCTGATACCTAAGGGGGGGCAGCCAAAAAACTGAACAAAAAGTATCCCTCTGTGTTTTCTCTCTGCGGCTGAGTCAGGGCACAGACCCAGCTGGAGTCCGGTGGCTGCTAAAGTCACTTCAGCAGCCCATATTCTGGCTGACATGTGGGCTTGACCCCGTGTCTAAACTCAGGCCCAGGGGGTCTCTACCACTTACCCTGCATGCTGCTCAAGTGACCTGACCAGTCTGGCTGTATCAGCAGTCTGTTTCAAATGTTCAGGACTTTCAAAGTGGAGGCAAAGACATATCTAACAAATAAGTGAAAAAAATTACCGAACAGAACCACATGACCTCTTATCCAAATACTGAACTCAATCTCCTGCGAGGTCAGCGCTCTTTCAATATCATGTTGATGAGTTTGCCTGAGCATATTACCGACATTGTGCAGCCCTAACAAACTCACATTCTTACAAGCTTTTGGTTTGAGTAAATTTAATATTCAGATGACAGTATTGAGTTTGTTAAGGATTTAGATGCTTTAAAAATACAGAACCTACTTTGACAAGTGTAACACCAACTCATGTCAAACCAGCGTCCAGTTAAAATGAAGAGTGACAACAGGTAAACGCAATAGCTAAAGGTACCTGTGATGAAGCCCATGGCTGCAACCTCTCCTTTATAACTTTGCAGAGCTGTCAACGAATATTCTATATTCTAAAATATATATTTGAATATTAAAAAACTGAGTGGGAGAAAAACCAAGGAAATAAAACAGCGGCCAGTGAGCGCACTGGAACGACGGGTCAGAGACAGGTCACAGGAACTGCACCTGCAGTCAGACACAACAGAAACTGTCTGTGGCACATGCAGAAAGAGATGGAGGGATGTTCGGAGCCAAATCTGGAGAGTGGTCTGGACCTCAACAAACTTTCAAAGCTGCAGTTGGAAATTCTTCTGATTTTGGGCAAACATGGTAGATGGAAAAAATGCTGAGTGGGATAAAGTTATATGCAAGGTGTGTAAGCTGGAATAAGTTCATCATCATTGCTTCAATCACTGAATCAAGCCTGTCCATACGGACAAGAGTTGGGACCTTTAATTGCTTGCACAAGGTAATTCATTTTGTAATGTCCTTGGAATTCTCAAAGATGTCAAACTGAAATAAAAATAAAAAATACCGACACAAGTAGTCATGTCTTGTATTAGTTTGTCCTCCTGTTGGCATGAGGTGCAAATATAGATATTCTAATACGTTCTGACTTATGTGTTATTATAGAACTATTTTGTCAGCCCTATAAGTTTGCCTTTAAAAGTGAAGGCAAACTTGAATGATTGTAACTATATCAGGGTTCAAAGTGTGCAAACCAAGTGGCAGAATCTCATGTTTTCAGCTACTTTCATGGGTTTGGTTACCTAAAAAAGTCCAGGAAGCTTTTTTTCTCACTTTAAAACCACAATTTGAAGGGTTTTGCAATTTTGCAACACAGATCACATTGGCAACAGCTTCATTTTGGCTGACATTTATGTAGTTGCACTCACTGTCTTCTCTGCTTAAATTGGTTGTTTTATCATGCTGCACTACTGATCACCCTGATACCCAATCCAGCTTCTTGATTCAGTATCTGACTGATCGTCAATACCAGGAAGAGATCAGTGCATGCCAAACCAAACTGTTGACAACCGAGCAGGAGTTCTGACATTACTTGTCAAGATTATGGTTCTCGATGAACCAGGCACATGAAACAGCCAACGGATACAGTGTCAAAGAGTAATGTTTGACAGGATTTGTTTTTTTAATAGTTTTTATTTCCCAATTTTCTGCTCATAAAATTAAAGTCATTTACTTCCATCAATTCAGTTTGCACTCGACATAATTTTATGAACCTCACTTATTTAAATTAAGATTGTAAATTTTGTTGAGCAAAAGCCATGTAACATCTGTGTCCATTAAAAATGCTTCCACTGAGGCCTTTCAAGTAAATGTTTGGTGTTAAAGTGAGAGTTCTCACTTTGGCAAATACAGTGTATGTGTTTTCTTGCCAAAAGCGAGATGAAAAATATCATTACCACTCTGATGTTTGCACAGTCGATAGGAAGTTAGCGCCAGCACCTGGCTGAAAACCACTGGACTTGTGCCATATCAGAAGGTTTTGAGTCTGGGCTTTGCAGCAGCCAAACTTTTGATAAAGTATGAAGCGATCAGTGAAGAGACTTCTGTATAAAAGATACCTTTTTCAAACTTTAGAGTTAAAACTTTTACAGTGGTTTTCCACAAGAAAGAAAACGTCTTCAGTTAGTTAGGAGACTAGTGATGCTAAATTACGGCTTGCTGGCCAAGTCTTGCCTGCCAGTGCCAATTATCTCTAAATCTGCTGAAGATGAGGAAAAAGAGCGAGAATAAAGAGAAATGCTTCATTTGAGGGTAACAAGTTTCAATTTGCTTGATGAATGGATACTAATGCTCAAGAAAACCTCCATGTTCTGCAAACCTGAAAAAACAGAGGTCCTTTCAATCTGTTTGCTTCAAAATTTACTTTCCTTGTGGACTCAAAACTCAGGATTTGAAAACATACTTAAGCAACACTTGTTAGACTTTCCATCAACTTTTAGGCTGGTGAGATTGCTGACACTATCACTGACGGAGTAGGTATGAGTTAACATGTGCCAGATGAAGAGAGCTTTTGGTGTAGAGTTCCTGTGTTTACCGAATCGCCAAGAAGCCATTTGCATCAGTCACACCGACAGACAGTTTTCATTGATGTCTGTACTTGAAACAAACAAGACCCTACACAGACCCGATGAAGCAGGTTGAGGGGTTATTGTCACGACCTCATACTCTACAAAACTTAAACATCAATTACCACTCACTGTGTTATAAACTATGTAAGCTAAAAACAGCCAAGACTAAAACCAGTTTTTCTAAGAAGTGAAAGTCTTTCACGTTGGCCCAGTTTTTTTTGAGAGATCCTCTCATCAACTTCGACTGCCATTTCAAAACCTCATTAGTGGGGCAAACTTCCCTCAGTGCTCTGCAAAATCACAAACCCCCGTTTTCTACTCTCCTTTAGTGTTATCTTTTCAACACTGGCAGCTAAGCAGTGTTTGATCAGTTCGACCATCACCTTTCATCACTGTCAATAAGCAAACATTTATCACCCACCGCGTACTTTATAAGAGACAGTAGACTGAGACTGCACTGATGCACAACACTGTGCTTCAATTTCATAACCTCTAGAATCATAGTGAAGATTTGCCACCTACTGTAACATCATATATATTGTTATATTTCCTCAGAGTTCAACTCTGGGAGACTCGGCTGTCTCTCTTGCAGAGTTCTTTCTAACAAACGCGTTGACTTTTGCATCCTCTCGATGAACTCTTTCCAAGGTATGAGACGGAGATTCGAGATATGATTGTATACAGTTTGGGTGAATAAAAACACTAATGTATGTTATCTATATTGTTGCTGATATGCTCTGTGTGTTTTATGCCTATTATTGAGGTTTGTTTTTGGTTTTATGTATTGACACCAACCTGCTAATGGGACTGGGGGTGAAAGTTAGCCACTGGGCTATAATCACATGCATTTACATGTAAATGTTCATTAATGCATATTGTCCCATTAAGAAAAAAATAATAATAATCCTAAATAAAAGTCATCAGAGATTTCTTACCCATATTAAGATGTCTGTTCTCTTTTCAACAAATACCTCAATATGAAACCCTTTTCCCTTGAAATACTGTCAAATTCATCTGCAGTTTAAAAGACTATTGTGCGTTGTTATAATTGCGTAAGAGTCACTGTTATGACAATCACTCCATTTAAGATTTACAGCATTCATGTGGTTAAAAAAAGTACTTTTTGGGTCATGTATTCACTGAATTTTATCTGTGGTTAATTCCTTGAGTTTTCAGAAAAAAAATATGTAAAGGTTTTATTTGTCCTTAACTCCAATTATCTGGGTTCAAGTTTGACACATCTTCACAAGGACAGACAGTCCTCAAAAGCACACTTGATTAAAATACAGTTTGAGGCTTTCTGATAATCCACATGCCTTGAACTCACAGTTGAACTGTCATTAAACCACAAATAAAAAAAAGAATATTTTGAAAAATCAAACAAAGTAAAATCCGTATTTTTTCTGCCAGAAAGATTAAATTCCTAAATATTAATTTGTACTTACAGTATATTTTGTATGGCTGGTTACAAATCTCACGACTACAGTTTTGAGTTTGAATACAGACACAATAGAAGACTGAGTTGGGAAAATAGACGATTTAATTTGCAGGCCCAGACTATCTTAAAGATTTGTCATTAGGGATGTGCATGATTATTTTTAGGATAATTTGTAGAAATTGAATTCTTTCAGCTGTGTGAGTCAGCACCAGAATCACTCGTCTGTAGGGGTGGTTGATACGACCAAAGTTAATGTAACTGTATTTTCTATTTTTGCTTTTCCTGTTAAGACTTTAAAGCCTCTATAGTACAAAATGAAAATGCTGCAGCAGTTCAAGTCAACACATTTTTCACAATCTGAAATCCAATAGTGTGTTTTCAGTCCTACATAAGTTTTATCTTTTAGACTGAATCTGTGTGATCTAGATTTTCATCTCTCTCCAGCCTGCATGTTTGTATCTCTAAACACCAACTTTATTTTACTGTTTCAGTTAAGGTAACTGAACATGGTTGTTACAGAATGAAAACAACCAAACAACTGCAGTTTAATTGATAAAATTCATTAGAAACCAAATGTACTCATTGTGGATTGAACTGAGCTTTAATGGAGCTACTAACAGAAGCAATTGTCAGAGGTTTAGCATTCACAGTCAGACAGCCTGCTGTTATAAATACTTCGCACTAAAGACAACAGAGTCATCATTTGAAACATTCTTGCGGATAGGTAGACACGTAGGAACAGAGATGCAAATCCCTGCAGGGCTGTTACCTTCCAACAACAATACCCAGCTGGGAAAAGAGCGCAAGTTTACCCGACTGCTGAGCCACAATTCACCTCCACTTTAAACACTGACACCTGCTCTGACACAGGGAGGGGAGGCTTTGTCCTCTGGTTAGTGAGCATGGTTCTGATCTAAAGTGTGGAACAGGGAGTAGACTGGGATTTAAGCCGTGTTACCGTGAGTCACATTGAAGCCAAAGGTGTGTTAAACTGATGCTGAATGTGAAACAAAATCCATATGGTGGCTAGGGATGTGCCGATATACGATTTAATCGCGATATGCGACATTAAACAGCCACGGTGATGAAATCGTAAGGTACTGCAATGATCATTCCACAATAATAATTAAAGTACTTACCAAACAAACCCGCTTGTAGTCTTACCCACGGTGTCAAAGCCTCGGTAGCAAAATGTACAAACAAACCACCACAGAAGTAGTCCCAAATCCAAAAAAAATCTCTCAAAAAAAGGTTTTGTCGGCAGTATGGACGTTTTACGGCTTCACAAATCAGACGGAGCAGGTAAACCTGACACCAATCTGCAGGTTATGCCGTAAGGAAGTTGCAGCGCCGTTGTCTAACACTTCAAACCTACGTGCCCACCTCCGTGAACACCATCCAGCATTGTTCGCCCAAATCAAGGTAAAAACAACATGACCGCAACAAGTTTGGTCTACTCTAGTGCTTATTATTGACAACTTTAGTGATGTTTCTGCTAACTTTAGCTCCAAGAAGCTAATGCTCCCAACGTCGCGTTAGCTGCCTCTTGCTCATATTGTTTGTGCGTGTCATGCTGTGCACAGAGAAGTGATTTCACAGTTTTTTGCCATTTTTAATAACGTTAAATGCAATGCGCTAATATCGTGATAATATCGTGACATTTTGGGCCACCAATATCGTGATATAAATTTTTCATATCGGCACATGCCAAATGGTGGCATAACTTGACACCAGCGAGGTGCTGCATCTTAAAGTTTTACAGCATTTTTAGTCTAGAAAATAGAGACGAATTTGTATGTAGGTTGTTTCGGGTTAAACTGAGATACAACCGCTAGATCTTCAGGATAGTCATGTGGACTGGTGGTGCTAATGTTAGCTACACCCGACACACCAGTTTGGCATCTGTTATCTACCGCTATTATCCTGGTGGGTCTGAATAATAATCAGCCCATCACAAACAACATATTGTTTCAAACAGCAATTTAATAAGCTACAAGTAATAATATCGGCTGTTTCTATCTTTGCATTATATATTTTTTCTAGCTTTACAAGAAATTACATTGCAGTGGATATATGAGACACAGTTAAATAGAAATCTCATTGAGAGAAATTCTGTACTTCTAGTCAGCTTGCACACAAAGAGATTCAGACGTACAATGCTGCATAAAAAGTCATTTCACCAGACTGAAGGACAAAAACGAAGAGAGAGAACGAAGCTCGATTTAACCAATGTTCAAACACACATACTCTGAAGGTCATGCATACATGTTAAACTCTCACTTACATTTACATTAAAGCAGTAATTTTCTGAGTACATCCTGTCACTCTCCTTTTTCCACTAAGTGAAGCAGGTATAACAGGTTTTGACCTGTGAGTTATATCTGGATCTGACCTAATCCTGAAACTTGATCCCTGTTATCCTACAATATGGAAAGGTTACATAACATTCAGGAGTGTCAGACGGTAAACTGTCTACAAATTACTGCCTTCTTTTCTGCTGCGAAGACAAATGTTTAAAGTGACGGGAAAAAGTGATTCAAAGTGCAAAACGGAGCTTCACGTGTGTGAGACATTGATTAATGTGGGCGGAGGTTTGAAGCGTTGCTGTGTTGCAGATGAATCAGTGATCAGTGTAGCGTTTGAAACAGGAGAGTCGAGGCACTGTGTGGGTGACTGAGTCTGCAGAACAACAGGGCAAGGTTTATGGGATTTCATAAATGTAGCCCTTTGTGTTTTGTTAATGCAAAGACATTGAAATATGTTTCAATTCACATTGTACATCCCTAACCAAAGCCAGTCGAAAAGACTGCAGGCTCCAGTGATTCAGAGAAACACTTTCTGAGGCGTCTGTAAGCCTGTTGAATTCAAAGACAGTATTGTGCTCATATTTGCCCCTTTATCTACATCTAACTGATATTTTTTAGAGACAAAAAAAGGTTTTCTTATTTTTTTGTATTTTTTACATACTGACCGCGTCCAACTGCCCAAAAATAATAGACGAAAAATAGAGATAGCATCTTGTGCTTAGCTGATCTCCCCCACAGATGCTCACAACAGCACAGAGCAGGTGTACAGATAAAAAACAAAATCCCATTTAGTTACCTGCTTTCAAAGAGTTTGTTTTTGTGATAAAAAGCAGGAATTAAATGTCTGTACCACATCCAAACCACTAGGCCTGGCTGAGGTACAGAACACTTCTGCAGGTGATAAATTCACTCCACTATTTTATTCAAGTGATATTTTCAGAAAACAAAGTTTATTAGCAGAACAGCTACATTGCATTTAGACAGAGGGCTGACATTAGCGGAGCCCCTCTCATAATTCATCGTGTATCATAGTGCCGAAAGACTCAAACTTTGACAGGCGTCCTTCCAAGATACACAAAAAAAATGAGGGAGATGCTGGAGTTACTGGGATTGATCCAAAGTGCCTTAACCACTGAGTCCAAGACGTTTCATAAGATAAAACTCTGATGGTTTGATATATTTTTGAGTTTATCAGACATCTGAAGTGATCCAACAGCAGCTGAAACAATGAATTTAACTCCCCATTATCTCTTTCCCTGCCAGCATGTTATGAAAACGTTGCCAACCGCTGCCGGCATTTTGACCGAATCAAGTGAGCGTTCAAGCGTCTGAAATATTTTTATCTTTTGACAAACAAATGTAACGAATAAATGCATCAGAAAAGAGTGGAGAGCTTCAGTTTTCTTGAGTTAAAAACCTTTTATTCTAACTTGTTTCATTAACTTATAATCTGCATCCAGCTGTTTGGATGTTTCTTCTTGCGGCACAGCTGCTCTGCTGGGGGTCTGTGTGCGTCAGATGCTCATGCAGATGTGCCGTCATGATAATAAATACGCTATAGGCCTACTGCTCTCATGTGCTTTAAGTTTTGGTGACCTCTGTAAACTTTTCCTCTTGTTTCCTTGTGTTTAACGCCTTCAACGCAGCTCTGCTCTCCCTCCCATCGTGATAGAATAGGAGAATGACGGCATCAATCAATAAATTAACAAATATCAAGAGGATCAAATTGTCTTCGACATTCGAATCATCAGCTCAGCTTTTTTAGTGGGTCAGCACAATCGGACCTAGATGTGATCACTAATAGAAAACAATCAAATCATGCCTTTTGCATCTTTGCTGGGTGAGAACAATCTTAAAGTTCTCCACCGAGGAGATTTCTGAATCTGAGTCAGTCAATAAGCCATTTCCAACAGTGCAACAAGTACATCCTCTTGCGTGTCAAAAGCATTTTAGGAAAATCTGAAGCTTCCCACCAAACAGCCGACGTTGAAGAGACGTGCAGATCAAGTCAGTATTGGGTCGGTCCGTCAAAGACCATATCTAGACGTCAGTGCGACGTGCAAAATAGGTTAGAAATTTCAACGTCCAAATCGGACCTTTTTTAGACGTCACTCTGATGTTCAGAATTTGGACATCATCTGAAGACCGAATCCAGATGTCGGCACAACGTGCAAAATGGATCCAAGATATAGACATAATTATTGGACCTCTACTAGATGTTGAAATGACATCCACATTTGTACCTCATCTTCAAAAAAATACGTTAAATAGATGTCATTTCGACGTCGCATTGTGCAGTGGGTCACAGATAATAAATTATGTGTAGTTAATCACAAAAAGTGTAGGCCTAAATAAGTGTTTAAAAAAAATTAATAAATCTATTCCTAATCCAAACAAGAAGAAAAAGAGGAAAGGAAAAAAAGGAGATGTAAAAATACGAGGTCTGGATGAAGACAAAGACGAAGTATCTTGCTAGTTCTCGAACTGGGAGTGGTAACAAGGTAGGTCACAGCGCCATCTGTATGTCAACAGTGAAAACACAGATTGACAGAAAAGCTTTAAATGGTGGGAAGCGTTTTGTCTTAAATGACGAGATATCCTGATAACTGACAAGTTAAATTCTCAGACATGCTGATAGCACCACTCAGAATCTAAAATTCCCTTCACATCCAAAAGGCCCCACTGAATCAGACCAGGTTCATACAGAGAATAGATTAGGTTGCAATAGCTGTCCTACTTTAACTCCCTCAGGTAACTGGGACTCAACTCCGACCTGGATTCTGGTGATGGAGATGCAAATTATTCATTAGTGACTCAGACGTGACTCAGACTTGAAAGCTGGGGACAAGCAGCTAGCTTGAAGCGTTCTCAAAGTTCGGTGACTCAGGGGACTCGAAACTCAACTCTGACTCCAGCTTTAGTGATCTGACTACAACACTGTACCACGCAAACTTCCCTCGCTGTACTGACGGTTACACACACTCTTGAAGACAAAAACATACTGCAGTTCCTCAGCAAACCTGTTCTTTCTTTCTTTGGGTCCATCAGCCCACGTTGCTCTTACATCAGCCTACACAAGTGTCCTGTCGCACTTGTGTTTCACTGCCTTTCTTTATCATGACAAGTTTAGTAAGAAAAAGCTCAAGTATAACCGCACAAAGTCAGTTATAAAGCCCCCGAACTCTACAGTACATCTTTCCTGCTGTCACCTGAAGAGCAGATCAAACTGGACAGAAGCAGAACAGGTTTTATTACTTTTGCAGTATCTGCTTCAAAAAGTAGCCGTTCAGCCCTCCTCTCTCAGCCCTCCTCTCTTATTTTTACACAAACACAACCCGCACACACTCTCAGTCTGTGGTAAACACTGTATTCTACTTCTTCTATTCGATTTTCCTTCAGAGGAGAAAACACCGTGAGTGGCGCACCATGCAGATATGGAAGCTACGGACAAAATACAATCTCAGACATTTTCACACTCACTCACCTCTCACTTCATCTCAAACAAATGCAACTGCTGACTTGATGAATGAGTTTCCTGTTTCGGGGTGAGCTGCATTTGGCTCAGGTCAAAGTTCACTGTTGTTTAACTTTGACCCGCAAATAGAAACAGCTGCATCTTTTGCACATTGTGCTTGAAAACGGGGACGTTATTAGTCTAACACAGAACCGCATCGTCACCCCCCTTTCAATCACATCACGCCACCAGACTACAAGCTTCAGTATCATTCTCACACATTTGTAATTTCATTATCACCCCGGCAACATCTCTTGAAAGCAGAATCGGTTGTTCCCCCAGTGCAGACAGCCTCCACTGTCACACAATACCTCCCTGTGTAGTCCTGATGAACAGCTGAAGAGCCCCTTCATCTTCAGCCTCACTGACAGGAAATGAGCCCCTGGGAGGCGTTTAACCTCACGACCTCATCGACTCTCGGAGGGTCACAAAGTAGCCATACCGATACAGACTTTACATCATTCCTTACTACTTCCTCTGCATTGAGGTCATACAAAAGGTTACAAAGATCGACTACGACGGAAGTAAAAGTTTGAAAAGTGAGAGCAGCATGCAACCTTGGAGATGAGTTTTTCAAAGTCCATTAATTAATGTCAATAAAGGATGAAACTCTGCATGTCTCCAGTGCTGTTTGCTAACAAATAAGCATGAGGACTTTGTTTTGATCATTAGAGAAAGAGGGGGAGCCTTTCAGAGCAGAAAATTTGATGTTTTATGCACACTGTGCAAGTAATAAGCAAATAAAAGAACAAAAAAGACGCACAAGCTCTTCCTCGGGCATCATCAGATTTGGATTTTGATCATTACAATACAAGAACTTTTTTCATGCATATTAACATGGCCATAACAGAGATTAAATGGAGTACAATAAAAGCCATGAATGAGATAAAGACTGACTAACTAGAGTCTGTTCAAAGAAAACCGTTGTAACATCGGGTTTAATTTAATCATAGCATCATTACTTTTAGTTAAATCTTTAGGTCTTGTGATGCAAAATAACCTCGAAGGAAGAACTCACTTCTGAGACGAGCTGCAATACAGGACCAAAATTCTCTCAAGTGCCCTGTGATACAGCAGAATTGTACTGCCAGCAAGCTGATAAATAGGAATCATTCATCATAATATTTCTTTTTTTATTCACACCTGCACTTCTTTTATTGTGACACATCAAAACGTCTCTTATATATAAGGTGTACTCAAGACTAGGCAGTTTGTGCATACTCCCCAGAGGACTTGGAATGAAATGAAACCGTGTCTGTAAATCTTTGTTTTGCCACATGTGGGGACAGTAAAGAAGTAACTGTGTCTGTAAATCTTTGTTCTGCAACTAACAGTAGAGAGCTAAATGAAAGCTGATGGCTGCCAGCGAACATATCCAACCAACTTGGAGTTAGGATTTCAACAATTCAGGCTGAATTTGGCAGTAAAGAGTGAGTCCTGCTGTTAGTGGTATCACATGGGATTAAAGACAGCTGAAGCTTTCTTAAACTGAGCCACTGGTTACTGTCATGGCCTTGAGAGAGATAATATATCTGGAAATACATTCAGAGGTACTCTATTCAATACTACACGTTCTTTTGTTTCAGTCACAGAGGCCGAATAGGGGCATTGTGTAGCACCAGAGTTGGTAGGGCAGAACAGCGCTCTGTGTGTGTGTGCGTGCGTGCGTGCGTGCGTGCGTGCGTGCGTGCGTGCGTGCGTGCGTGCGTGCGTGTGTGTGTGTGTGTGTGTGTGGAGCTCAAGCTGTATATACACACTTGGCCTCTTGCATGTGTGTAACATAGTAATAATTCTATTTAAAGTCAAATGCTAGAGCACAGATATTACACCTCTGTGGAGTTCAAAGTTTCGGTGCATCAGCGATGTGACCGTAAAACTTTGTTATAGCACTCACACAGAATTGCAGTGCACACAACTCTTGCATCATGGCTTGTTTACCTATGGCTAGGCTGCCCTTGCCAAAGTAATTTGACCCTACGGGCTCTATTTTCATGTCCGCCAGTGACGCGGCGGAGGGCAGCGGACCCTGCGCAGTGGTATGGTGGAGCCAAGTGACACTTGTTGAGGGGCTGCCCTCTGTCGCCATCGTGTGGCATTACTGTCTTCAGACACCTCTTGATCTCTTTGACTACTTCACAAAAATTGTAATACGCCTCGCCGGTGGCGGATTTAAAGGTGAGGAGAGGAGCTGATGTTATTGGTCAAAACATGTCTCGGCTGAGTTAAACCCACTCCACGCCCTCTCTCCTCCCTCCCTATGACTTACGCCAAGGCACGAAAATAGAGCCCTTCATGTTGCATTCAACCCTTAACCTTCATACATTGATTGGTATAAAACAGCCTATCTGCCAATAAGAATATCATTAATCACACTCATTACACTAAATAAATATTGGAGAGCAACTCAGATGCTGTGTCTTGCTCGAGGACGTGAAGACTGCTTGAGCTGGATAACAAACTGCCAGGCTTACAACCACGAGACAAAACAAGAGCCAAAAGCGCCCCACAGGTGTTTTTGAAGTCCAGTTAGCCTACAGAAGTCTCTAATCACTCTTGTGATGTCTTTTTTTCTTTCAGAGAATCAATAAATTACTAAAGGTAAACAGATCAGCCGGTGTCCTGACACCCGTCTGTTGGAAGTGAACCACAAACTGTCAGCCAAGCGACCAAGAAATCATTGTACTATGACCAGCTGTTCAGAAATGCCAAGGAAGATAAAAGAGTGTGAGACAGATTCATCTTGAATACTCAAAAACAGACCTGACATACTTTTAGGTTTTTATTCGGCTGCGGTGGAGAACAGTATTTCTTTTTTAACGAGTTGAAATGCTTGAACAGAGAAGACTTGTACTTCAGTAAGACGGCCTTTGAGAAACTGTCTTGCTGAATATTGTTTTTGAAATACAAAAATTTTTCCCTTTTTTTTAACTTTTGAAATCAGGACTTTGAAAAGGAGAGTGTCCTTTTATGACCACCTCGTAGACAGTATTAGATGATGCTAAGTTTTTGCTTTGAAGTTCATTCAGTTTAGCTTTAGCTTTCTCTTTGCTTGAGCTCCTCCTTCACAAAATATCTTTAGCTTTTCCACGAAGACAATGAAGTTTGTTTAGAAATGAGAGAGATGAGATCTTTAGAGGCAAAAAAATCCCTAAATTATTTGCCTTGTAGAGGCAAAGCTTTGACAAAATCAGAGAGCATGTCTGTTCAGAAATCCTAAACTCAACATTTATAAGCCAATTACCATATATCACAGAGATTAAAATGTTCTTTCAAGTAGTCCTCTGCCTCTGATGAGGATCTCTTCACAGAGATTTCCTTCTTATTAATTTTATCTGAACATTCATGACTGTTTGAGGTTTACACAAAGATGCTATCATTATTCAGAGCAGTCGTCGCAGCTTCCAGTTTGATATCAGCAGCTTACCCAGAGAGGGTGGTTTACACAAAGTATTAGACTGGGATGATGGAGGATCCATGGAAGGAAAGCTTCTTTAAGTGTGTTTGTCTGAGAAGATCCTGAAAGTATTCCAACAGCGTATCCACTGCGTAAACACAATTTAGCACAGAAATGATGGATTTAGCCTCATTTGTGCAAACAGATAAGATCAAAGAGTGAGGATACAGGAAGCGGAGCGGAAACTGAGGGTGACATGCAGCTTGAATGACACGTTTAATCGAACAGAAAATTGCAGCTGGATTGCCAGGCAGTAAAAGCGTGAAGAAATTAATCCATGGCAAGAAATCAACCACCTATAGATGCATTTCCCTCACCTTTCCTTTCACGCCTTTAAACTGAACATGACCTCTTTCTCCTTGTTTAAATGTCTCCCTGCAGCCATGTGTTTGAGTTGTACAGCACACACACATCTGTCAGCCTTTATTAGCAATCTTTCCAGAGACACTGATTTTCTAAAAAGCGATGTCACAATGTTGGAAACTCACAAAAAGTTGCATCTTTCCAATCAAAACTAATATGTACAAAGTGAAACTGACTCAGAGTTACTCTATTTGACTGAGTGAATCGATGTCCACTGTTTAATTTGAAATAGAAGTATTCATTTGGATTAGTCATCTGTGGCAATGACTGCAAAGAAGTGCTCTTCATTAGTGTGACAAAGCTGATTCAAGAGTTATTAACTGTAGAGTCAATAAGACTCAAACTCTCAAAGTAAAGTCTGGACTCACAAAACTCACTCAGCCTTGAAGCCACTGAACGTGCCCACAGTGGGAGTAACTCTTGGTCAGTTATCTAAGCAAAATGCAAAGGTGAGAGGAATAATGAGATAAACTGTGAATACGATCATCTAAATGTGGAGCTTGAAGTCTTCCATCCATCATCCCCACCTCTTATCTCATCTCCTCACACAATCACTCATACCAATGGGCAACTTAAGAGTGATCAGTTTACATGATGAGTATGTCTTTGAACTGTGAAAGGAGTCTGGAGTTCTGAGAGAGAACTGACACTGGCACAGGGAAAACATGCAACCCCACAAAGACAGGCTCCAGCCCAGCCAGGAATTTGAACCAGGAAACCTCATGCTGTGAAGGAACAGGGCGCTACAACCCAGCCTGCCCAAAGTCTAACTCAGCTTTAAGATAAGATCAGATAAGTTCAGATAAGAGAAAACTGTACGCAACAGCAACAAAACTAAAAAAGGTTATTGTCCATTAGTTGTGCTAAAAAACCTGGACTACTGGGAGCAGGCCTGGTTAAACAGTCTGATTGCAGCAGGAAGGAAGGACTTGCAGTATCTCTCTGTCACACACCAAAGGTGAGGAAGCCTGTCACTGGCTGCCCAGTACTCTACAAATGGTGGGAAACACTGTCCATGAGAGACCACAGCTTAGCCATTATCCTTCTGCCCCACATCACCTCTACAGGGTCCAGAGGTCAGCCCAATATAGAGCTAGCCTTCCTCACCAGTTTGTTCAGTCTGTTCCTGTCTGCAGCCGTGATGCTACTGCTCCAGAAGACCGATGACGATGCAATGTAGTTCATAAACATGGTAAGTCAAGACAGAACGAGTGACACCTCACAGCAAATTCAATAAAAACAATCTGATCGAAATGATAATTTTTTGACACTGACACCTCCCCGCAGATTTTCCTGGTCATGCTGACACTGACCAGAAGTATTATAACCGTCATGATGGGTCCCTATCACATTTAAGTCCCTGTGACCTACGATCTTACATGTCAAACTCAGCTGGAAATATTCCTTTTAGTACTCTTTTTATTACAGTAAAAGCTCTCACACAGACGACTCAACTTCTTTCATCAACTTTATAGTTTTGGCCGCAGCAGACTTGCATTTACTCTTCCATTACTAATTTTGTTAACTGCTCATTTCTTTATTTTTAATGGAAAATTATGACTTCATTATCCTGCATGAGATTTAGAAAATTAAGTTCTAAATTTGCAATTTGCTTTATTGAGATTGTTCCTGGATGAACATTTCATGAATGTAGTAGCTTTTTTTTTGTTTTCTTCACATCCATCCTCTCTTTCAACGATCAGAGCACATTAAAAAGGATCTCTTTGACTTAAAGGAGCAGTCATCTTTCTCCTGGTACTACAGGAATACTGCTTCTGCCTACATCATAAGAGTGCAGAGTCTAGTTGGATCTGGTTCAACCGACTGACTGACTGACTGACTGACTTAGGGAGAAAACAATACCAAGATAAGACCTTATAGATATACTGCAGAAGCTTTACTGCAACTGAAAACACAAACAATGAGACTTAAATATAACTGCAACTGTAACCTTTAATGTGATTTATAACAGTAAAGTAAGATGATGTTAAGAGTTTGCCTTAAATAAGAATGGTACTTTCACCTTTTCTTGTTGTCTACATGTTCATACGACATTTTTCTGATGCTACAGGACGTATCGTGAGTAAAATAAGTGTGAAATTGCATTTCTGAGTATTTCTGCATTCAAATCTCTGTGAATCTCTGGCAAAGTCAAACAGCAGGCTAAGACAGTCAGATTTCTAATGTAGCAAATCTAAGCTCCACCCCCGGAGCTACACAATGTATTTCACACTTGGAAAAGTAGAGAGGACGGTCGCGGAACAAGCGTGTGCGTTAGCGGTTCGCAATGCTCGTAAGAAAGCTAATTATGATATTAACTTTCATCATGTCCCTAAAGACATTAGTGTCCAAGAGCTGAATAGCTCCATGTTACCTGCTACTTCTACAACACTGGCAATGTTAGGCTACAAACTAGCATGAAGAGGAGTGTGCAGAGCAGCGCTGTCTCCGCCCACAACTCAAGAAGAAAAGCTCTCGAAAATGACACGGGTAACGTGACTTTGGCTAAAAACTTCATAATCACAATTTAAAGACCAGTGAGAACACTTTCAATAATAAAAATCAAAATGATTGGGACTTTCAGGCTTCTGTGAGGACTGGTTATGAAATAGGTTCAAATGAACAGTGATGCCTCTTTATGACCCACATAAGGAAACATGACTAATATACTGTATATCCTTATTTCTTCAACCTCTACTGTGAAGAGGTAGATGTGAGACCAGATGACTGAGCACATCCCAAAGAAACAGACTTTTTTACATGTTCAATAGCAAATACAAGAAGTGATACATATGACTGTTGAATGAAAACAGAATGAGGCTTTTTCTTTTTGCTAGATCTAGTGTACAGGACAGAATAAGTAAATATGTAAGATGTACATTTTTGTCCACATGGGGTGAAAAAGTTGACAGAGAGAGAAAACTCCTCACCGAGGCTTTAAAATGGTATACAGGTACAGAACGTTCCTGAAAAACATGAGGAAACATAAATACTTTTTGATAGGTCTCATTTCACCAACGCACTCACTACACGAGTGGAAATGTTTTTCTGTGTGATTGAATCCAGCGCACAAAAAGACAGAACAAAAAATAAATGACAGACAACAAAAGTCATCTGTTAGCTTTCAGCCTGCTTTTGGCAGGCAGATGGCATTGACGCCACCCCACTGAAACAGTCCATCAGTTCTCAACAGGACGTGTTTGCTCTTCTGCAGATACAAAGTGCATATAATGGGCTGAATTCTGACTTGTTGACAAGATGTTGTAGATTCTAATGGATGGGTTTATTCTGACAGCCAGTTTACATTCAGTCGGAGGTGTGAATGTCATTTTCTACACATTTTGGAGGAAAATCTGTCCTAATTTGCATGTTTGTGTGAGTGAGAGCGTGACAGTGGGGATTAAAATGTGACTGTAAGTGAATCATCTAATCCCCGGTTTAGGAACAGCTGGTTGTACTGAGAGCTGAGACTCAACTTGTGTCTGTTCCTGGAGGCAGCAAGGAAGGAAGGTGTAAGGACAGGAGTGTTAAGAGAAAGAAGCAGAGAGACAAAGACGGGGAGAGAATACAAAGAGGAAATGACAGAGAGAATGGGAGAGGGAAGACAGAGACAAACAAAGGGGGTTGAAAAAAGAAAAAAAATGATCATGCTCAGGGGGAAAAGGTAACAGAGAGCGTAAGAAACAAACAGAATGGAGACTGGAAGGAGAAAATAGGAAGAGAAGACATAAAATAGAAAGATATTGTGAAAGACAGAAGCTTAGAGGAAGAGGAAAGAAGTCTTCATGGCTCTTTGTGGAAAAAGAAACCAGGTTATCTGGAAAAATGAGGCTGGAGCAGAATTGTAGAACAGGTTTCCATCCTCTGGAATAAGGTCGGCCCTCATTTATCAGGCGGGTTTTAGCACAGCTTTACAAGTCAAGTACGTGTACTCTCATTTCCATATGAAATATGCTTCTCTTTAGGTCTTACACGGTGAGTATGTTTTAAAAGCAACCCATGAAAGGAGGGGGCACAAACATGAATGTAAAATAAACCTGAAATATGCAAATCGGCTAATGCTGGTAATGCCTCAGAAAAAAAAGACACACCTATATTTTCTACATAAGGATGCAAACGTGGCTGACCTTTCTGTTCTTGATGATTGAAAATGGAGTTTTTTAGGCACACAGGGCAGAAACCTCTTTGCTGAGACTGTTATCACTGGCTCATGAGAGGATTGCTTCATCTGTGCCAGCAGCGACTCAGCCCCATTTAAGCAGCCAACAAGAGTTTCAGTTCAGTCAGCTTTCAATTTGGCAGGCCTATATTATCATGGTAAAAGACTATGCATCTGCACTGCACAGGAAAAACTCAAACCATGCATCATTTCCCCAGGACTAAGTATGAGTGAGGGAGGATTTGAGGACAGAAAGGAATGGGAAGGAAAACAAGGACTGAAGAAAAGTCAGGCAGAGATTAAAGATAAACAAACTGATGGAGCCAATTAGAACATCGCCTTAATTTAATTTAGGAGGCATAAATTTCAGTGGCTCCACTCAGGGAGAAAGCCCCCAAATCGTCTTTGAAGTTCTCTCTGTGGGCGGTAATGTGGCATGGAGCTGAGCCAAAGCCCACAGAATACAGTTCACCCTCTGTCCCCCTGACAGTGAGGAGACAGGATGTGAAGTTACACTCGAACAGAAAGCCTAAATACAGATACACATACACATACACTTACACCTGAGAGATTTTAACAGAGTCAATCTCCAGTTTGTTTGTTTACTATCTGTGTTTAACTCATACGCCTCAGGCGGCCTATTTAGAGCAAAATTTAGGATGCGCCAATGAAAGTGTGTTAGATGTCAGTTCTCGCTTGTTCCTCCTAATTCATGGCATACACAACCCAAACACTGAGTTTTAAAAGAAGTAATTACATCTTTTATTGAACAACAGGGGTGTAGTGAAACATTTAGAGAAGAGATAACTTAAAATAGAGAAAACAGTCATATATCCAAGTAAACAAACATGTTTTTATTCTGAAAGGACACCAAAAGCTCCTTCACCAGACCAGTTATGTGAAGGAATGACAACAACTCAATGAACCCAGTTCTAAATGTCACATGTATTAGCACCAAGCAGACGCCTCCAGTGTTGAATAATGAGCTGCTAAAACTGCAGTTCCTACAGTGTCCACTTGAGGCTATCTGCAAAAGCCATTGAAATCCCCATTTGAGTCCAAGTCAGGTGCAAAAACTACAATGTATGATGGAGTAGGGTTTTAAAACACATCAGTCAAGCTAATAGACCGCCAAGAGTTTGATTTAAATCTGCATAATTAGGGGCAAAGATGGATTTACAGACAGACAGTTTTTTTTTAACCTCTTCAAAGTTTCAAATATTTTTTTTCAGGAATGAAAGGGTGAAGTCAAGACTTTGTCCATGTTTTATGGAACTTATAGTTAGCACTGCCGAAGAGAGAAGGTCTTACTGCTGTGTTTCCCTTTCTTTCTCAAGTACCCGCACATCAAGTGTGGAGACAATACTCACAGATAATCAGACTCTTCTGCAGGGATGGTCTGGAGTGAGGGGTTTCCTCCTTGGTTAAATGAAGACTTTAAATTCTAAGTGTTTCACAGCCTATTTTCTGTGAACCTCCTCTTCTTATATCATATACTGAATATGCAGTCCATCCCCTCAAGGTTCTCACAGAAGACAGAGATGCACCTTACAAAAGGAAGTAAATGAAAAATGTGTTTTTACAGATTTTACAGATTTATCCATTGGCCTAACCAATCAAACTCTTCAGCAAATGCCTTTCAATGACTTAATGACTATGTGCAGATTTAATTTTGACAAACTCAGAGCAGACAAAGCCTCGCACCACCCTGAGAGGACTCTTAAAAAGGCTCAATCAATCAAAAGTAAATGATCCGAAGCGCCCGCTGTCTAAAGAGGTCAAGTGGTTCTGTCGGGCCACAGATACATCCTCCCTGAGAGCAGGACAGACACACTGAATGACTCCTTCGTCTGACCTGCCATCAGCTTTTCAAACAGACCAAAGTGATATTCTTATTTCTGATATTCGTTTTATTCTTTCGCATTGTCTTTTTTAATGAATAGGTTGTGTTAAAATTCTTCTCTCTTGTCTGTGTAGTGATTTAGTTGTACTGCTGGCTGTAAAACAAACTGCATCGAGGGTATAATAAAGATATCCTTCACCCTACAGGACTCAAGACAGGACCAAAGCAAGGCTCTCATATCTTCAGATTGGTTTGCAGAGCGTGACTACTATTAGCATAGCTAACACCACTGCCCCCCTTTAAGCCTAACAATCACATGATGGTGCTGGTTATTGCTCCAGTCAAAGATTATATGCCAACATATTAAGACAGAGTCTACACAAGGGCTGGGCGATAAACCGAAAATTTACCAATACCGAAATTTACAACAATAACTGACGTCACTTTGCCCATGTCTATATCTTCAGTGTCAAAAAAAAAAAAAAAATTAAAAGTTGGTTTTGGATGTGTGTAGGTAGGTAGACTATGGTCTCATGTCCCTTAAAGATGCTGTCCTACTTTGGAGACAGGTCAGGAGATGGAGAACAGTTCAAAAGTTGTAGCAGCTGAAGTAGGCAAAGTTAATGTGGGAAGGGATGAGCAGCTTGTCGAGTAGTTACTGCTAGTTATCATTATCGAGGTGAACTGATCAATATATTGTGATATTGATTTTCTAGATTAGCATACTTCCACTGCATGCTATGCTATGAGATGTCATCCATTACCTGTGCATCAGGGTAGAAGAGCATCATAGTATTGTGGCACAACCTGACTGCATTACTGCTTAAACACATCGCACGTTAAGCATTTCAGGCCTTTAATGATACAAATATTCATAATCTGATTAATCAACCACTTTGTTGGTCTGACTAGCATGAGATTAGAAGTTTCAACCTCTCAGTTGATAAACATCCCAATAAAAAAATTAGTAAAATTAACAATCCCCATCTCTACTTCACATGCATCCATCTCTTCCATTTAAATCAGGTATCCATATTCATGTTCTCACCAGTTTCTAAACCCTTTTAAGATTACTGATATCAAACTGTCTCATTGCATCCCCTGTGTGAGCACCTGTCTAATAGGCTGGCTTTTTAAAAAATGGGTTTTCTTTGATGGTGAGATGTGCTGAAGATTTATAATTCAGTCTGCCTTATTCTTACTTTTCAAAACATCATTTCGCAACAGTCTCAAAAGAAAGGTCATTCTCCGCGATACGGCTGTTTTTCTGTCAAAAACTAAGTCGAACAATCAATATCAAACGTAGATCACTTTGATATCTGTGACCTTTATGGATACAGAGAAACATCAACCAAGTCTGATTCACGGTAAACAACATGAAAAGATCGTAAATTATTCGACAACTGCGTTTGCTGACTTGAAAAAGGAAAAATAATCCATGTCTCTGGAACTCCAACGCTTATTTTACACTTCTGACAGTGTTTGAGATGATATCCATCTTTGTAAGTGTCTTTTAAGCTGCCGGTGGAAATGTGCACGGGGGTGTATTTATGGATTGTCCTTGAATGCAGTTCATGGAGCCCACATGAAAGCCTGGCAATAGGAGCATGTGTCATGATATAGTGGCACATACAAAGAAACCACTGAGTCTCCAGAGTTGACTGAGGAATGCTGGCAACTGGCACAGCTATAGTAAGCATGCACTGCAAAGTTACACTCACATACATACATGACCGTGCATGTGCGTGTGTGCGTGCGTGTGTGTGTTCGTTTCCACATGTGTTTGACCCTATTTTTAGACTCAAATTGGAGAACATGGCCCTGCTTGAAACATTTACCCAACTGCAAGATTAGTCCCTGTCCATGCAATCATTCAACGGACAAACAACACAATCATGAGTACCACTTGAAATTCAGCAGGACTGTTAGAGGCTCATTATATTCTCTAGATAGGAAGTGGAGAATCGACACTGGATTAAAAGACGCTGGGCGAAATTGTAAGTGGCAGTGTGATGGAAACGTAGCTTATCTCTGCCACCCACTCAATCTCACATGGTTTTTCACCCCCTTTGCACTAATTCTCTTCATCTCATTGGGCCCCAGAGAAACAGGATCTTGAGTAAAAAGTAAGCTTGAAGTTGACTCCACAGAAGATAAGCAATCAACTTCATCCACTCAACATTTTTCCCTTCATGTGCTCTACTGTGACATGTGAGGAAACGACAAATGCATGTGAGAGACAAACTATGAGATCACCACAGTGGTAGAGTGACACACACACACATACACACGAGCAATCAGGCAAACACACAGTCGAAAAGCCACACACAAGCAGAAACTGACATGCACAGACGCTCAAAACCACATTTATCATCATTCTGCCAATTTCTGCAAGCAATTTCAGAGCAGCTTTGTTGTTTGCTTTCGGGTTTACTTGATCGTGCTATTAAAGAAGGCCAATGGCAGTTCGGTCTGCATGGCTTTGGATTATTTCAGGCCTCAGCATGCAGAGCCAGCACAACACCAGAAACCACCGTAATTACAAGATCTGGTCGGCCCTTTGAATAGCAAAGAAAACCAAAACCTTGATCTGGTCAAAGACAAGCAGGAGAGGCGGGGCTCTTGGGGTTAAAATAGAACTGTCCACATGGAGTTGATTTGAGGTTTTCTATATGGGGAGCCCCGGAGTGGGTCTGCTCAAGTAATAAAGTCACTCCAAGCCAATAGGAAAAACACCATCGCGTGCAGCTCTGTTGTGGAAAACAGCCTTCACTTGCCCATGATATTAAACCCTCACTACTGTAATGTCAAACATTAAGAGCTGGAGCTGAACTATACTGCGCCTCACTCTCTGCCTTTGAAATGAAAAGCAAATGAACTACTAAGACGCAGCCTTCAATTTGTGAGTCACAGCAATATTGTTCAACAAATCAGTTCAATCATTGTACCATTAAATAAAGCAACACAGCACAGAGAGACTTAATGAGTTTCTTTGTAATTGTTTCTGAAACGCACATACTTGATTTCCCCAGAGTACCAGGTACTTCTAGTGTTGGACTGACTTCATTTGACTACTTATATTAGGTTAATGCAAGTGACATGCTTTAAGAAAACCCTTATGGAGAGAAAAAGTTTCTTAATGGCACAAGAGTTAGCACACAAATTAAAGAAATAATAACATGAGACGGATTGATGTTCCTATGTCCACAGAAACTATTCAAAGTCTGACGGATAACTTCAGCGGAGGTGCCGAGCCCTGCCACATTGAACAGCCCTGTCTCATATCTGCACTGTGTTCAGATTTTGTAATTCACTCTGATTTTTCAAAGTAACATGTCTTTGCATCTGCCCAATTCTTCCAGAAGTCAAACATCTTTCACTTGTGACTGAACTGAGCTCAGCAGTTTGATGTGTCTGCACCATAGACTGTATATGCTACGGACAACTTGGTTGCCAAAAAGCTCTCGGTATTTCCAGGATTCTTCTTCATTTCCTGAAACCAGCATTGCGCAGTAGTGTTGTGCGCATTCAGCGGGAGAGTTGCCAAAAGTCGCTGTGATGACGCTCGTCTTAAACAGCGTATCCCCTGGGTGAGCTACGCAATCCTCAGGCACCAATAGGATGTATCAGGTGTCAATCATAGAAAACATGAACCCCCATCATAACTTTTAAAAATGGAGCTGCACAGAAAAAAGAGGGCTTGAGCACAAACCAGTCTGACAGTAACATCATGTCAATATCGCAATTTGGGATGGGGGTTGGGGGATTATAATCTGTGTTATAAATTTCTAAAGTTTGTCCACAGCTTCACAGGGATTGCTGGAGGAAGCAGGATTTAAGACCTATACTGCAGCCAGTCAACAGAGGGTGCCGTTCTCAGAGTGGTTTGCACCATCAGCTGTGCTCTACAACATGTCTTTATCTACCCAGGATATAAAGCACATCGGTATCCCCGAGGATGATGAAGAAATAGACAGTTTCGCATCGGATTAGCGCAGATATCTCTGGACAGACATGACTGTTAGAGAGAGGCACTCCCCTGTAGTGAAGCTGTACCTTTTAGAGCTCACCCTAGTAGTAGACTGACTGCAGTGTAAGTCATGTTTATGTAGTTTTAAGTCTTTTATTTGATGTTAAAGATGATCGACAGCTCTGCTCACAAATGTGGGCTCTGGTAGTGTCTTTGGAATAAGACAGAAAAAACAAACCTAACACGAACACAAGAGTCATTTTTTCCTTTCCTTAAACCCAAGTGTCTGCTTCAAACTGACACAAGAAATCTGTTCTGCTGCCAACTGTACCAACCTGTGGGATCTTAGCTATTTTTATTTCTGTTAGAAGAAGTGGTGTGATCATGTCAATTCGCCAGCCAGATTGCTGTTGTGCATGCACTGGCTGCAAAATACATCACCAATGAAATATGTCAGCTATTTCCAAGGCAGTATTTCGGCTTTATTTCTTTTTAAAATTGTTTCCAGATGAGAACCAGTTTGCCAAACAGTTCCAAAAACACATGAAAAATATGGCAGAAATCATGGTGGACAGGAGACAAGAGCAGACCACGCTGCGTAACAGTGTTCTGTTATATACAACATGTTATTGTTGTGTTCACAATGGGAACTTAGAATGGTACGATGAGTAGGGTAGTTGAAACCAATTTCAGGAGTCAAATACCATTCAGAAAAAATACAAAATGTACAAATAATGCAATTATAAATGTGTCTGTTCTGCAGTTTCATATCTCTCTAACCTCCACCTATCTGCTTCTTTCAACAACCAGGTAGCAACACAATACTTTGGCCATGTGAAACATCACGTGACAAATACATTTCTAACTTTCAATCAGACATGAAAAAAACCAACAACAGCACTCCCACTGAGATCTAGGGATATTTATAGTCAGGGCCCAGACCGCGGTACTTCTTTTGCGACTGAAGCTGTGCTATAGCGAGTTACGTTGATGCCCAAGAGTAAGATCCCTTTATGGTCCAACAGCAACCCACTGTTGTGGTGGAAAACTGCAAGATCCCCCCATTTTGTCCAGCTGGCACAGTGCTACGTGAGCATCCCAGGTACATCAGTCAGGCCAGGGAAGTTTTTCTTTACAGCTCGAAACATCATGGATAAAAACACTCCCCTCTAGACTCAGAAAACATCGACTCCCTTGTGTTTTTGCCTTTTACATCAAGCTGCACACTTTGATTTGGAGTCCTGTATTAATATTTGTAAATATTAATTGAAGATAACATTTAAAAAGTTACTCATTTTGTGCTGAAATATAATTACCTGACAGGAAATCTTAGCTTATTTTTAATATTTAGCAGCTTCTTAAAATTGGTATGCCCTCTAGTGGACACAACTTGTAACAGTCACTTGATTGTGGCACTGCTAAAGCATGAGCTAATATACATGTTGCATAGTAACAACAGGTAACAAGATATCAGACATCGTATTAAAAATGATCAGGATTTAAAGATCATAAAACAAAAATATTTGCCGCCATCTTTATCTACCAATCAGAGACTCTATCTGTAGTCAGCTGACCTATAAAGTTCCAGTGTGAAATCAGGTTTATTGTCATAGCAAAGTAGTAAAGGTTTTACAATTGCATTAAGATCTGTGCTGTTGACACACAAAACCTGGACAGGTTTAAGTTTTTCAAGAGAGAAAATCCACAGGAACTAAAAGGACAGCAGATAAAGTTCAGATCAACAAGCAGGATCAATAACAGCTTTGATATCAGGATAATCTTATCAGCACCCACCCCTCATTAATATACAATCACTGGTCAAAGCCTATCTTTGTGATACTGGTCCAAGGTCAGCCAGATTCAGCGCCAAAGTAACATCCAAGAAAATAACCAATTTATTCTGGTACAAATCCATAAACATGCTGCATTTTCTGCTCCTTATGAAATTTTACTCACAAACTTATTAAGTTTTTTAAACGCTATGAATTCACTCAAATCCATCTGGCGTTGTCACTGAGTAATCATCAAGCAGAAGTGGCGCAGCTGCCAAACATCAGTCCCACACAGTCATGCTGCAGCAGCAGACGATAAAGTTGTTGAAATGGCCTCTAAGGATTTTATAAAGTCTGACAATCTCCTCTGAAAGTTGCAGCTCCCTGGAGAACTTTTGCACTTAGCAAAGCAGCAATGACAGATTGGAGGGGTGTAAATTTAAGGAGTGGCTTTTTTTTTTTTTTTTCCATCGCGCTCCTCTTTTTGCTCAGAAGAGGAGGATGTGCTGAATGCTGGACTGTCTTCCTGTCCCGTATATCTCAGTCCTCAATGAAACACTCTACTGTCTAAAAAAAGTGCCCTTTCCCAGGATACGAGCCCTGTGACACAGCTCGAGAGACAAGAAGGTCACACGGCGTCATAGAAGTGGGACAGCCATGCTAAAAGTATCCTAATGATCCGACATGAAAGTGCATGATGGGGAATATGAGTTAGAAGGCATTTTGTGTGCTGTGTGAAGTCATCCTACTTCCTACTTAATAACTCACAGACAGAACATCCAAAAGTGAAATTCCTTCTTACACATTCACACTGAAAGCGAAGGAGAAAGACCATCTTTAGATGATGTATCCTTCAGCTTTTTCTATCTTCTTTCTCCCTGGTTGATGACGTTTTCAGCCTATATATCCGTCCATTGTACTACCCCTCATCTGTCACTGCTTTCAGTCTTTTTTTTCCCTTCTCTGATCCCCCTCTACCTCTGGGCTGTTGTGCTCAATCAGGAGGACCATGATGGACTGGCAGAAGAAAGCCAGCTGAATGGACTGGAAGAAGAATGTTGAAGCACAGAGGCTGAGAGACAGAAGGGACAGAATGTGAGACTGGTGAAATGTGCAGAAATGAGAGGCGAAGGGGAAGCAAATGAGGGGTGATGGGAGCGGTGATGCTGGGCGGCTGATTGCACAAGAAGGCAGCAGGGAAGGAGGGTGGTGAAAGTAGATGTAAGAGGGATTTTTTTCCACTTCTCATTCCTTCATGGACCAAACTGAAGACCAGATGGTATTCTCATTGAAAATATTAAGCAGTATGGGAAAAAGAGGCAGACTGGAGGGGTGTGGTTGTCCAATCAGAGCCAGGCTGCACACTGGTTTTACACTAGGTTCATTCCTCAGGACGTTTTTTCTTTTTGAGGGGATTAAACTGAACATAAAGGATGTCAGTTTCAACCAAATTTAATGTTTTTTAAGGCTGCTTTTATCAGAAGTCAATCTCGCACCTTAGTCATAGTATATGACAGCTGCTAAAGCCAGTACAGTGCTGCTGCTGAAGTTAAACAGTCCCCTAAGGAGCTCTGACAGCCTGTATATGGAAAACAGTCATCACGAGTAAAATGATATGACGAGCGGAAAACATATTGCAGATTACATTGTCGCTGTAATGTAGCATTTCCCGCAGTACGCTGAAATTGCAAATTGGCACTCAGTGGTGATATATTGAGCAAGATAACAGCAATAGTGGAAACTGGATGCCTCAGATCTGTGCTTAAGTTTGTGGTGCAGTTAATTACGGTCACAGTGTACTACAGTTATAAGGAGGAACAGACACATTCTGCGCTCAAGCTCGACTAAAAGCCAAGTGAAGCAGCACAGTGGCTCTGGAGTGTGATGGGACATGGAGGCAGCAGATTTGGGGATCTAGGCACGCTTCTGTGGGTAAAGGCTTAGTTTTGTGAACAAGGTCCCAAATGTATAGCAGTCATGAGCACAACTGGGCACACAAGATGGACGAACCCACTTATACCCTCCACAACCAATTATCCACCTGCTCTCACCAGCTGAAAGCAATTTCATCCATGCAGGAGAGGTCCTATTTAAAAGTCAGACAGTCACTGGGGAGCAGTGCGTCCCTGGACGGGGACCCATCTGTCCATCTGTCTGTCCAAATCCTTTTGGTCACCCTAAAGCCCTCTGACATCAAACCCACAGTCTGGGACAAATATGTGTCTGCATCTGCCAGGAAGACCAGTTATCACCTTCAGGTGTGCGATCCTTAGGTGATGAAAACAGGTACCAAACAAAGTTCTTGATCAAAACACACAGATTATTGTTTGACTTCGAGACACATCCTGTAACTATTGGAACAATTGATCTAAAAATATACTTTGACGATTAATAATTAGCATCCTTTTTGGGGCAAAAATGACAAAGTTTAGCAGGTTATGGCATTCTGTTTTTCTGTTTTTTTCTGCTGTTCTGTTTTTCCTTATTTGACTTTACTTAAAGAAAGAGTATCATACATTTTTTTCCAGACTCCATACTTTTGTTCTGATACCTCTAACAGCTTTACATAATTTTCAGATTCTAAAAAAGGCCTTGGGTTTTTCACTCTGGTGTATTCGTATAACATTATTTCAGCATTTCATCTTCGCTGCTGTCTCTTTGATAGATTTTAATGTCAAAACAATAATTAAATATTTTTCAGTTTTATCAGCAATGTGTTTAGCAGAAGGATTATCTATATTGACAAAAGATAACATTTTGGCATTTTGATGGATTTTGCTGAAAGTGATTAATGACAATAATTTGCATCCTTCAAAAATGAGCAAATAATAATAATTTTAAGTTTTTTTGTACCAGTTGCTGTTGGTAACAGCCTTTGTTAGATGTTGATGATGATATACAGAGATAAGGAAATTCTATGCAAAATCCCTGAAATCACTAGAGAGAGCACTGAGATCAAACTGTGGCAGGTATCAGTAAACCACGCCGCTGATTGCCTGAATTGATTTTATCTCTACTGACAAGCTCCTGATTGGATCTGATTCTACATTTGATTTAATTCGAATCAATATTGATTTTTTTAAAGATAATTCAGTCAGAATACCATTTTTTTTAATATGAAAGATTCTCTGAGAATTAATGCTGTTAATTGTTCAACCAAGAATATTTAAAAATATATATATTAAACATTGCATGAAGAATTGACCTCCAAGCAGTTACTGACTGTACTTTTCTTATATCTAACTATGACTAGAATGCTGCAGCAGTCAACACAATATAACAAAGCACAGACTCTACAGAAGTTTTGAGTGACCAGGCGCTTTATCGGGTGCAGAGATGATACAGGACACATCAGGTCCTTACATCAGAGGTAATGGAGGTCGGGTACTGCACCTTTAACATTTTCACAGGGTACATGTAGAACACAGCAAAATCTACACGCAGTCGGAGCCATAAGAAAATAGCAAGAAACAGATGAAAATGTAAAGCATTTGAACTGTGTATTAAGAGTTTTAAAAAACATCTTTGGATTTTTAAATTAACCAGGCAGCTCATGTAAATAAGGTGGCAACAAACATGAAACTTCCCATTTACCTGAGAAAAATAAAAACTGCAGTGATTGTCTGTGATTTTGTGCAATCAGTTTTACAGATACTCACTAAATATGGCATGCATCAGCAGAAAGGGGACCAAAGAAGACAACTATGAACAAAATAAACAATCAGAAATTGAAAGGCTACAAATTCCCTTTGAAAATAGTGCAAGAACATTTTGGGAACATGTTGAAAATCAGTCTCATAAAAACTCTGGCTGTTTTAAACTGTGACATCCAAGAAACTAAAGCTCCTTTACAACTATGTTTTCATTTCTTGGTTTTCCTGCAAGAAAATCAGCTGATCTACATGTTTAGGAGTGAGGCAACTCCTCTGTGCAGTAACCGCGATGATAGCCTTCCTACTGATAAGGCACAGTTTCCTTAGATCCACGACAATCAGGGTCTACCTGTCAACATTTCTCCATTAAACTTAAATGGAAAATTAATTGTTTCATAATGCTTTAACGCAAAGAAAAATACATACAGTTGAGGATTTCCCTTCAAATATGACTAGAATTGCTGAGAGCTTTCACCGCAATCTGTGATGGTAAAGTCGGCCCCTGTCAAGGTGAAGAGATCACTTTCCAGTCTGTGCCCCTCGGGTCACAGCAAAGCTGCCCAGATGGCTGGTTGTTGTTCCAATAAGCGCTGTAAGATTTCCAGTGCAGGCAAGTCCAGCGTTTTTTGCTTCTCTTTCAGCTTACTGCTCGCCATAAGACTACAATGACACAATGTGCTTCACTTGACCAAGCAAGCATGCAACGGACTAGATTCTAACAGCTGCTCGTGAGGCCAAGTTCAGGATGTGTGCAAAAAAGCAAATGTGCAGTCACCTTATTATTTCAACAGCACTAACTGCAGTATTGTCTAACTGCAGCAACATTTTCACTGTTTTAGCCAAAAGTATGAAAGTTTGTGGGGAAAAAACAGATCTACCATCATATATAACCTAGAGTTCCTCTGGCAGAGAAGGGAGGAAGGCAGAGCGAGCTGGCAAGGAAGACTTTTTTTTTTTTAATTATGAGACATTGTTTGCTCACTGTAATCCAGATTTTGTGCTCTTGCTGCTGAAGTTTCGCTTTTTCTTGTTGGTTTGAGTGTGTAACCCTGCTCCACCTCTACTGTTCTCATTCACAGGTTGGAAGACATTGACATTGATGTCCCTTTCTCAAAAAGATCCACAAGTTCACGTTTGTGTTTTTTTCTTTTTCCAGACAGACTGAGAGCAGAACAGCGAAACAGCGATGTCACTGCATGTTTATCAAAACCAACCTGTCGACTGTTGGCTGTAAACTCAAAACCACCAAACAAAAGCAAATGTCCACAAGACAGTGCAAAACAAGGAATGTGGACATACAAACTGAGAGTACACACACTCTGCAGAAATACACCCACCACAGGATTTCACAAGGTCTGCCCAAACAACACAACTGAGATTGTCCATCACATGCAGGTTATGTATTCCAGGATACAATATAAAGACTAGTGCTGGGCGATATGGCCTCAAATCAATGTCACAATATATTGAGCAGTAACTACTCCACAAGCTGCTCACCCCCTCCCACATTAACTTTGTCTACTTCAGCCGCTCCAACTTCTGAACCGTCCTCCATCTCCTCACCCGTCTTTTCCTCTTTGTTATGGATTGGATGGGGTGGAGTCACGTCTCTGACCTAGGACAGCGTCTTAAAGGGACATGAGACCATAGCCTACCTACACACATCCAAAACCAACTTTTATTCATTATTTTTTTGACACCAAATATGTTGACATGGGCAAACTGACGTTGGTTCTAGTCGTAAATTTCAGTATCAGTAAATTTTCGGTTTACTGCCCAGCCCTAATCAGGATTAAAATGAGGCAAATGTTGTTCAGAAGTGAAATCCATTCACAGTTTACTCTAGTAATATTTAACAATCTGCCATTTTTCATTTTCCAGCCCAGAGTGAAATCCCCTGGACTTCAACCTGCATTGAGCTGTACCTCACGTATGAATGCCAAGACCACTGATTTTTTTATAATGTGTAAGGTTTGTGTGTGCAGCCAGGCTCATTATTCCACACAGATCCAGCACTCTGCAGCTCATTGTTTTGGTTTGCAGGTTCATAAAAAATAAAAAAAAAACTCCAGGCAGCTGCTTCCCAGCAAAGGAGCTCATACATGCGAGTGGTACGGCATGAAATGATGAAGAGCTGCAGTAAACACGTGGCTGATGAGCCAAGCTGAATATCTCACAAGCAATAAACACAGATCCTCAATAGCAGATAAACCAAACCTGGAGCAAAACAGCAGTTACTTTTGCACTTCGAATGGGTATGTGGGGAGATAACTACTCCCAGTGATTTCTCCAATGTTGTTTCTGCTGAATGTGTGAGAAGCCAAGTGTTTTCTCACCCTCTCCAAGATAGCTTGATAAGGGATAATACAGCATCAAAGCTGCTTAAAGGATTGCTCCAACAAACAACACATCTCTCGCATCCAACCGCCCTACTTATACACTGATACATCTCCACATCCTAAGCATTAACCATTGAGACTTGTCGCTATCTCAGTGCTCTTCTCTGTGCATGCAAGTCCTAAACAACCATGTGTCACTGTCCTCATCCCACTTGTAGAGTCGAGGGACAATTCATATTTGCAGCTACACTGAGAGTATCCAAGACGAACAAGATGAATGATTGTTTTCTGGCACCGCATGTCCACGGGGAGTCGGCGGAGGTGGTGCAGCAACAGAAATACCTCAGCAGTGTCCTTGGTAATAGGACTCATCCTCAAGCTTCCGAATCAAAAAACACAGAAAGAAAGAAAGAAAGGAGGAGAAAAACATTGCAGCTGAAGAGGGACACTGAAGACAAGAAGTTGAACCGGCAGCGGAAACATCAGGTCTTTGAGATGTGTGATTTGTTTGGGAGATGTTTTTCCCCAGGTGTGCTACTCAACTGCAAATAAATGTGTGCTGATGTTCGAGTTCTTGGAGACAACAATTAATTAGGATGCCGTCTCTGGAGTAACTTATAAGCAGATAGCTGTTTATTCCGCAGGTGCTCTGCTCATTAAACACCAAAATCAAAGCTAAAGTACATTATGGGTCTCGTCTATTTGTGAAAACATCACACAGCTGTTATTTGTTCAGATACACTTAATAAGGCAAGACTGATTGAAAATTGTTGATGTATAACAACGAACACAATCACACACCAGATGTTGTCACTGGAAAACTTCTGAAAACTACAGAGTACACACTTACAACCCTTAGTCTCTTAGCGCCTAGTGATTGACTTAGTTGAGATTATGCTCTTATTTGATTGGTTGAGCAGCATCTGGTGATCTGTCACAATCCAATTTAAGCCATCCCATCTTACACACAACTGGTGTAGTCTTGTAGATGCATGATGGAGAAAATGAGGCATTTGTCAGGGTGCTGGAAGTCAGCCTCTTGTGCCATTCATCATTAAATAAAATGTCAGCATGCTGTGGAGATGGTTGATGTCCAGCCAATGAATATCTGAATTGTGTCTCTTGCAAATTATTCACAGGATAAATGGTTTAATTTTTTCACCCTATTCTGCCTAAACCTCTTAGCTTCATTGGTGCTGTAGGATGTAAAAAGTCAGCTCAAATATGGAGAGGACAGACCTAAAGTAGAAACTACCAGCTGTACTGAAGAGGGGCATACTGCTATTTTTTAGTGGTGGCATCCAGTGGAGAAAACTTCCCAGTCTCATATGGCCAAAAAGCAGCCAAAGTTCAACCCTCACGTTACAAAGATAGAGAACTTACCACCCCTGTGTCCAGCTGCTCTGTAGTCGGAGAGGGAGCCGCTCCGGTCAGAGGTAATAGCCACAGTATCTGGACCAACAGCAGCAGCATCTCCGGAGAAATATTCCTCATCCACTTATGGAGAAACACAAAAATCATGATGCCCTATGACAGGCTGATCCTGCAGGGCTCAGACTCCGACCCCGACAGCCGCATCCACGGGATAAATCACACGCCGATACTCCTGGACAGTCTCCCTGCATAAGTCTACCTCACTGTTGAACGCAAACACATAAAACACATTAAAACCAGTTGCTGGAAAAAGGGTCTGCAAGTTTGTTTTAGACTGAATGACACTTGGATTTCTCAACTAAATGGACATGATCAGGATGGATGGATTAGTATTCGCGTCCTGAATCAAGTCCAACAGAGGTGATATCCCCGCAACAAGCAGCACGAGCTCCCCTCCTGTTCGTGCGGTGCCGAGCTCTGGAGAATGAAAGCAGCTGCGTGTGGTTTTGTCCGCGAGCAGCAGCAGAGACCCCGCTCGTTGACGCACACAGAGAGGGTGCGTGAGTATTTTGCCCGAAGGATTGGGGGGGAAAGGAGGGAGGAGGAGCGAGGGGAGAGGAGAGGAGGGGAGGAGGAGGAGGGGAAGGGGGTTCAGCGCCTTTTTAGCCCACTTGAACAATATTAAATTCATGACGCGAGTTGCACGTAATTTCATACTCTCAAGGGCTGAGACCAGAAAACACAGACCACACTTTGTCAGTGTTGATCAGCTGTTCGTGTGAGAGATTTGTCGGTAGAAGTGGGGGTGACAAGCCTTAAGGCAAATCAAGTTTTGAATTACCTCCATGAATTTATGTTTTATCTTTATACACATTTCTTAAACAGGAGCTACAAGGAATCAACTCGAACACGATATTTAACCAAAACCACAAGAAGTGTGACAAGAAGTGAGTCCTTGACCAGAATACATCTATAAGTGCCCTGAGGCAAAAATGGGATATAGGACTCTAATGACCCCCAAAGAAAGCATTAGCCTACCAACAATGTTGCATGTTTTATTACACTTTTTCTCCAAGAACAAGCACATTTTTAAAGAAATAACACACAACTGGGTTAGGGTTAGGGTTGGAAAAACTTCACCAACCCTACTGATTTACTGATTTAGGTCGCTTTCACACCTGACCAAGCGGACTTGGTTCGATTGTTGCATTTATCACTTGTTTCTGTTCTGCTTTCACACTGTGATTTCTAAAGCGCACCGAACTTTACGAGCAGCATCACGTGGTTGAAAGGGGCGCTCGTCGATTGGACAAAGTAGGAAGGGTATGTAACCTCACGGATTACAAACAGGGGTGGACTAGCTGTCTTGTATCGTGCTTCGTCACATTATTTCATGGAATGCTACAATGTTAGTGAGCGCAACTGTTCCTATAATGCTATCGTAGCTTGTCAGGGATTGATCCTGTTATTTTTCCAACTTTGACGATCTAACATGTGACAACATATGAGGTCAGAGTTTAAGGACTGTGACTGTTGGTAGTTGTGATTTGATTTTGTTTAAATATGCCAAATTGTGAATTTATGGGTAATTGTTGTTCAGACAATTGAGCTAAGCTAGCTCACTTGATGCCATAGCAACAAGTGACACCGTGCTTCCTCTACCCAAGATGCACTGCGTACGCACTGCATATAGCGTCATTACGCACATTTGGTCCTGTGTTTGGTCCGGTGAGCTTTCACACTGCATACGAATCGAACCAGGGTTCACTAGCAAGCGAACCGAGACCCACGTTTTCAGGCGGACCAGAGTTCGCTTGTTTGGTTGAGTTCGGATGAGCTTTCACACCTGCAGCTCTGGTGTGAAAGCGACCTAAGGGACAGTAAGAGGCGAGTAAAAATCACTGTCCATAAATATAACAAAATTCTTGTTCGAAAGCAACTGATTTTCCAGTCAAGACTCTCAGGACTGTGAAGCATTTTAAGGAAGCCCTAAACTTTTCATTGGCAGAGCTGGTGAACAGCTCCAGGGGTTAAATGGTAGGCAGAGCATGTGCAGGAGTGCTTTTTCACAACTCCACCACAGCTCACAAAAAAATTCACCCGAACCCACCACAGGTGGAAAACATGTCATCTTCACTAGTGGATGTGCAGAGAAGAGTTGGCTGCAGTGTGAAGATGTAGATGAAGTAGGAGTGGTGGATTGTCCACTTTTTTCATATCCCACTTTTTTCTCTTAGGATGTTTAGTATATTTAGTCTGTATTGTACTTCCTATATTTAATTTTATTTTGTGTTTTTATTGCTGCTGTAACATGGAAATTTCCCAGTTTGGGATCAATAAAGTATATCTATCCATCCACTATTGCATTTGTTTGGGCAAGGCTTGGGGTAATTATTTTGAATGGCCGGTTGTATATTTATAACACAATAAAAATCCATGTATAATCCGCCGATTTAACACCAAGTCTCAGAACAACAAAAACTTAAATGGATCCATGTTCTGTTATAGTATTTCTCTCTATGCGTCACAGATGTATCTGTGGTGAATACAAAGTGTGCTGTAACCATTCAGGGTAAGCTCTGGAGTATCTCAGGCTACAGGGATAAAAACCACTAATTTAAGTTAATGTCAGACAGTGGCCACCAGTGCTGGTAAGTAACTGGGGTTCAATTAGCTGGAGTGGCTTGTATCTAAAAGGACCCCTTTCTAAAAGCATACTGGCTCTATTGAATTTGTAAAGTAATCACACATGCCTCAAAGAGTAGTCCAGCTACAGTAACATGTTATGCAGTAATGCATTAATCACAACCCTGTTAGTCATATGGAACCAACATTCGGATAAAAGGCGGCATGGTGATGGTGAAAGGTGAGAAATCTGCACACTGTTCAACACTGAAAAATAAACAGAAATATCAATTACCCCTCCCATCATCCATGTTTCATACAGTTTATGTTCCTGCACAGCTGATGTATATTTCAAAGGTGTCTCAGCAGCTGCTGTTTGTAATTTATTTCTTCTATTATTTCCGATCTCATTGTATTGTCAGCACTGATTATTCTATTTCAGAGTGAAAAACAACCGCCTGCCTTGTCTCTTTTCACTGCAGCTCTTTGGAATTTAGTGGCAGTAAATTTTACTTTCACACAATGACTTTACTTTTATCAGGTGCCAAACCATGGGGGCGATCCTCACAGGTGACAGACCCCCCATGATCCATTGCACCCTTGTCTGTTGGTTTTAGAGCCAAGGTTGCCAGTCGTAATATTATAAATCTTAAGCGTCCCTCTGACTTCCTCTCTTGCAACATCATCAGTTCATAAATTCACTTTTCTAAAACTTTTTTTCAAGAACACAACATACAAACTAGACATCCCTACAGCTGTCTAACTGTGGTTGTTGCTTTGGTCAGTCTGTTCTCGGTCTCGCTAAAACAGGCCTCCTCTGGAACATGATGTAGGAGGAGCTTGAGCTTGTAATAACCAATTTAAAACATATGTCTGTACCATCAAAGTACAAACCCCAACCCAATATCTGTCTTTGGCTATGCATGGTAGAGTTTGAACTCGCACTGTGTTAACCAACAATGGTTTTCTGAAGTCCTCTAGAATCCATGTGGTGAAACCCTTTACAGAATGATGTGGGTTTTTTGCCTGAGCGGTCAAAGGTCACTTACTGCTGGTTTTGGGCTTTGCTGCTTACGTACAGAGATTCAAATACACTGAGAACAATATTCTTAAACTGTGGGACTATTTGCTCACGCGGTTGTTGACACAGTGGTGAACCTGGCCCCATCCTTGCTTTTGAAGGACTCAGCCTCTCTGGTATGCTCCTTTTGTACTCAGTCATGACCCACACCTGTTTCTATTGAACCTGTTTACATGTGGAATAATCCAAACAGGATTATTTTTGGAGCAGTCCTCAATTTTCCTAGACTTTTGTTGACCCTGTCCCAGCCCCTTTGGAACATGTTGCAGTATTAAACTGAAAATAAGTAAATATTTGCAAAAAACAAAAACGTTTCTCAGTTTGAACATTAAATATCTTGTCTTTGTTGTGTAGTAATTTTGGGTTAAGGTAGAAAACTATTTGCAAATCATTGAATCATTTTCATTTAACTTATACAAAATATCTTAACATCACTGGAATTAGGGTATGGTATGGTATGGTATGGTATGGTATGGTATGGTATGGTATGGTATGGTATGGTATGGTATGGATAGATGGATAGATGGATAGATGGATAGATACCAAACTGGGAAATTCTCAAGTCTACAACTGCTTTGTAGATTTTGCTTCCACAAACCTACCATGGTCACTTCAAATGCAGAATTATAATTGTGTAAAACATTTGATGTCCATTTCAGAAGTCAATACTGTCTTTAAAATACATGTATACAGTTTCATAAATCCACCCGCAGTTGGAGCTGGCCCATATTCTATATCCTTGGTAGGGGAATGCTGTCTTTAGTGACTGTCTGTTAAGGTTTTTATTATCCCTGGTCAAAGCTGAGACGGGCTTTCATGAGTAATGGCTGGAAGAGATTGAGAAAAGAAAATGGCAAAGATGAAGAAAGAGGAAGTAATTTTTCTTTAATCGAGCAGCCGTCATTGGTAGTTCTTTTAATGCGTCACCAGACAGAAATCTTAACCACGATCTCTGCAAAAGGTCATTCAATTATTTTCTATCAAAAGCTCTTTGAATTTACATCCTACTGTTTCTATATTTCTTTCATAAGTTTGTCATTTAAGGACACAATAAGATGGAACTGAAACCTGTTTTTCAGGGTGCAGTAAGAAATGTTGCACTGAGTGCTTTAAATTAAAATAGTAAATGACGGAAAGAGTTAAAACACTTCCATTCAAATATAAATATGAGCAGAAGCTAGGCCACTGAAGTAGAGAAACTGCATATGTCTCTGAAATGCAAAGATGTTTTATTTTGTACCCCTCATTACACTTCTATTTTCACCATATTTGAGGAACATCAGAGGAAAGCACAAAACAATTTGCAGAGCTGCAGAGATAATTATTGGATGAAACAGAAGTATCATCTCCCTGTTTTCTTCTTCTATGAGAGGATTCATGTTCCTTCATTATTTCCTTTGTGATGCATAATCCAGCAGGTAATGAGGGAACATGCTGTAATGCCCACCTGAACGCTTCATGTGACATATAAAGACTCAAACTGACGGTTCGATTGGCCCATGAATCAAACAAACTGAGTCAGAACATGATAAAAATGATGAAACTTGTTTTGAATGGATTGTCCTGGGTAAAAACAGTCACACATGCACAAATAAACACTTTTCAGTTTCTTATTTGGATCCATCACAGCAGCCGTTCGTCACTAGTCCAGAGGAGTGAGACAGGAAAAATCTGTTTCTTTGCTCAGCCACATTACATTCTGCTATCTCAGTGCTGAGGGCTTAAAACTTTCCAGCTTTACTGCTTCCAGTCCCAGTCAGATTTGACATATATTATGACTATTGAAGCATCTGAATATTGTGTCTCACAGCAAGTCTGTTGGCAAAGAGGAGCTTCA